GAGAAGTACTATGTGTTGACGACAAGCCTGGAAAATTCTGTAGACACCGCCCATACACCATACAAAGTACCACGTCGAGTCATGATCTCAACCTCCCCCATTCTAAATACTCTCCTCGTGGAGGTTATTTGTACTTCGGCCACAGCCATCCGAGAACATCTTATCGCCGGAAACGTCGACCGCCGGTGAAGTTGTCCGCCCTACACCAACCCAATGAGCCTGAGTGCTGAGACATCCCACAGTTGCATCGAGGCAGAGAACAGAGCAAAAAATACTCTGTAAGCACACTATATCATGTTTCCAAGGAAATTCTCTGCACTGAGTCTGCTCACAGCTGCCGCACCTTCTATATGCGACATATGCGACATGCAGTTTGACCCACACTCTGGGGGGAGGGGAGTCTGGGCTGGGTTTGTGCGCACTCGTAGCCTCTGAAACGGGCCGTTCTCCAGGGGTTCTGGAGCCAATGAGTGTAGCTAGGCAATGGGGGAACGGGAAGAGGGAGTCGAGAATAGATAATCATTGGCAGTCGCATAGTGGTTAGGTGCTTCGCGCTTGATGAACCGTATGCACTGTGCTACATTGATGTGTGGTAAGTCAGTCATAAAGTCGAGGGGCGGGAACGGGTACCGGACAAAAAAGTGGGTGGAAGCCGTGGATTGAGATGAAAGGGAGGAGAAGATACTCGGTATGTAACAAACTGTTTTGGTGAATAGTAAGCCAAACCTTTGATATCATTGATATCATTGTTCCGCTGGGCGAACTTTATTGGCGGAACGAGCTGCCAGAGCTCGAAGCGGAAGGCATCGGCAGATTAGTCATGCAGGTGCTGGTTGCAGTCGAACAATAAGAAACTACGACAATAGGATATGGTCAATAGAATCAAATCATGAATAGACTCAGTACTGTGTATAGTCAGAAAGCAGAAAACTCAATACATCCTTCTAGACACTTCGCTGCATCTGTCTGGTCGGATAAGCCCTACAGTACTTTCGCAGACAAATCCTCCCTCCCTCCCCGGTCGGATGAGGCGGAGGCAGCAGATCGACTGGAGTCGTCATTCTGCATTCGCCCCGCGATCCAAGATATCAACCGTTTTTCAACTCAACTCGACCGTCTCTCGAACATCGCGTCCAGCCCACCGGCTCATATACACTCCAATCAGGCCACAAGGAGTTATCCTCCTTCTCCTGTCAACTGTCGTCCCATCGTTCCTTGAACCGCCCTCACTGCAAAAATCTCGCGCCCTCTGTTATGAGAGCCGATCTCTACAAAGATGGACCCACCCTCCCCCACTTCCGTGCCGGAAAATCCTCCATCTGTCCTGAATGCCTCAAATCTCTCTGCTAACTGGCCCCGCATGCACCGTCATTGCCAGGCCGTGGTTTGGGGAAGTCTGCGTGGTTCTTGATAAAAAGTAGGGTGTTTCCTCACTGCACACCTTTACCTTTCTACTCCATACGTTTCCCACTGTCTAATCTGGCAATAGACTTCCTGCATACTGACGATTGGTGACCCTGGAAGCAACCTTTCTTTCACTATCCTTTATCTATATAGTTACACAAGTCCTGTCTTTCCGGTCTGACCCTTGCTGCGGCATTGTCCTGTCGATATATCTTAGCCCATTGAATTGAGACCACTTCATACATATCTTCAACAAACACCACCTCTGGCAGACTTAAGAGAACCAAACCAAGCCAACCCACCATGCCCGTGCAAATAGACCACTCCTTCACAACGGGGGCCCCGTCCAAAACTGGTATCACCTGGACAGGCCCGATGCCATTCCTCGTGGAAAGCCCTATTTCCTCCGACTTCCTGACTATGCCATTATTCGACGGGATGCAAGAATGGTCAATGAGCGGCAGCACCCCGGGGGTACCCGCCTCATCCGCAGAGGGACTGGATAGCTTCCAGCAGCAACAACAACACCAACACCAACAAACCTTCATGGACGCCCTCATCGAGCCCAACCTTTTCTCCCCAGACCAACCAATCCCTCCGTACATGCGCCCGCACCCTCACCAGCACCTCGCATCAAAAGACCCCATCCGCGACGGTAGCACTACGGCCCCCCACCACCCCTTAGCCGCAAGTCCACCTTCCTACCATGTGCCCATGCACGAGCTCACCTCGCACGGCAGCATCAGCAGCATCAGCAGCGGCAGCTCCGCCAGTAGCGCGGGAAGCTACAGCCACGCGACCCAGCGGCCGAGCGACTTGTTGGCCCAGCATCCGTGCAGTTATTCTCCCGACCGCGAAACAGTCAAAAAGCAGAAGCGCGAGCGGTTCCTGGAGCGCAACCGGATCGCGGCCAACAAGTGCCGGCATAAGAAGAAGGAGCACATGCGCCAACTCGAATGCAAATGCATGGATGTGACGCAGGCCAACACGCGGCTGGAGAGCGAGGTCAGCCAGCTGCGCAGCCAGATTCTGGAGCTGAAGAACGAGCTCCTGCAGCATTCTAGGTGCGATGACCCAGGCATTAAGGCGCATTTGGCACGGATGGTGGCTAGTTTGTCGAAACGCAGTGAGTCTGTGGTGTCTACGGGGGGTAGCGAGGCGGATATGAAGCTTTCGGACGGGGTATCGCGGCGGGGGGAGGCGGTTGCGTCGATGCGGAAGGCAAACGGTGAAAAAGTGGAGGAGGCTGCGTCTGGGTTTAAGGATATGGTTGTGCTGCCTGCTGCTGCTACGAGTGGCTCGAAGTTGGAAGAGGAGAAGCAGGAGGATGCAGATGCAGATGCAGAGCCGGTGAAGATGAAGGAGAGTCCGTGATGGTGCGCGGTATTCCACACATTATGCACGGCTTGTATACGATGTTTCGACGATCCTTCTTTTCTTCTGTCTGATTTATTCTTCTTATCGGATTGTCCATTACTTTTGTCGACTTTGATTGTTCTCTGGGCAGTATGGGGCCTTTCCTCGGTGTTTTGACTAGAACAGCGAGGGGGGGGATTTTGATTCTACATCTGGCGTTGTTATCTCACTCAAGCAAGCGAACGGCGGATTCTGTTCGTGATTTTGATTTGGCGTGTATATTCGAAAGAACAGTATTATTGTGTTGCTCCTAAACATAAAATAACACTTAAATATAAAAACTTTTCAATTGGGCTTATTCAGTATTTAGTCAAACTCTACTATTGATCAATGTGGTCGTGGAGGTCACAAGCAAGGTAGGTATCACGATCTAGTGACACCAGAAAAGCATCTTCTCTTCGAAGGGACCTCATGATGGTCTATTCCATGCTGTCCAACTTTATGGTATGTTATGCTGGATAATCGTGGCAACAAAATCACAACGAATTCCGGCCCCTAACAAGCTACTCATTATCTGTTTTTGAAAGTTCGCGCTATTCAATTTTCTCTGATCGCGGCTTGAATTGAGTGGGCTTGATCAGTCGGTAACTTGTCTCCGGCCCAGCTCGCGATCATTCAACAGCTGTCTTCTTACCTTGTTGATTGCACACTTGTCAACATGAGCGCTTAGCGGAAAAAAACGTGGTCGTTTGCTTGGTAAAATTCACATCTACTCATCCTCTATACTTCAATTTCTATTCTGTAACCGAAGTATGGACGAGCCACAGCTGAATCACTTCCCTAAGCACCTATCTCAGGGTTTCAGTAGCGGCCCTAAATCGTTATCTGAGTCAAGCAGATCATTCTAAAGTTGGAATGGCACAGAAGACTCCGCTACAGCCGCTGGCTCCTGCAACAGCCGACCGTCCGCGCCATATAACTACTGGCAAGGAAGCGCCAAAGCGTCGCAGTTCAGCATGTAGAAGGTGTCGTGAGAAAAGAATCAAGGTCCACAAAGACTTCCCGATTTAAATTGTGAATATAGTTCTCTGATAAATGAAAGTTCGTTGGATTCCCGCGATGCTATATCTGCAGCCTTGCCAATTCTTGATGTGTTTTCGACCATTGATGCATTTTCGAACCGTCATCCAAAGATAGGCGCAAAAAGGTAGCTTTACACCGTGCTGAGAAAGATTCCTCGGACTATCATGACTTTCTATCTCGACTAGTTCGGACCATAAGAGACAGTGATGGAGTACAACTCCTAGGTTTATATAAAAGGCTAAATGATTTCTCTTCTGTTGATGCTGCCCTTACTGGACTACGGCAGGCAGTCTATCTCTATAATCGCATGGGCGGTATGAAAAAGTGCAATTTGGTATGCGAGCACTTCTAGTGCATCTGTTCGCGCGAAAGTTGGCGGTTGTGTCCTGCTACACTTGCATGCATTGTCAGGCTTCTCATTGTGCGAATGGACGGTGTCTTACTCTTTAGGTTGCGTGAGCTAAATTTTGACCGTGGAAGTGTTGTTTGGGGCTTGCCACGCTACCACGGGATCGGTCTGATTACAGAGTACTGTTTGGTGCCATCTGTGTTGTTGTATAACGCGTCAAATTGTTCGTTCGACGTGCCAACTCATTGTGCTTTGACTTGTGCCGCTAGAAATTACCCAGCGTCTCGCTCTTCACTAGATCTTGCTTTCAAGACAAGGCATTTTGCAATCGTTTCACTGTGGAAATATTGTTCTCCGCTTAATATTGGACAGATCCTAAGTGGATGATGGGGTGTAGGATGTAGTGTATAATTGAGTCCGTAAGGCTACATAGCTTTACATCGCTCGGTTCGTCGGCAAAGCAATCAATTTGAAGGATTTTCAAGTTAAAAGAATTCATGCTACTTGGCCAAAGAGATCGGGTGTAAAATGGTCGATCAAAAGCGCTCAATGGATTTATTCGCTGCGGCCGCTTTATTCGAGAATCGCTTAAATGATGGGGCAACTCTCGGAAGATGCACGACAGCAACAGGGTGAAAATAGCCTAGCTTCAAAGAGTGAATACTAGATGACACTTGGGGTAACCAGAGTAAATTGGCTGAGATTCACAACGTCTCAGCGGAAGAATAGGGCCATGTACTCCGCAAGTAGAAGCTTGTACAGTCACACTTTGAAACGATGACCAACGAGAAGTATCCAGGTCTGCCAGAGGTCTAAGGAGCTCGTCGCGGAAGATGCAGGGCATATGATAGGCGCTCGATATTGCGTGCGAGCGTGTCGCAGATTATTAGACAAATCTTTCGAGCCGGGAAAGGCGCCCTCATGGGAGACTGTTCGTAGGAGTAACAAGAGATCACGCCCCAGATTTCATAGGGGCCAATGATATTGACCGACATAAAGGAACGTACTTTGTTCAGACGCAAAGTGTTGACCTGACTTGGCGACATTGCCCGCAGGTATGCATATGACATGTCAAGCGATTGCTTGGGATTCTCAGTGCTCCGACACACCATCCGTGAACATGTTTGCTCCCGATCATATACTAACCGAACTTGCCTTGCTTGTGGGATATTCCGTGATTGGTGGAGAATGGCCAATTCCGTGGAACTCGGTTCTGCTAACGCTGGCGGAATGAGTCCATGCCTCTCGCTTTCACACTTAGACACCACCACATGGCTAAAGCCAGTCAACTCTCTGACTGAGCTCACCGTGATTCTCAACAAGGCCTCTAGAGTCGAAGCACTGCCTAGCAGGTTTTGTATCTGGTCAACGATCCTTAAAGCTTCCATAGCGGTGATTTCGCCGATTCCCTTGCGTGTACTAGGCAGTATACGTAAAGGGCGGTTGATGCCATCAAACGTACTCGTTTCGCGGCAGGATTTTTTGGTAGTTGACCTGGGATTCCGGCCAAGCCAGCTGGAACCATCCGTGCGGGCAGCATTGAGAGGGTTCATGTAATCATCTTGCAATTCGAATTCGCATATCAATGTATTTCTATCGAGAGGATTGGCGTGAAGGGAACACCAAAGCCGCCGTGGAAGGCCAAGTCGATCATTAACAGTAAGTTCAAACATTGCGGGACTTTCAATGGCGCGGTCATCATTGTGAGGCTGAATGAGGTCGATGTAGTCGGAGAATAGATCGGCTTGATCGTCAAGTAGAAGGTCAGAGAAGCTCCTAAGCGCAAACAGGCTATTTGGTGAGTGACCTAGCATGTTCTCTGAGTTCTCGCTGGCCATTTGAACCACAAAAACCCCTTCCAAATACTCCTGCAAGATTACCATGGCGCCAAAACTCTGTACTGAGCCATAAGATGCGCCAGGCACTGAACCTGTAAATAACATGAGACCTGTTTGTGTCTCGGACAAGCCAGGGACTTGCGTGACAGGGTAGTATCTGGGTGCGTTCAGTCGCACTGGTTGCACTGATTGCCGCGGTTATCTGGCCCGGAGTCGTGGGGAGAGAGGAGAAACTCATGCGGCCGAGTTGGGTATATGTTGCAAACTGTTTCCCAATAAATCCTGTGCGGGTACAGCAAAATCTAGCTTCTTGATGACATCTGATCGTGTTGTATCTCTGTGGTTAATTAAAACCCGAATAACTATCGTTGTCTAGATTTCTGTATTTGACATGGGTCTAGGTGTGCTTGTTAACTGTAAGCCGGCGGACAGCAGAAATCGGCAACGGTTAATATTACTGCAGCGATGTGGCCATGAACTGATAACCAACGTGAATAGTGTGAGAGACAAACTATTTGATAGAAAATCTTTGACTTGAAGCTGCTCTTCAAATGATTCCACCTAAAACCAGTCTCATTAGGAAATAGCAGCTACTCACTGGATGATCCAGCATAGGAGGTAGCAGAAACTAGATGCAAATCACGCAAGCAGTGTTGAAATCATTCTGAAGCAAGAAGAGAGTTAAGTGCAGAGCCAGGCAGAGCTAGGTATTAACTGCCGAAGAGGTCGGAAAGTCGCTTATAAAGACTTTTCCGGTGTTGATCCAGCAGAACACTGAAGCAGGCATGAGTGGTGAGAGCGAAGCTCGAAGCTAGGCACAAAAGCCGTTTGCAATAATTTGGATTCGAAAGCCATTCGCACAGTGGCTGAACAAATACCAAGAGTGGTTAGGAACGGCAGGCTCGTCACTTTGTGGCAGGGGAAGTTTGGTCCGCAATATGCGGATGGATTCTTTGTGTCTCGCCATACGTTAATACGCGCCTCGTTATGGAATCCATTCCATGCCCGTCAATACAGTAAAAGCCAGAATTGGTCTATGTAAAAGCTTTACTCTCCCTCTAGGGAAATGTTTGAGTCCCCTAACATTGGTAACTGGAAAGGAATCTTGCTTACAGGTGTAGACGTCAGCACGCTTACCCCGCGCGCGCGACCCACCTGAAATTGCTCTACTCCTCGGCGATGACATCCGAGCGAATGTTGTTTCATTGCCCCACCATAATCGTTAATGGTCCATATGTCATTCAAGTAGCAGTGGCGAATGACCTCTCGGGTAGCGCCTCAGCAATCGGAACCAGCGAGGTGGCAGGTAGGCTGTGGTACCGTGGTAAATTTTGTTTTTTTTTATTGATTTTTTAGAGCAAGGGGGCTTTAGATTAGACGTGGTAGGGGACTCTGACTGGAGGGGCGAGACAGACGAAAGTCTATGTGAGATTGGATGTAATGTGACTAATTGGTAACCGTAAAACAGGCTGGGCCATGCGGCACATAAGAAATATTCATCGGATACAATATCCGTCGGTCATGATTGAAGTAGACATACGATCTCATCTGTAGCACACCCCAAAGTAGTCGACACTGATCAAGGCTAGTGCTATGACGAAAATATCACTTATCGACACCCGCAGGCATTTATTTTCAAATCCATTTGCTAACTTCCCTTTCCGCTCCCGTTTCCCATCAAACCAAGCCCTTGAACATACAAGAGGAAATCTAAATTAAACATCATCTATATCGTAAAGCACTATGTGGCGGTATAAGCCCAGTCCCTACTCTCAAGCATCGGTTTACTGCAGACCTCACGACCTCAAGATCTAAGTATTGGAACGCTAATTCGCTGAAAATTAGCGGAATAGATAGATTACTCAACGACTAAGTAATTACAGTTTAAGGATTTGCTAAATACGTACGGCCAGGGAATCGATATCAAGAAGTACTAGTATTTGTAGCTCGTATGAGGGGTAGATACTATTATTATCAGCTAGTACTAGATTATTACTTTGCGACTCCGCGTAAATTTAGCACGAACGTGCACCGTAAAACCTGTCAATACTGTGACAGAGCTCATTGATCAACGATGTTTGAGGACTTCTATTATTCTGATGACAACATTAGTGCACGCTATCTTATATGCGGGGCTTACCACAAACATTTCTTTCATCCATGGATTTCCAGGCAGCCTTTCATCAATCGATAACTCAAATTGCCTCTGGCAGATTGGTTCATCTGTAGGGTCATGATATCGCTCAAGGTAAGCATGTGCCAGGGCGTCGGCAGCGGATAGCCTTCCTCGGGGCTCAAACACCAGCATGCTTTTGAGTAAATTGAGTACTAGTAGCATAAGCCTGGAGCTTTTCAGACTCTGACTCCAAGAGGGACCCATGAAGTAGAGGGGTGGCAGAGCAGGAATAGCCTACCAAGTGTAGTATCAGTGCTTTCGGATGAAGCAAGACTACTCATGTCTGGAACTCGTGGCGAATCATGATACTCTGGCCTGAACACATCTTTGGCGATCTCAAAGGTCTTGTCACAAATCTCCTTGGCATTAGCTCGCTTTCGATCTTACAAGAAAAGATTGGATTATCACCTTTCTGTCACAACATCTCTCGAGCATCCAATCCGGCGGAGAGCCCAGTATGTCCCGGAATATTTCGAGTTGCTGCCTCAGATCTTCACCGGCGAAGATAGCGTTCCCCTGAAGCATCTCACCTAAAATACACCCCGCACTGAAAATATCGGCTGATGAGTGTACTCGCTGGCAGGCAAGAATGACCTCCGGGGCTTGATAGTGGTGATTAAACCGACTACCGATTGGACAGCATCTGGAGCTATCAATCTCGATATTGCTAATCTTGATTCCAGCGTGGTCATCAACAAGGATCACAGACGGCTTAAGATCACAGTGAGACAGGCCTGCGGAATGAAGGTATTTCAACCCTCTCTTGATAGCTGTCAGTATAAGTTCACCTCCAACTCACTGAGGTCCGTACTCACGAGAATCTGATATACAAAATAGGTGGCAAATGCATTGTCTATACCACCCTTTCCAATAATTTGGGTCAGATTAGTCTTTGAGAACTCGCTCACAAGGTAACTAGATGCTGTCAATGACTTCCCAAACACAAGACATCAGTGATACACGAACATGTTGTCTAGAGGTGAGAAGAAAATATCACAGAGCAGGACTAGCTTCGCTCCAACATGGCGATCAGAAGCCGCATTGTACTGCTGAAATTCACACACACTTACATTGCTATGCTGGAGTTGCTTTAGCAAGACTATCTCTTGAAGAACCTCTCTTGATTTGCACCTCGTTTCGAAAGGGGATTTTATCTTCCTCAAGATGACATGCTGCTGCCTTATCTCATCATATGCGGAACTATTCCATAGCTCTGTCAGTTCATTGCACGGACGAATACGGCATGCTGCCATGCGATTGGAAACGGAGAATGTACCAGAGGAGACCAGATACTAACAGCTCTTTTGGCCGGAGATCAGTATATCTACTAAGCAATGAGCTTCCCAACGGTGCCGATACAGCCCTCCGGGCTTCCGCACTAACCTTGTAGTAGTCTCGAAGATTGTACCTAGTATTTCTGACTGTACAAAGCTCGCCATGTTGAAAGTGTTTCCTTCTTCTTTTCAATGGACTGACAATGAGACGCCGGTGAAGTGATTGTGCTTCTAAACGGATGTTCCTTCTGCTGACCAAGTCAGGTGAACCAAGTCAGGTGACCGACTTGGCTAGAAGAGAAGGAAAGTCAATCAAGGCTTTGAAAAAAATCTAGAACAGACTGCTATAGTCCCATGTAGCAGGATAATTTAGCATCAGACTTGTAATGATAAATAATTTAATAGTTGCCACCCGCGTAATTCCTAAAAAGCTGACTCGATGGGTTTGTTCTTAGCAAGTAGTTGTGGACTTTCCATCTGACTGCACTCTACCTTGAATAATCTTTGGGCCCTAGCATTGCCAATGGTCTATTGTCAAACCCATGGGCCAACTAGCTTGGCATCAACTGCTCAGTAGGGAGCGAGACGTCTAGGCCTATTCATGTCCTTTGAAATGCTATAACGAGACGAATCCTTTGCCGAATCTAGCCTTTTCAGGAAATATGGATATTGGATGCTGTGGGCGTCACGCACCTGCAAAAACCGGTTGTCGGTTGTTCAAGGTCGTGGGTATCCGTGCAAATTCTGACTCATGGATATTATACATGTCTATCCGGTAACGTCGTCGGTAAGCGAGTGGCGCGTGTAAGCGGGCGGCGCGGTCCTGTATTCCATATTAAACCACCCTTTTACAAACCATGATTTCTCAAATCAATTCTTGTTGACATTCAAAAAAATCTCAAAAATAGTCTTTAATATCTAGCTATAACTGAATTATACTAGAACTATTATTTAATATATCTTAATTACCTCAATACAAATGTAATTTTGGTATTTTATGTAGTTTGTTGATAAATCTTAAAATCCTAATTCAGATTCTTTGAAAAGTAGAGGAATATATAAAAAATAATACTTAAGATTTATATATCCAAGTCTTAAATCTCTAAATATCTTTATTGTTTAGATATTCAACTTTATAAAATAGCTATTTTATATGGAATACAGCACCGCGCCGCCCGCTTACACGCGCCACCCGCTTACCGACTACGATAGGTAGATACCTGTTAAATAATTCTATCAAATACCAATGGCATCTCGTACTGTTTGTTTGATTTTGAAACTGCACTAAGATAGGTACGTATATTAGTGCGCACTGTTGGCAAAGTAACTGATCAAGGCACAGGTTTTCTGATAAATGTAGGTAGGAAAATCTGTAAGAACTGGCAATATTACTAGGAGAATCAGAAGTTACATCATAGTACTTTATCAGTCAGCTGGAACAAGCGTCGTAATGTACTGGTGAAACTATATGTTACTTGGACCTCCTGTATTTAATACAGTATACACTGTACCGGCATATTCTGGCCTAGATAGTTAGTTGCCTTAATCCCTCCAGAGATAGTCCCAATCAGTACGTTGCTGCATTACGACCGCTATGGACCTGGATGGGGTCTTCTGAATCGCAGTTTTGGCCGGAAAGATCCAGGCTCATACCCTGCTTTTCTGTGCATGGAGACTCGCGTTCTGAATACGCAGAGACGACTTCGACTGTAAGGTATATGGAGATTAACAGAGCCACCAAGTTGCCCCGCTACCACGGGATTGATTTATTATGGAGTACTGTTTATTACCGTTACTACCGTCCGTGCTGTTGTATGGCCGTTGTATGAGGCGTAAAATTGTTTGTTCAGCGTGCAACAGCCATTGTGTAACGCAGTATTATTCTTACTATCATTAGACCGCTTTCATTCTAGTACATTAACAAAATCAAGTACTGACCCACATGATTAAACTTCTGGCCAATTTTCGAGCGGAAAACCCTGACACAGACAAGTGATGCGGGGTGTATTATGTTATTTTTCCACGTCCCCTCCTTTACTGTACCATAGAACACATCTGATTACGGTCTCACGTCCGCTGAGGAAATAGACAAGTTATCACTTCTCAATCCGCTTCAATCCAGTCGCATTTTCGGCGCATCTCATGTAGTTGTATCTCTTATAAGGTGTCGTACTACTCGGACAGAAAAGATGACGCCAGATATGACTCTGAATAAGCCTGCTATTCGATTGAGGCTTTGGAAGCTTCTGCATACCATCTGTGGTACGACCACTCCAGAATTCCCATTGATGATTCATATCTTCTAGCAAGATCTTTCGCTTTTCTTTGGACCGAGTGGAACTAAGTCTATTTTCGCAATTTAGTCTTGCTTTGACATAGCAGTGGTGAGGCAAGTTCCCGAAACTGTTAAATCATATCATGGCTCAATTGATTACAGTCACATATCACATAATACCGTGACACATTCTACGGCCCGGAAGCACAACTCAGACCGCACATTGACTTGGATCTTGATCGCACACTCCAATAAGTCATAAGTACGGACAGATCTATCCAGTTTTAGACAAATTACCAGCTCAGACGCTCCACCGGGCGCAATGCCATGTAACGTAATCCACAAGCGGGCTGGCCACCCAAGCGGGCTGGCCATCTCCGTATTCCATATAAAATTGCTACTTTTTAACTCTTAATATCTCGACAACAAAGCTACTTAGTTATCTGAGATCTTAACATACTTAAGATAAGTATCTATATTTTATATAAATCTACTTCTATAAGCCTAAGAAGACAAATTGAAGTCGTTATTATACTAACACTAAAAATACAGAAAATTACAACGTATTTTATATTACATGATAATCTATAGCTTATATAGAAGATTCCTTGAAATCAGAGTTGAGGCATAAGTACTAGAGACTGTATATATAAATATATAAGATAAGAAGTATAATTTACTGAGTTATTGATATATAAAATATGGCTCTATTGTATGGATAATACAGGTGGCCAGCCTGCTTGGGTGGCCAGCCCGCTTGTGGATTACGTTACTCATCGAATCGCCAGTGGAAGTTCGGCAACCTACAACGGCAGGATGTTGGTATCGAATTGTCTGCCACTTACAACGACGCGTGAAGGCTACGTTCTTGTTCAGAAAGCTGTTGTAGGCAATTCTGCCTCGATCAGACTCTATGTGCCAGCTCTAGATGTCGCCATTATATCCTTGGGTAGCATCAGTGTGCTTGTTATTTCTCTGGAATTTGGAGTACCTCGGACAGGCCAAGAAATGCATCAACAGGGAGTAACCGAGCCATAGTGGGACAATTGGCCATGAACCAAAGAGATCACTGTCGGAAAAACTAAGGGTTTAAGGTAAGGATTATGTTTGGCACAAGAAATTCAGATCCGATCAGTTCAGTGCTGGATATTCCGACCCCTACGCGGTATATACCCAGCCATCCAAATAGACTACTTCTGTCCGGGATGGTCATTTATAATAGCTTTCTGGTTCAAGTGGCTTTTATATATCTCACGACCTGGACTCACTCTGCGAAGCACTTCCTCATTCGCACGATTATCCACATTACTTCCTTCGGGTACCGGGGCATGTGGACGAGAAATGGTTTGCCGTGAAGGATGAGCGGTGCCAGTCTGTAGAATTCCTTCATCGGTCACTCTGTTAGCTTCGGAGAGAGCAAGATCTCCGGAGTCAAAGTATGTTCGTTCCTATACATTTGTTAGCTTATACTCTTTTCGAGCCGGCTTGAAACTTACTCTAGACTTATATCGACGCAAATCTCCCAATGTCTGGCTTTTGTACTTGGTCAAGATTCTCTGTTCTCTTTCGGAAAGCGGCTGGCAGAGAGACAAACAGTGAGCACTTTCCGCGGAGAAGAAGGGGGGAAATGATCTGACATTACCTCCTCATGAGTATATGGACTACTTCTCTTGCCCATAACGAGTTTGTGTAATGAATAGCTGTATATCACGACAAGCACAGTATGAAGCTTCCAGTAGCGGGAAAAGGATGCTTTATAACAATTGCTTGAAGGAAAAAGGAAGAAAATATAGCCAAGTTGCCACCCTTTATTCTTGCAACATTCGCTGTTATGTCGGTTTCATGTTTTCAATGTCACCTCTCGAACCCAAGCTACTTACCTGAACTCTGACGCTCCCGGGCGGAAACTATTTCCTTATTGCAGCACCGGTCGACCCTCAGATGTGCCACCCCAAATTGGGTCCTGTTCATGTCGCCCCAGAAATTTTACAGTATTTCCATGGTCACCTATATATATCGCCACTGGACATGGTAATTCAGTAATGCTCAATACACAACACTTCCTTCACGTTTGATGTTTGAAAGTATACATTCCAAAAAATCTTTTTGCAGATAAAATTACAAGATCTTATTACTGTACTATCCTCATTGACTGATCAGTAAGCTACAAATTCAACTGGCTCTCACTCCTCGGAGTTGTAAAGAACTCATAGAAACTTTGATTTTCCGTTCGCGGTTCATTAAAATCAAGATTTAGGATTCCCGGCTTCTTGACTGAAGACCAGCGATTGGAAAGACTGGGGCGACAATATTAGGAACTCTGTAACAAGCTCACTATCTATCAAATCTACATCCAGCAACTCAAAGACCCAGACTTGGTCCACTTTTGAGGATCTCAATTTGCGGAGATAATAGATTAGCGGTGGGAGATGATGGGCTGATTAGTAATTCAGCCATTATGTTCTGGGAGCCATCTTCAAAAGGCGCTAGATTTAGACCAAGAAAAGCACTAGAAAAGCAGCGAAAAATTGAGAAGTCACATGGCTTGCTTTTGGTGAGCTCGTTGAGGAGGATGACAAGTCGAAATTCGTCAACCGCGAGGTGTTGAACAGATGCATCTTGTTAAGCACACCACCGATGCGGCCGCGACCACTGCTGCTCCAGCGGCAACGGACATGCAAGAGAACGAACACGTTAAACTCTTAAATTGCTTTAAGATACAGAAATATCAAAGGTCTCAAAATAAGCTATACTGAGAACTAAGTTAAATCGCTAATCGAAATTGTTACTTGATCCGTTAGAACAGATGAGAATGCAGTATCCCGAGACCGTATCAAGTTGTCACACTTGGGGGAATAATGTTCGAAGTAGCGCCAGCCAACCCCATGTGCCAGGGCAGTATCACGTACTTTCCTCAAATTAGCTTTCAGCATAGGATTAGTACAGCTGATTACAAGAATGGCACAAATATCCATAAAAAGCAGAATTAAGTTGCTGGCCCAAAGGACATTCAGCAGGAGCAGCTCGCGGTGAATTCTAATTATAGCACCGATAAGTCCACGATAATTATGATAATATCAGGTAAGAAATCCTATTGTCATTTCACACTGCTGAGATTCAAGAGTAAGCAGGGATGCAATGTGTTGGCATATCCAAAAGCTGCTGTATGCTAGGGACTCGGTGCGACAGCGTATGTCTATTGGTCTCCGTCGACATCCGAGGAGAATCGACAGTGTCGGCAGATTTGGACCTCTGTTGTTGGTGTTTAGTACCCAAATAAAGGTGTATATCGCTGAGACTTGATTTGCTTCGGATCAATTTCAACGACGGCGTGCTACTAGCGTCTGAACTGTCCTGTAGCGTTTGAAATAGCTGGAGTAAAATATCCCGTTCCTCTGTCAATTCTTTAGTTCTCTTTTTATAGGCCGATTTTCGCCGCATATCTCCATCCAAGTCGAGCGTACAGGAGAGTTGACGCTTAGTGCAATGTTCACAGGCAGTGGCCTTATCTCTAAATATGCACTGCTATCTTTAGTATGCTTTGGGTTAGAATAGAGACTGAAGAATTGTTACCTTTGTTTTGTGTCGCTTGCACTCGCCGCATGCTACCGACGCCTTGCGGACCCGGGCTGCTGAGACCTTGGCCCGAAGGAAGGTGTAGAGATAATGGACGAAGGAGCTGGGGCGATAGACCGCATTTAGAAAGAGCTTGAGAGTATGGGATATATATCTGTGCAGAAGTCCTCCGTATTACTCGAATGATCTCATTTCTGCTACGGTGTAGGAAGTTCGCTGGCGGCACTTATGAATCGTGTTCCCACCAAGGCTTGATACCGGCTCGGATATTTCATCCGATCTGGTTTGATCAATTAACGTCTATCTGCATGGCAATTTTTGTCTTACTCTCTTGGCACAGTGACGTGCCGTGCTTCTGAGTTCGGATAACTTTTACCGCCCTTGTTTCAACCAATCAACATAACATCGGCTTTCTTGATTCCCGGTCGATGTTTTCGGCATAGTGACGTGCCTATGAGCTAGATTTGGGCAAAGAGCGAAACAGAATCAGGCTCGGTAGGTGAACGAAAAGAGTTACCAGTCGATGAAGCATATTGTGAATCTTCCTCCCAAGGTTAGGTCGTTTTTTGATTCGCAAGTGTCGTCATAGTCGGAAAGCCTTTTGATCATTGTTGAGAATCTTTAGCTGCAAGGGAGTCTATCTAGTTCACACTAGAGAGTAAAGCAACACGAGGTAAAGCAGATAATGAAAACAAGGGGGATCGCATGGATAATAAGCTGTACTGTACAATAATTTCCTTGCCTGTTATCTCAGATCCAGCGAGGAATCCTACGCCGTGGCGACTCACCTAGCGGCTGAGGAACCAGTAATGTACTGCACTGTGCTAGCCGGTAAGAAGTTGAACTACCTTGCTTGAGGCTTTCCTCCACCTTTTCTGTAAGATGAGTACCGCCAATTACAGTGAACAGTGTAGGCTTTCTATACACTGGTTTTGTGATGGTACTCGCTACAATACCAGCTTTCCAGTGTCTACTTATTTGACGGCTACGCTGCACCCATAAATTGTTCTAGTTTAGCCAAGGAACCGTGCCTATAATAAAGAAAGAGCTATATTAGGATATCCTCTACATGTTAGTACAGGAACCTCAGAGCGGCTACCTATTGATAAAATATCTGATTCAGATTTAGTAAATTATTATTCTTATTAGCACAAAATCAACACACAACGTGACTAGCAGCTAAAGACTCACACCTTAAAACATATTTTGAATCTCCGAGCTAAGGGGATTTCTCTATTTTACTTATCTGGGATTAATTTATACCTTAGCTTATTAAAGCTCTGTTTGTACAGTACTTTAATATAATAAAAGAACTATATAACTAAGGTAAAGCAAATTAAAGTACAAGTAAGTATATTAAGTAATTTATTGAGATTAGATATAAAAAGAAGAATAAGCCCAAGAGCTTTATACCTATTTATAAACTTAATTCTTTTTAAATATTTAAAATTATTCTTTATTACTCAGACCCAGATCTTCAGAAGAATAATAGGATATTATTATTATAGTTAGCAGAATATAGTAATTATCTAATAATTCAAGTACTTCTTAAACACAGAGTCAACCTTGATATTTATAATATATTACTTTAGATTAAATAAGCGGTTCAAGAACTTTTACAGATTATATATATATTCTTAGTCTATATTAAATAGATTTTAACTAGAGGAGTGTAGCTGTTATTATTCTTAGTATATATATTAGTCTTAGATTTTAAAAGTATTTCTGAAATTTAAGTAAATCTAAGCTTTACTGCTAGTATTAATAATAAAATATTACCCCGGATTCAATAATTCACACCTGTTTTAAGTATAGATAGTATATCTTGAACTGTAGTAATCCGCTGTTTATAAATTACTTATATTAAAATAATTTCTGTATTATAATTCTTAATATTTAGATTAACTCTAAAATTAAAAAAAATTATAATTTCTGGGTACTGAAGCTCTGTGGTTATAGAAAATACTATATAATCTTATATATTTTAGTAATTAATATTTCCTGTATAAAAAAATAATAAAACTGTAACAATAATATTAGATTCTCTAAAAATTATCTATATTAGTAGAATTCTTCTCTGAAGATTTTTTATATTAAGATCTGCTCTATAGTTTAGAAATAATTTTAATATTTCAATAAATTTATCTTCTTTCCCTGTCGGTATTGCCGTCTATAATAAAGAAATATAATTTTTTTAATTCTACAGATTTAGATAAGCTTTACTACACAGTAAGATTTTAATATATAATATATTATATAACTCGCAGATATAAGAAAGAGCAGTTTATTTTTTTATTATTTATATCTATATTAAATCCTTTAACCTTGATTAGTAATTCCAGTATATCTATTCTTAATAGATATTATACTGTAAGTATTAAGGGTGCATCTTTACATTTACTAAAGTTGAGGTTAATATTATAATTTCCTAGAAAGGTACAGAGTATATGATTCTTTTTCGGGTGTTTTTATTATAGTGTTTTTTTAGGACCTTTTGCAATTCACCGGATGTAAAATATAGTGAAAATAGTCCAGCTTCGGTATCATACTTCAGATTTTGAGATTGATTCTGGAACTAATATATTGTTGACTTTGGTTTTGTCAAATGATGAATCAGCAGCCGGTCGGGATGTAAATCGGAAACCAGACTTTCTCCTGACAAGTGTATAGCAGATATTGCTAAGTTTGCTGTGATCTTTAATTCATAAATGCCTAGCTCATGTCTGAGTGAGTGCCCAAGCTCTACTCTGTGATCAAAGAATGCTTTGCTATCGATAGATTACCAGGTTGGCATCAAACCTATATTGGAAAAAGGGGGGTTTTTGTGTTGATAAAAGGTGCCTGCTTGTAAGCTATTCCTTAACTTTCACATTCTCCCTTGTCGGATGAGGGGGAATAGGATTACGTGTCAGCTAGACCTAAAGAAGATAATTTCGAGTCAGTTCCGTGGCTTAGCGATCCCAGCATACTATCTCAGACCAATTATAATCACTGCACGGAAAATAAGGTGGACCATAGAGTTTCCATGGGTAATATTGCGTGACCATCGCGCGACCGGGGTGATCGCTCACCCATCTTTAAAACACACTCACCCTAACTCACCCCCGATCGCGCGACCGTAAAGCGGCCTCACCCGCTAGCTCACCCGAGCGGCACCCACCCGCCTTCTGGCCGCGTTCAAGCCACACGCCGGGAGGTTAGTAGTTGGGTGGGTGACCACCAGCGAATCCCTTCTGTTGTATGTTTTTGTCCCCTCTCTTTTGTTTCCATGCATGCCAATCTGTCCGTATCACCGAGACACCCAGCATGACCATTGTGCCATGCGAGTGAGCATACCCTCCCTGGAGACGATGATTGTCGCCAACTCCTACGCTGTGCGAGGATCGGACAGTCTTCATCCACACCCGATGGCCACCCACCACCACAGCAGTCGGCGGTGGGACACGGCAGAACGGGAGAAAAAGGCTGGCGACTACCCGCGTTGCAGCCAGCACTGTCACATTCCTCAGTGCATTGTCCTCTTCGAGTTGTTACTTACCAGCACCCATCTACGCATGCAACTTCATTCAAGCTGAAACCCGCTCCTGCAATATGCTCAACATCATACCCGTGTCTTCCCCTGCCATTTAATTACCATCTCATTTCCCTAACCAATAATCAGCCGCCTTCCGACCGTTAGGGGGCGAGACCTTGTCTTCATGTCGGTCTATTCATCACGGGGAAAGTGGCCAACGTTCAGCCTCACCAGGACGGGGATGGAGGGTTTGCAGTGGAATGGATCATTATTCTCCGATCGATACCGGGGTAAATGCTCCATTAGTGCCTGGTGGCCTCTGGTACCACGTCCGGTGCCACAAAGCCTCCCATCGAGCTTATGCGCTCCTTCGGACAGCACCAATATGAACAAGACATGCATGAGCCACCCTGGAAGTGCTATTGCTGTGACATTGTACAGGCTGAATCTGACATTGTAGTTAAAAGACATTTTCTCTCTGGATCACTTGGACATGAGACCGATCGGCCATGTGACATAACTCGATAGCAGGATGCGCGGTGAGCATAACTTTCCAAGTGGACACTCTCACAAAGCTTCTTCAAGGCGACGGTCCAGCTATGCCGGAAAACCTCCGAAAATACAGTTTAGCCATCGAACCTTAAAGCCATATTACCGTACCTTTCAACCTAGCGCCTAGCCGGGGTGAGGAAAACCCGCAGAGGTTTCACTCCCCAGGTATTGAAGACGGGGGTGTCCCGGTCCCAATTCTCCGACTCCGGGGATAGTTCCCAGTCGAACTCCCAGATGAAGCGACTCAATACGAGATGTAACTCCAGCTTAGCCAAACTCTGACCGAGACAGTTCCGGGGCCCGACACTGAAGACCTGCATGGCATGCCGATCGTCCTTTGCGTACACCGGATCGCCCAACCATCGCTCCGGGACAAATTTCTCGGGATCCTGAAAATTGAGACGCGAGTTATTGGCTGCATAATGGCAGATGCCAACCTGCATGCCCCCCGGGATCCATTGACCCGCAATCCAGGCGCCCTCTCGAGGGACCCGCCGGGGGAAGACGGCAGGTCCGGGCGGAAATCTTCGCATAGCTTCGGTAAAGCAGGCGGGCAGATACTTGAGCTTATTCACGCTGATGGAAGTGATATCCTCCCGCCTTGAAAAGGTGGTGCGAACCTCCTGGATGACCCTGGCCTTCGCTTCCGGGTTCTGGGTGAGGTAGAAGGTGGTAGCGCTCAGGGCGGCGCTGGTGGTTTCGCTGCCGGCTATGATGAGCGTCGAGCAGTTGCCGTCAATTTGGTATCGCTCGAGTTTATGTTCTGGATTCAGAAGACTGGCGGTCAAATCGTTATAGGTCACCTTCCTCTCGATCCGTCGCTGGACTTTTTCATGGGTCAGCTGCTTGTGGGTGGCAAACGTCTCGGCGTAAGATTTGGGCAGAAGTTTTAACAGCCCGCTGGAAACTGATGGATAATAGTTGAGGGCCTGCATGAAGCCCCGGTACTTCATGACCTCGAAGATCATGGCCACCCATGGCTGATAAGTGGAGCTTTCCAGGCACCCGAAAGACTCTCCAAAAGCGAGCTCTCCAATTAGATCGAATGTGAAGAACTAATCCAATGCGAATCAATAAGTTTGTCCTCAATTATGGCTCGGAAATCAGCTCACATTGAACCAGGAGGTCAATTCCGGCGCGACTCCCTTCGATGCCTCCCCCCGAAGCTGTGTGAGCAACAGATCAATCTTGCCCTGTATCACGGGTTCCTGTTCTCTCAGTGCTGCATCCGAAAACCCCTTCGAGAGCAGCCGTCGGTAGAGTCGATGGAGGTCGTGTTCGGCTGTGACAATGGCATGAGGCGTTCGCGGACCACGAAACAGCGGAGTATCTTTGCTCATCTCGAGCCGACCGGGCTGCAGCCCGTAGATCACCTCCCATGCTTTGCTTGAGGTGAACAGGATCTCATCCGGTGCGATCCGTACGACCGGGCCGTACTTTTCGTGTGCTCGATGGGCAAATCGGACCACGGACCCCGAGAGTAAATGATAGGAATGCACCAGGCGAGTCACGGCTGCCAGTTTTGGCCCGGGGAATTTCGCAAGCGGATGGAATACTAGGAGATACACGACGTTGATGATGACATACTGAGGGCTTCGTCAGTTGGTGATAGGCTTGGACATCGTAGCATTCTTACTAGCAGGGTCACTACCACCACCGTTCCTATGATGCCCCAAATACTGAGCACATTGAGGTGCATGAACAATTGGTCTGCAACCCGCGACATCGTGGTAGGCATTCGAGTGCCAGGCAGATAAAGATTTTACTTGAAGATCGCGTTGCCTAGAACAATTATGGATGAGAGACTGTATGTCGCTCTGGTCGATTATACACGCGCCAATGCGTAGAATGGCTGACATGCATGGATGATACAGTCATCAAGATGACAGGCCAGCCAACCAAGCCTACGAGACCAAGCTATACTGTGAGCATGTAGTCCCAAGGTACAGGAGAAGTAGATAGACTATCAGCCACTGGTTGACTGACGATTCAGTCTGGCTTTTGGGAGACAATCCCGGATCTCTGACATTAGCCACCCCTCTTCCAAAAATGATCATGCACTCATCCACGATTCTTTGCCTTCCTTTCACCTGGCCCACTGCATTCTCCAGAGCTTCCCAAATTATCGACCACAATTTACAATTTCCATCCCCGCTTCACCCCTTTGTTTCCCCAAGCCGGAAGCTGTGTTGGAAGCTTTGTTGGACCGGCCGAGCGAGAATCAGCGGTTGGTTACTCAAACGAAGGCAGGCACGTGTCGCGGTCTTTTAAAGCAGACTGAATTCACTCCCACACAGTGACCTTCACCACTTCCACCTCTTTTGTTCGCAACACTTGTGTTCCGGATAACAACAACGACACACAACATACACTTCAAGGCATAGTACGACAAGCCTGGGTCGTGATGAAGGTGGAAGCCGATTCCTCAGTGATCGACTGGGATGGCCCTTGTGATCCAGCAAGGCCAATCAACTGGCCCAGGAGCAAGAAGTGGCGGAATATCTTCAGCATCTCCTTCTTGACCTTTCTGACTCCTTTGGCTTCCTCCATCCTAGCCCCCGCCACGGGTCTAGTTCTGAAGGACTTCCAGTCCACGAACAGGACCCTCGGCTCCTTTTCCGTATCCATCTACCTGATTGGCTTTGGACTCGGGCCTCTCGTTCTGGCACCACTGTCGGAGATGTATGGTCGCCTACACGTCTATCAAATCACCACCGCTGTCTTTGTTGTGTGGAACGTCGCCTGTGCGCTGGCCCCCAACCTCGGTGCTCTCTTGGTCTTTCGACTGCTTGCAGGTTTGTCAGGGAGTGCCCCGATGACTCTGGGCGCCGGGTCGATTGGAGATCTCTTTGTGCCCCAGGAAAGAGGATTGGTGATGGCCATTTGGGGAGTCGGTCCACTCATGGGACCGGTGCTCGGACCCATCGCCTGTGGGTACCTGTCAGAAGCTGCTGGATGGCGTTGGGTGCTCTGGCTGGTGGTTATTGTGGTAAGTACAGGTTGCCTGGGCTCGCCACCGAATGTGTATGCTTACTGGCATTACTACACCCCTACAGTCAGGAATCGCGCTGGTCTTTACCGTACTCCTCCAGTCAGAAACCTACGAGCCGGTGCTACTGCAGCGCCAAGTCAACCGATTGAAACACGAGACTGGCAACGCCGACCTCTACTCGGACAAGACCCCAAGAGTCAATGCGAAGAACAGCATCGTCCAATCTATCGTCCGACCGTTAAAAATGCTCTTTCTGTCTCCGATAGTGGCCCTGTTTTCAATGTATATCGGTAAGCGTCACCCTGGTCGAACAGTCCCGTGTCTGCATGGGTTCGGATCTCTGACCCCTTATCAACCACAGGAATCGTGTTCGGTTATCTATACCTGCTCTTCACAACTATTACGCACATCTACGAGACTACCTATCACTTTAGCCAGGGTAATACCGGATTGGTCTACATTGGAGTTGGGGTGGGCGCTGCAATCGGGATGGTTATCTTTGGAGCGTTGTCCGACAGGATTCAAATCCAACTCACGGCGAAAAACAACGGTCAATCGGAGCCGGAGTTCCGGCTGCCTTTGCTGATACCAGGCAGCATTTTGGTCCCCATCGGATTGTTCTGGTACGGATGGTCGGTCGACAAACATGTGCCTTGGATTATGCCTGTTATAGGTCTGGCCTGGATTGGCTTTGGGATGATCGGAACCTTCTTGCCCATCCAGTCCTATATGGTGGATGCGTTTGGTCCCTATGCGGCCTCGGCTGTGGCTGCAAACACCCTGGTCCGATCATTCGTCGGAGCGTTCCTACCCCTTGCCGGTCCCTCGATGTATGCCACCCTCGGGTTAGGATGGGGCAATTCGTTGCTGGGTTTTATCGCTCTGCTCATGTTACCAGTGCCGGTCATCTTCTACTACTATGGTAAACGGATTCGGACGAAGTTTGAGATTACCTTCTGACGCCTGGGGCCAATGTTGACGAGTCGTGTGCATAGATCGCTCATTGATTGGTCGCTCTATTATGTACAGCTGTGATGTGATACAATGGAAGTGGCTGTTCGCGCCAGCTTTGCCTTCTGAGGGAGTGAATTATGGGATGAATGTTGGCGCGTTGATGAAGATGATGATAGAGATGCGCAGTAAAGCGTGAGCTGGTCTTTGCTCTTGTTGAGTCAAGTCGCATCCCGCGCAACAGCGTCTATCCGTTTGTGCAACCTCAGTGAGACAATTTTACTGCGCAAGAATCTGTTTGCAGTGCGACGCAGCTTCTCCCTCTTTTGTGTCGGACATCCTGCGGTAAGGTGACGATATGGCGTGATATCAAGAGGTCCACAGGGCTGGATTGATAGGATAGCCCAGCCATCCCAGCGTGCGATTACTTGACGTCTTGCCCAGAAAGCTACCTACAGGGTACTGAAAAAGGCCGGTGTCACCTTGTGCAACTAAGCCCAGCCTTCTTGATCCTCGTCACTGTCGAAGGTTCCATCTTACGTTGTTACCGTTTGATGACTGGCACACTCCTACTGTTGGCGTTTTGCCCTGGAGGGGTTGAACTAGGTACTGTGGGCTGGGAGTCAAGAGGGGAGGATGATGCATAGGTATTAGGTAGCAATATAGTGGAGGATATACTGCATTCGTTTGGCGGGCGGTAGCCATAAACAGTACCAGTTGCCAGTTGGAGTGGGGTTGGCTCTGGCTATCTATCCTCTGCCTCAGGCATTCACCCGTCACGATGACCGACTTCGATCCTCAAGTCGACGAGGCAAAGACTTTCCTTGCCCAACTCAACAAGATCGACCTCGACGATGCTGGCACACACAGAGATGCAATTTTTGAGTGCCAGTCTATCATCACTGCACTTCAAAAGCCCGGAGACAATGCCCTGGAGAGCTTCACAACCGTCTGGATTCCTCGCCCATCATAGTTAAGCAAAGCTGACCAGCGCAGTTCACCATCTTTCCCTGTCTTCGAGCCGCAAGCGACCTACAAGTGTTCGAGAAGCTGAGCAAGGAGCCACTGACGCTGCAGCAGTTGGCTGAACAGACAGGGGCCGAACCGACTCTGCTCGGTGAGCTTCCTCCCCCCAACACTCTCGAACCAGAGCTCATCCATTCATCCACAGCTCGCCTCATGAGAGTCATCACCGGAACAGGGATCATCCAAGAATCCAGCCCGGAGACCTACACGGCCACACCCACCTCCAATATCCTTGGGAGTTCCGCGTTCGCCGCCGGCTTCCGCATGTTGTAAGTCATCTTTGCCCGGTTCACTCCCACCGATACGACACTACTAATTCCTCCTTAACAGCGGCAAGATCGTCCCGAACCTACAGAACTTCCCCGACCACCTCCAAGCAAGTGACTACTGCAACCCCACCGACAGCGACAGCCCCTCAGGGATTTTTCAATCCTGCTTTCACACTGACCACACCTTCTTCCAATGGCTCGCCGCCAACCCGCCGGTCGCCCGCGACTTCAACACCTTCCAAACCACCAAGCGTAACCAACAGCACTGGAGCGACACATACCCCGTGTGGGACCGCATAACCGAGGGCGCTGACACCCTCGATGCCGGCGCGCCCCTTCTGGTTGACGTGGGCGGCGGCATGGGCCACGATCTCCGTGCGCTCAAGACCAAGTTCCCAGCGCAACTGCAGAAGGGGCAGATTGTCCTCCAGGACCAACGCTCCGTGATCGAAACCATCCCAGAGAACATGCGGGACCAGGCCATCGAATACATGGCCCACGATTTCTTCATGCCGCAGCCTGTGACCGGGGCACGAGTGTATCTGCTCAAGCACATCATCCATAACTGGCCCGATGAGAAGGTTGTCGAGATCCTGCGGAATGTGGCTTCCGGGATGAAAAGAGGGTATTCGAAGGTTTGGTTGTTTGGCGGGATTGTGCCGGCGATGCAGGCGCCGCGGATCCTGTCCCGGATGGATATCGTGATGATGGTGTTTATGGCGGCGATGGAGCGGACGGAGAGACATATCACGGAGCTGTTGGGGCGGGCTGGCCTGGTGGTCACGGCGGTGGATATCGTGACGGAGGGATATGGAGTTGTTGAGGCGATGTTGGAAGGAGCTTAGGAGTTTGGTAGAATGATTTTGATGATTCTTGGTTGATGTGAGAGACTGTCTTGAGGGAAGGGACGGTATTGTGTATTGGGTGATAGGATATAGACTGCCATGGAGAAGTAAGTGTACTGACTTCCAATACCAAGCAAGAGGTAGACTTCATAAACACCCCATCAGCTCAAAGTCATAAACTGGACAAAACAACAAGCCCGTCACAACTGACTGTCAATAACCCAGGAAAAGTACCAAGCGCCAGGAATATTCCAGACCGACGGAGAAGCAGTCATCAGACACCTCTGCACGCCCCTAGCCTGTATTCCAACCGACCGAGCCAGCCATACTATAAGAAGCGCACACGCACCACCTCCTAGGCACCCCGCAACATCCACTCAACTCACGCATCCAACACCTCCATCATGCCGACCGCTTGGCTCCCCCCCTACGAAGCAGGTCTCCTGCCGTACTTCCTCCTCTACGTACAGTCCCATCCCACCCCCTGTTACCCAGACAAACTAACAACCCCAAAGAGCACCCTCGCCACCCTCGCCCACGCACTAACAACGTACCTACACCCGCTCCGCTCCATCCACGCCTTCTCCGGCCCGTCCGCACCGCCCAAATCCCCCCTCCTCGCCCACGTCTACGGCCTCATCAACCTCCTGGCGGCCTCCATCCGCCTCTCCGCCGCGTACCACATCCACAATGCGCCTGTCTACGACCTCGCCGTGCTGAGCTTCGTGTTCGTGCTGGCGCTGTATCTGTCTGAGATTCTGGTGTGGGGCACTGTTGCGGTGCGGGATGGGATGGTGCCTATCGTCGCGAGTGGGGTCGGGGTTCTGTGGATGGTTGGGGGGAGGGAGTGGTATCTTGGTTATTGATTTGTTCTGCACGGGTATCGAGGGGATGGGGATGGTTGGGTTCGGGGCGACAGTCTGAGGTTGTTATCGTTGTGGCTGTGGTTGTAGGATGCTCGTGCATGTTGTTGGGGAGGTAATGCCAGGTGCAGCGGATTTATGGATCATGGAAGATACAGGCAGATCGAGGATTGAATCTCTTGAGTATAAGATGTGTTCCATGTGTTGATCTACTATCAATAAATGGTAGTAGCTTTAATGCGGTGGCTATTTTCTTGACCTGTGGCAACAAGACCATACATGCTGGCTGTCCGCCGCTATATGACTGTAGGCTTCTAGGGTCGATATGACTACAGCAACGATAGAGATCAATGCAGATAGGAGACAAAGGATGAAGGTAGGAAAAAGAAGGAGGCGGTGGACACCAGAGTATAGCCTCATCCGCAATTACTCGACCGAAAAAAAAGTATGACAGGAGTGGGATTCGAACCCACGCCAACTTACGTTGATCAGGAAGCTGTGAAGCTGGGTGTTAAGGTAACCTTAACCTGACGCCTTAGACCAACTCGGCCATCTTGCCTTGATTGATGTAATCATGACATATTCTGCGTTTATGTTCCATATTAATATTAATAGACATCACCGACCTCATCCTTCGCATGCGAATACAGAGCAGAGACACCCCAGATCAATACATCCTACTCTGTGAAACGAAACACCCGCACAGCCTGGTAACACTGTGCTCTAGTTCACTCTACTGGTCCGCTTTACCCAGCCTGAAATTCAGCGCGAAAGCCTTGTCAGGGCCACCAGATATGTTCGCGGCACCGGCGTCTTACGTGCATTCGAGTCCCTTTGGGGCACTTTCCATGATCAACAAATTTCCCATCATCCTAATGTAGAGAAACCTTGCGTAAGCCGTTGATGACTCAAAGCTCGAATTCATCGATTTACAAGCAGGCCGTCTTTCGGCCGAAGAGCCCGGTCGTGCATGCAGCCCTGCAAGGCAAGGGACTCGTCATTGTTGCACACTATCCTGAAGTCATATGCACCATCGCTATTAGAATCTATGATACTCTTCTGAGAATGTTGCCATAGGACGGGTCATTACCGAGAGTCCTCCAGGAGACGAGGGGGATAACGAGGCCTGCTTCTGTGTGGTCACCCTGCCCGAATTGCAATCATGATCAAGGAAGATTGAAGCCCGTATGACCCCTGACATCCTGTTGTCAATGATGTCTTGGCGACCGTTGCCAAGGGCTTCACTCAGAGTAGAATGGATGAGACTGGAGTCCGAAGAAAGAGTGGCTCAAAACCGTAGAGTAGAGAAATACTACGACCGTAGAATTGGCTTTCTCAACCAACACCCAGCCAGCTAGCAAAATGATGATAGCGAGGCTTACCAGCCTATTGACCGGGTTTGGCCTGTTTGTCTCTGCCGTCCCCATCTCTGAGACCATCACTCGCGATGTTGTGATCCTGGGAGGCGGCAGCACCGGCACCTACGCTGCTATCCGTCTCAAGGATCTGGGGAAGTCGTTCGTCATCGTCGAACGCAGCAACCGTCTGGGAGGCCACGGCGAGACCTTCTACCCGGCCGAGAACACGCCCATTAATTACGGTGTCGAAGGGCTCTTCAACACCAGCGCGACCCGAGCCTATCTCCACCGGCTCAACGTCCCGTACGAAGTCCGCGTGCCAGCCTCCTCCAACGACCAATACCTCAACCTACGAACCGGCAGCAAGGTGCAGATCAAGTCCGTCGACGAGCAGCAAGCCCTGAAGCCATACCTCGACGCCATTGCGCAGTTCTCCTTCCTCACCGATGGCCCCTACAACCTCCCCGACCCAGTCCCCGAGGACCTCCTCCTCCCGTTCGGTGACTTCGTGAAGAAATACAACCTCGAGCCCACCATCCTCCCCAACATCAACCACGGCTGTGGAGACATCTTCAACATGATGACCCTTTACCACGTTCAATACCTGGGGATCCCGCACGCCAAAGCCCTGGGTGAAGGCTACCTCCGCCCGGTTAACGGGATGGCAGACATCTACACACGCGCCGCGCGGGAACTCGCCGAAGACGTGCTCTTCAGCACAACCGCGCAGTCAATCCGCCGCTCCACCGATGCAGTCGAGCTACTGGCCGTCAGCCGCCACTCGAACGGCACCACAACTCGCACGCTCATCCACGCGAAACAGCTCCTAGTCACCATCCCAGTGACGCTGGACAACCTACACCCGATCGTCGACCTGGACGCGCACGAAACCGACCTCTTCTCCCGCTGGCGTTACCAAACCTACTACGCCGCACTGGTCAACAACACCGGCCTCACCGACGGGGTCAACCTCCTCAACATCGACCCGGACAACGCGCTCTCCGTGCCCCGCGAGCCGCTCATCTGGCGCATCGACGCCCAGCGCGTGCCGGACTACCGGACCATCAAGCTGGTCGGCAACCAGTCGTTCACGGCGCAGGACGCGCAGCAGCTGATGGCGGAGACGTTCGCGAAGCTGAGCGCGCGCGGCACGTACCCCGCGGCGCGGCGGCCGCACATCGTGGCGTGGGGGGACCATACGCCGTCCACGATGAGCGTGAGCGCGGATGAGATCCGGAACGGGTTCTACCGCAGCCTATACGGGCTGCAGGGTCGGCATCGCACGTTCTATACCGGGTTGGCGTGGGCTTCGGATTACTCAACGCTGCTGTGGAGGTATACGGATACCGTGATTGAGCAGATGCGCGCCGGATGGGGGAAAGAAGCGTGATGGCATTTTGTTGTGTTTATTGTTGTGTTTGAGGTGAGGGGCTCGAGTATTGGTGGAGATGAGGGATTGATTTTGGTTGTGTCTGGGCTATGAGCTGTTGTCTGCTTCGTGTGATGCATAGGTATGGTATCTTTCTCTCAGTAAGAGCCCTCTGCACAATGTCTCCTTCTTCCCAGTAGGACGGCAATTCGTGCAAGTCGGGTAGTCTATTCCATGTAGCGGGCAGATCACTTACTACAATTACCCCACCGTGGCTCGGAGTGGTCTGTTATGCATATTATGCATAATCCCGAAGTAACATAATTCAAGCCATCAGATAAAGGTGTACTGGCTATTCGATCTACAAATATGCGAGGTTCTCTTCAGCCACCAAAGCTCGACTGCAAGGAGAAGTTAGCAAGGTGCAGAAATGCTGGAGTGGGAAATGGCAAGGTGTATTGCCCAATCAATAAGCCTTCTACTGACCTTCATCTAGAGACAATACCATTTGAACCAAGTTTCTACTCAGTCTCAAACGTCACGACATCAGACTGTACCCGGAATTTCCGTTCGTTTGCACTGGCCACCCTTTCATTTATACCTGACTGGGAGTGACGATCGTCTCTAATCTGCGTCTTGAGTTGCGTTTGCCTTTATATGCCTTGACTAGAGCAGAAGAGATACGCGGTGATAGAGGTAGGAGCCCTTCTCATTTTGCATCCTCACGCCCAGAGTTTGACCTTTGTTGTTCAAGGGGCAAGTCAATTTGTTCCTCAAATATAGGCGAAGGCGAACAGGCAAGTGTTATAGAAGCAATACTGAATAGCCTACCAAGATGCTGATCAAACATTTATCGTCCAGAGGATGGAGAATGTAATGCCATTCCAACAAGGGAGAGAAGCACTGCCATGGATCTAGATTATGATGGCAGCTGCAAAGCAGGGATTGGCGTCAGCTTGGCCAGACCTGGCAATGATCATCGAAGAAACCGATAGGCGCTCGCGAGCTTATCACCGCCCGTTCCATCATCTCGATCAACATGATACCTCCGAATCGTGACTGTTTCCATCGAGCTAAACCTAATTCCAAAAACTCGAATCGCGACAGGAATGAAATGAAACCATCAACCATGCCTCTGCACCGTATCTCCAGAGCTTTTTCAGCCTCCACATAGCAGAGTCGCGGGCTGGCTGATCACATCCTTCAGCCCGCATCCTCAGCCGTGCCAACGCATTCGCCTAGTGCTTACCCCAAGAAGCGCTGCAGAAAACGGGTCAAGACCACCGAACAAAGTACCCCTAAGCGAATAAAAGCGCCCTGACTACAGCACAGATGCACGCGTCCTCGGTTCGAGCCACTCGTTTGGCGTAAAATTAACCAGCATTTGGAACGATCATATGTTTTGCTTGATGAGATTTCAGATACGTCGTATGCGGGCGTTGCTACAAAATGGTCCAGAATGGGTAGCTGTCGGGCTATCAGCTCGTATTCCTGGAGTGATTGCATGGGAGGGAGAGAGTAGTATAAGTACCCGGTGTGCTTTGAGCCAGTGCTAATCATGTCTTGCAAATCAAGCACTCCCGCGAAATTCATTAGGGAAGAACCCAACGACAGCAAGAATGAGCCCTTCCGCCCAGCACCAGCGGCAGCCTCCCCCCAAGCTCCCCCGCACCGGCCTCGCCGCTTTGCTAACCACCTTCGACACCCCTGGCGAGATCCAACTCCCCAACGGCAGCCTAATCCCCATCAACCCGCCTGCCGGTCCAACCTGGCGCGTCACCTTCCACACCCCTGCATCTCTCCGCACCCCAATCACCGAACTCGCCATCGGAGAAGCCTACGTCAAAGGCAAAATCACCGTGACCGGCGATCTGGCCGCTCTCCTCGCCTCCCGCCCTCGGCTCGACGAGAAAGTCCCCATCCGCCAACGCCTCCGCTTCCTCTGGGACTACTACCTCCGTCCCACCACGAAAATAAACGAGCAAGCCATCAGCGACCACTACGGCCGTGGCGACGATCTGTACCTCAGCTTCATCGACACGCGCTACCGGTTTTACTCGCACGGGTTGTTCGAGACGGAGCAACATGCTGGACCAAGGATGAGTATCGAGGACGCATCCGAACGAAAACTCGCTCGGCTGTTCGCGGCGCTGCGGCTCGAGGCAGGAATGCGCGTGTTGGATGTTGGGGGAGGATGGGGTGGAGTGACGCAGTATTGCGGCGCGAGGGGAGTGCACGTCACCACGTTGACTTTGGCCCCAAACCAGGCGCGGTATATCGAAGGGCTGAAGGAGCGGTTGCGGGTGCCGGGGCGCGTGATTCTGGGCGACTTTTGGGAATGGGAAAGCGAGAGAGAGTTCGATGCGGTGGTGCTGCTTGGGGTGATTGAGCACTTGCCGGCTTATCGGCGGTTTGCGGGGCGGGCGTGGGATTTGCTCAAGGTAGGCGGGAGGATGTATCTGGATGGGTCGGCAGCGGTGGAGAAGTTCGCGGTGAGTGCGTTCACAAGGCGCTATATCTGGGGCGGCACGCATACGTATATGACGGTGCAGGATGTGATGAGCGAGTTGTTATTGCATGGGTTCGAGGTGGAAGAGGTGGCGCAGGAGACGAAGGACTATGGATGGACGATGGAAGAGTGGGCGAGGCGGTTGGATAAAGCCAAGGATGAGATTATAGAGGGATGGGGTGAAGAGACGTATCGTGTCTTCCGCCTGTTCCTTTGGGGCGGGGCGCATGCATTTGCTGTTAACGCCTTGCAGGCGTATCATGTGGTGGCTGAAAAGACGACATCCAGGGGACCGAGGCCATCAACTGGGAGAAGAGTTATACAATTCTTAGGCAAGCTGAGGTGAATGCTTCGTATGATAGCCCATTCGGGCTGATTTATGTAAAGTCGGGTCATATAGAGTGGCTTCTATAGAAGCATGGGCACAGGAACTGGACGATTTGACCCTAAAATTTCTAGTATTGATGTTCCGTGCCACGCCACTAGCTGGTTGAGTATCAGGAGAAGGCTCTGCACGATGTGTTGCTTGATGCGATCGTGCTCTGCATCATATCATCGCCACAAGTCAACGACGAATGATCCCCTGTGGTGGTTGCAGGCAGGGGCAGGCATTATGGAGGTATCGAACTGTCCGGCCTGGCCGGGGAAAAGAGCCACAAGAGATACAGGAGGCATGTTGGGAAGAATGTGAAAGCTGGATCCTGTCAAACGTGGATTAGCTGGAGTGAGACTAGCTACCAGGCGAGTTGACCCGTTTCGAAGAGCCGACAGGCAGAATAGGATACCTGTTATATTTGATAGTGCGTTAGAACTCACAAAACTAACGAGGTTGCAAGCTTCGAGGAAACGCTCACAAGAATCAAATGGATGCGTGCTGGATTTGACGAAGGGTATTGGAACTGGTAGAGGGAAGCGAACAGATGAGCGGACACAAAATGGAATGGGGAAACAACATATGAGGCGTGGGAATGCAACAGAAATTATAGAAAGACAAATGACGACTGAGGCTAGTACAGATGCAAGTCTAGGTGATGCCGTATGGTAGGCATTAGAGATAATCATCAATGACTCGGGGAAGAAGACCAAAGGTAAGCGACCGTAGTAGGAAGTCTGCGAAGCAGAGTGTTGGTCTAGCTGGTTTGCATCTGATAATGAGTTATGCACATAGAAACTGACTAAACTCGCATAAAGTGAGTTCACCCCGGAGTTGTGACTTCGGTCTCCTTTACCTTTGATGAAAAGGAAGGTTTGATGATCCATGATGGATTCCACCGGCTGAATTTCATCTCTGTTAGCGGAACTGATTCGATGACGCCATGGAGAATGTTTTTGAGAGGGCGCTCGGCGTCTTGTCGCTTTCCCGACCATTTCTTCCCCTTTTTCCCCCCCCCCCTCGGAAATGACTGCCGATGCTAAGCAACACTCCACTCTGCCACTCTCCCCAGACTTGGTCCTTACAACGCGTTGAATCAGATGCTAGATGGAAATGACTGCCAAATTCGCTATGTAGTCCCTCGACCATCTGGTGCTGACCGTGCGGTCAATCTCCACCCCGGTAGCCTTCTACACCTATCTCGGAATGCGACACGAGGTCTTCACGTCCCCAAGCAGCCCCAACATCCAGCGGTATGACCATCGATGCACTGCATCACCAACAGATATGAAGGCATGTGCTGAATCATGATAGTCACTCTCTCATCTTTGGATCGCAGAAGATCAATCTCCACGAATGCGGGAAGGAGTTCGAGCCCAAGGCCCAGAATGTGATGCGAGGCAGCGCAGATCTCTGCTTTTTGACTGATACCAAGGTCAGTGAGGTGAAGAAGGTTCTCGAAGAAGCTCGGATCAATCTGCTAGAGGGTAGAGAGATCGTTCCGCGCACGGGGCTCGGGGAAGGATCCAGAGCGTGTATTGTCGCGCTCCGGATGGCAATCTGATTGAGTAGGTCAACTTCTTGTGCTCAAAGGTGTGCTTGTTAACCATATGCAGAATCTCCAACTACGAATGAGGGTAAAGAGAGTCCGGCGTGATGCTCCGTTCATGATGTCTTATCATGGTATAGCGAGGATCACTGATGCCTTGGCGAGAGGGGCGCTGGGTCGGAAACATGATGAATTACCAGTCTCATTTAGTTAAAACTCCGTCTAATCAGATTTAAAGCTTTAACCGACCATATCATAGCCAGATATTCTTACTTGATGCCAGCCCTGAATCCTCTACGTGCCGCTTAGGAGAGAGCCTGATGCGTGTTCAAGGATAAGGCTAAGTTGCTGTAAGCGCTTCACAACACATGAGTAAAGACAGCAAATCAACAGCTGCGGCAAGCCGGTGCAAACAAGCGCAAGTCATTAGTGTTGTTGCAGCGATCCGGGCGAAGAAATCTCTGTTCGCATGGCAAATAGACTGTGCAGGAAGCGGAGGGAGGCAATAGATCCTATATGAGACGCACGCTTAACTTAACAGTAATAATCTTGAGACCTCTCATCTACCATTATCCGAGAGTGAGCCCTTAGTAACTGCTCTCGTCATAACCATCGCCAAGCCCATTGAAGAAGTTCAGCTTCGTCAGTTTCATCACCTACATCATAATGAGTAACACTCAGTCCTTCCTCGACTTCCGTCCTCGACTGCTTCCTGCCTAGTGATCACAACTCCTTACCTACTCAAACCACCATGAGTGTCATATTAGTACAAGCCTCTTAGCTCCCCATCATTCTTCTCACCAGCCTAACAGTCCTGGAGATTCACAGACCCGTCGATGATCTGATTTCATCGATCGGCTGGACTGACTTTCTCGCCCGCACCCCCCTCATAGCCCTGGCCACCGTGATCGAGCAACATGCCTTGATGGCGCAAGCTGCCTTGCCACCGATGCTCTCCGACGGGCCCCGGGGAAGCCATTAAATTCGCGCAAGAACACTCGGTTTATACAACCATCCTGGCCCTAGGGGTGTTGGTGGCCCTCATGCATTGGGTGCTTGAAGTGCTTGGATGTGCTGAGCTAGGCCCGGGGGAAGCGTCAGTTGCAGCGATGTGGCAGAGCCGGTATGCAGGGTATGTGTCGAAAGTGTCTTTGTTGGAATTTTTTGCAGAGGCTGGGAACGGTCTGGCACTGATTTCTGGCGGCCAGGCGACTGCGGAGTGTGTGAAAGGATGGTGGACTAGTATGTCAAAAAGCTGTTGATGGTGAGCAGCCCTGTGTAGTAGCTTGCTAATAGGTACCGAATTGCAGTTTTCATTTCGAAAGGGAAATAGTATCCGTGCCTTGCTTCCGGAGGATATTAAGCCGGTCGGCTCTTGCGGGTAATGACTGCGGTGGTGAGAGGAGACGCCGCATATATATGCACGAAGAACAGGTACTAGTTCGTTCAACTAGTTCCACTAGTCGGGTGATTCCTGCTGAGCTGCAGACTGGTTATGCACGAGATCGACGAGACCCTCGTCGCCGACGGTCGCACACGATCGTCGGACCGAGATTGAGTTAAGCAATCTGAGATCTGGGTCCGGTTCCAGGGGCCTGCTAGCCGCCCACTTGTCAATCAACGGCAGTGGAGCATGGAGTATCGGGTCCTGACGAATTGAGGAGCCTGGGTTTCTGAGTAAGCGGAGTGCCAGCACATGTTGTTGATGTATTTCGTGCAGGAACGAATGTATTGAGCAGGAGGTGTCGAGGCATATACAGGACAGATGGTCAGACGCATCGCGTGATAAAGGGGCTGATATTCTCCGCGATATGCGCACAATTCATCAGGTCATAGTGGGGAGGCTGGTGGGTGCAGATGCGTTGTCGATGCGCGTTACCCGTGATCAGGTACAGCTGAAAAATGCTGACAATTTCAGAGCCTTCAATGGAACCAATTCGTCTAATCACTCGGGCGCAGTCGCAGCACAGGAGCGGAAAGATCTTCTAATAAGCGATCACTGCCGGTGATACAGTCTTGCTATGTGGGCAGAGGGAAAGCAGAATCTGGAAGGCAATCAGGGGAGGTTCCAGAACTTGGGGAGGAGAGGCGGCAATCGCACCGGGACAATGGCATTGGTTGGGAGGGGAAAGAACGCGCTAAACGCTTTGAAGGCACCAAGGCAGCAAGGTACATTGACCTCGGCAAACCCGCCTACGACCGAGCTGCTGATTGGGGGAAATCCATGGAGATGGAGTGACACTAAATGCTGCTGGAGCGGGAGAAAAACTCATTCAACTAACTGTGCAGCTAACCGCTTCCAGGCCGACTCGCGCCAGAAAATCTCCTTGACACATCAGTCATCGTCGAATGCTGAACCCTGCTTCGCCACGAGATATACAAGGCTGAATGACATACAAATGACATGATCTCGCATCTCTGAACATGCTCAGACAATAAGTGGCGGTATAATGGTCTGGATGTATCGACACCATGCGCAGGGAACGGAAGAGCTGCAAATAGGTACGTATCTCTCCTCCACTCCGTATACTGCCTGGCCTTAGGTGAAGGGATCAGCTAACACGAATACAACCGCCAGTTGCGATAGTCGAAGTTAATCAATAGCCATCGATAATCAATCCACCAAAACAAGAAATTCGGGAGATGGAGAAAAGCGACAGACTAAACCTAATGCAGTCGGTGACTTGAGAAGTCCCCGAGGAGAAGGTGGAGCCTCTCTCTCTTCCTCGAGGCAAATCCAGACAATGTCCGAGTCCAGATCTTCATCTCTTCTCAATGCTTCATTCTCACATAAAGTCTGCGACCCCAATGTATCTCCTAAGGTCTCCGCTCTTCCATTTTCCAATCTCCTTCCGTTTGTGGCCATACACGAGGCTGAACATCCGAAAAAAGCACTAGGGCTCACCATATCCGCCTATATAACCCGCTCATTATAGACAGGACTGCATGAGGTAATCACAGAATCATGGCCACCACTGACTTGGAAAGAACACCGTCAGGTGAGTGCAACATTCGACCAAAGCAATGGTACGGTGTGATACTAACTACATTAACAGTCAGCTCGCAAGAGTCAGACGTCGTGGTCTTGGACTGGGAGGGTCCCGATGACCCCGGAAATCCCCTCAACTGGCCCCTGCACCGGAAATGGATCGTCACGGCGATCCCCTTGTTCACAACCTTTACTACACTAATGAATGGAACCATCATCACCGTCGCCCACGAAAAGATCAACGAAGAGTTTGGGATCAGCGATGCAAACTTCCCGCACTCGTACTGGCCCGTCACCTCGTGGACTATCGGCGGAGCCTTCTTCTCGCTACTCGTCCTCCCCGTCATGGAGGATTTTGGTATCCGGCGCTGTTTCCTGGGTACCTACATTATCTTTCTCTGTTTCATTATCCCGCAGGGTCTGGCCCACAACTTCGCCACTCTGATCACTACCCGCTTCTTCTGCGGTGGGTGCGTGATGATCCTGGCCAACACCGTCGCCTCCGTCATCGGCAACGTCTGGAAGGACGAGCGCGAGCGCAACATGCCCGTTAGCCTGTACATCCTCGCCTACCTGTCCGGTAGCAGCATTGGGCCCGTCATCGGCGCGCCGATCCTCCAATACCTGTCGTGGCGTTGGATCTCCTACCTCCAGCTGATTTGGTTCGGGGCGCTCTTCCCGATCTACTACCTCCTCTTCCGCGAATCGCGGGGCGCCGTCATTCTCGCCCAGCGTGCGCGCCACCTGCGCGCCAAGGGCCAGAACGTCTACGCGCGCGACGAGCTGCACAAGCAACCCAGCCACCAGATGCTACTGGCCAGCATCAAGCGACCGGTGCAGTTGTTGTGCACCGAGTCCGTAATCTTCGTCTCGACGCTCTGGTCTGCCTTCACCGTCGGCACGCTTTATCTTTTCACCCAGACCGTCGAGCAGGTCTTCAGTGGGCTGTATGGCTGGACCGCCGTGCAGGCCGGCTACGTGCAGGGTGCTATCGTCGTCGGCCAGTGCCTGGGGTGGACCTCGTCCTTCTACTCAGCGAAACTGTACTTCGACTCTGCGCGCCGCAACACCGAGCTTCCGGGTGTGCCCATCCCCGAGGCGCGACTATACACAGCTGTGGCGGGCGGAATTCTTGGCCTCGCTGGCGGGATGTTCACGTACGCCTGGACCTCATACCCGAATTTCCCATGGATCGCGCCGGCGGTCGGCCTGGCCATGGTCGGCGCAGGCAGTGTGTCCGTCGTGTGTGGCATCGCGGATTACGTCGTCGATGCGTACAGCCACTGGGCGGGCAGCGCTGTGGCCACCGTTGCTCTTGGCGAGAATGTTTTCTCCGCGTTCCTGCCGCTCGCGGCGCAGAGTATGTACAATACGCTGCATTTCCAGTGGGCGAGTACCCTGCTGGCATTGGTGTCGCTGGTTCTGGCTTTTGCGCCGGTTTTGGTGTTGATCTGGGGGAGCGAGATCCGTGCGCGGAGCCCGTTCATGAGGCAGTCGATGTTGGTGAAGCGGCGGGAGCTGGAGGGGTTGCAGGATCTGCCTTTGTCGATGGAGAAGGGAGGGGGTGTATAGCGTGTAAATATGTGAATGATTGATGTGTTTCGATGTATAATGCTTTGTCGAATAACCTAATGAACTGCAGTGGATATCAGCGGGAAGCTAGGAGAACATTCAACGTCGACGTTTGTAACGATAGATAGCTTCAGAAATTATCGAGTGTTAAGGCTCTCCCAATATGATCGTCAAATGTACAGCTCAACCGTCCGCGAGATATCTCACGCCGTAGGCATGCCCAGATTCTGCCCAGCGTGACGAATTAATCCACCTCACAAAGGCGTACACTGTGCATGTCAGGGCTCCATCAACCGCTTCCCACCTCTGCCAGAATCTGCAAGCTTTGAGAATGGTCATACCTCGCATTGACCTCCACTCAATGATCGTAAGTCGCTCCGAAAAGTTACAATCGAATCATCGCTGCCTCGCCTGGCGATAGCATACACGTCTCTGCTGGCCCGACATCCATTGCGTTCGGGAAGCGCACGGAGGTAAGACGCAGCTGCGTTCCAGGAAGCTTCAGCATTGGTCCTGTTGAATTATTTCTTAACGAATTAGGAATTTGTCCGACGTCACATTGCACGGCGTCAGATTGTATCGCAGCACTCCGTTGCAACCCGAATACTTTCGAAGATGGTTTGAGCAACATACCAGAGCGAAGGGGAGGGAAGGTGGGTGGATGAGCTTTGGTGTGAGAACGAACTTGTTAAGATCGAGATATCGTGTCCAGAGGCTCAGCCAGCCCGAGATGAAGCGAACGATGCCGCACTTAGACCTCTCATTGATATACGAGCACGGCAAGTTACGCCCTCGGCATTTGCAGAGGGAATTCTGTGCCGAGACAGGGCCGAAGTTATTTCGTGAGAGCCTTTATGCCTGAGGCGACCGCTCCTACCCCGCACGTATCGACCAGGCGAGCGAGCTTTCATACCTCCTCTATGCACACATCAAATGCGGGTATCGAAGGACCCTTGACTGAATGAACGCTCACCACGTCTCCTCGCTTCGAGTGACCCTCAATGTCAGTTCTCCTCCACGCTAATACAGTCTCAATCACATGCTCTACCGTTCTCAGTGACAGTGCGTCCAAGCCCCGATGCAGTGGTTAGTTGAACAGCAGGCCGTCTTCAGCCAGCCATGTCAAAATCTGCAGCGTAAACAAGAGAGTCCTTTTGCAAACATCTGGTGAGTCAGAAGGATGAAAACATGCCGTACCCTGTCGGTGAGTTGATCTGTTCGAGCACACTCTTCATAAGGCCTACAGCATTCTTGTTTTCACAAGTTGTGTCAAAAGCTCGGGCTCCGTCTGAGGCTTAGACATAGGTACACAGAAGCCACCGTTAAGGGAGATCTACTGACAGGAGTTTCCTAGGAAAGTCATTTAGCTAGCTGATCCGAGCTGGCATACGCTCGTTCCGTATGCGAGCCCACGGAGCTGTCAGACCGTTTTGTGGCTTGCGTATCGGCCCTCGCTTTGCTACCCATCCAGCTTCCCACCAATCAGATCGTCGCCTTCTTTACTTAGGCTCGAGCACTTGGGAGATGAAAGTAGGAAACCCAAGAGTTCCTGCACGGCAATAATGTGTTGCGAGACGGTTCGTGTTGGCCAGCGGGCAACTACTTAAACTCGAGCACGGTGCGACCATGGTCTTTCTACACTCTTTCTTAAACCTGAGAAAACAAACCTATTGAGCTTATCACGATGTTTGAAGGGTTGGTTCAGTCTTACTCGCAATCTTTCGTTCTGCAAGCTCTGGCCAGCATTGAGCACCAGGAGAGATTGACTATTGCGATCAAGAACCATGGTCGAGAGCCAGAGACCGTTGTCTTTGGGCCCAAAGCAGCGGATGAGGGCAAGCTTATCGTGATTGTGAATCCAAACGCTTGGGTTCGCATCTGTCAGGCTTTTGATCTGGTAAGCCCATTCTTCCGTCTTCTGGGATCATCTAATTCCAGATAAGGGGTTCGCGGAAGCATACATCTACCAAGAGCTCGAATGTGACGACCTACGTCATGTATTTCAGGTAAGAGACTCCATCTATCACGTTTTAGCTCAAAAGAGAGCCAAGGTCTAATACATACCCAGCTCTACCTTCGCAACCGCACCAAACTCGGCTTTGGCAATCGTCTCTTCAGCTTCTTCCCACGACTCCGCCACCTTCTCTTCACCCCAACAAACACCCTCAGCCACTCTCGCTCCAATGTGACCTTCCACTACGACACCTCGAACGCGCTCTTCTCCGCCCTCCTATCCGCCGACATGAACTACTCAAACGGCTGGTGGTCCAACGATCCCCACGAGACACTCGAAACGGCTCAGATCCGCAGTGTGCACAACATCCTGCAGAAAGCCCGCATTGCCCCGACCGACCACATCCTCGACATCGGTTGCGGGTGGGGCAGTCTGGCGATCGAGGCTGCCCGGCTGATCGGCTGCCGGGTGACGGGCATCACCCTGGCGTCAGAGCAGAAGGCGCTGGCCGAGAAGCGCATCAAGGCCGCTGGACTGGACGACAAGGTTACAATCCTGCTGTGCGATTACCGGAACGCGCCCATGCCGGTGGGCGGATACGATCGCATCGTCTCGGTGGAGATGGTCGAGCACGTTGGGAAAAAGTATATGAATGAGTTCTTTGGGACGATTTCCAGGTTGCTGAAGCCTGAGGGAGGAATCCTTGTGATGCAGGCCATCACGACGAATAACATGGTGAGTAGACCTCCGATCGAGGTGGCTGTGCTTAGTGGGCGTGTACTGATGCTAATGGTGGATAGATGCACGACAATAAGCCCGGTATTACCACCTTCACCGATCGCTACATCTTCCCGGGCGGATATCTCTGCTCCACAAACGTGTTCCTGAACGCGTTGCATACGGGATCGAACGGAACGCTGGAGCTTGACTCACTACAAAGTATTGGGCCGAGCTACATCAAGACGTTGATGGCCTGGCGGAAGAACTTCCTAGAGAATTGGGATGTTATCCGTAGGGACTACATAGAAAGACACCCCGAAGCTACGGAGCACGAGATCGAGGCTTTCCGTCGGGTGTGGGTGGTAAGCACTATCTCTCATATGGATGAACTGAGATCGGAGACTAATCAGTGGTAGTATTACTTCACATACTGTGAGGCCGGGTTCCGGTCGCGCGTGCTCACGAACCATGTTATCACGGCCGTGCGAACGCCCGAGCCGGCGATCAATGACCCGACCCCGACTTTCGATGAGGTGTTAGAGCCGAACTTGGGAGGTGATACGCACTTCAAATATGAGGTGTTTGAGTAGGCGACGGATCCGAGAGCAGTGATACTGGTCGGTGCTCCAGTCGGGTCGGCTATTCAGGTAGAGAGGTCTGGTCCTTGTGCTATGATCATGATATCTGGAACGTTCAGTAAATCTTCTGCTACTCCTAGTCCCGTTGGCTGGATACCTCCATTCGTGAGAGTACTTCGCTTAGCATCAGCACCAAAGAAAGAATCCACTCAATTGTGATGTATATGTAGTCAGACAGGGCCAAATTCTTCTCTATTTCCCACATCCGAAATTAGACAATTTTGAGATGGTCAGAACGACCAACAACCGAGGAAACAATCAGAGCCATCATCAGGCATTACTGTGTTCGGAATTACTGTAGTGAGTGGTTGTTGACCCAACGTACTTAGCGTTGACAGGCCCCATCTTCCAGGTTCCCAGAGGTCAACTCTCAATTCAGTAGAGATGCACACTCTCACAAGACGCTGTCAAACCATCTCTCCTCTTCCTTACTATAACGACCACGTAAAAGCGAGCATGTAGTGTAAATACTTAAATCGAGAAAACGGTTGAGGTCCTGTTGGGTCGACAAGCCGATTGCCCAAGTAGATTATACCGCCGGAGTATTCCGTTGAGTACTATCCAGGCCGGAATGGTCCTGACCTCAGAGTGTTAAGAACTTAAGAATAAATCCGGTACGCGGAGGCGGACATTGACACCTTCGACGCAACTTGCATTCTTGTTGGTACAGTGCGCCGGTAAAAGATTGAAAGAAAAAAAAAAGTTCCCAACGGTCAAAGAGGTAGTTAGGCTCATGTTCCATTCTGCCGGTTTCAATGCAAATATAGAAGTTGCGGATCGACTTGATACAGCAGCGAACAGTTTTTACTTATCCCCTTATTGAAAATGGAAAGAGACGCCATAACAGAACGTATATTGGACATCAAACTTTTTTCTGCGCATCTTCGTTTCAGATATTATCAGTGACCTCCTCAAATCTCACCGGAAGATGCTCCCATCATCAATAGCTTCAGACCCGCATCCCATAATAACGCGTGACTTCATCACCAACATCTTCGCCATCATCCTCACTCTCATCCTTGGCCTTCCTCTCACTCCGCAAAGCAAGTCTCTTCGTTACCTCTGTGGCCTCATTCAGACTGACTAAGCGTCTCTTGCGAGGGTTGCTATCAGCCTGCTCACGAGCGATCTTGTAAATGGTTATTTTTGGATGTTCCGGGGCACGGTATCCCGGGGCGAAGGTCTCGGGCGAGCGGTTAAACACCCATTTCGTCTCGGGGTCCTGGATTCCGGATTGACTCGGGTCTGACGGGTGTATTGGAGGGCAGCGCGAGGTTACATGGGTCACCCAGCTATCGGTCGCGAGCTCGAGAGGTGTACTCCCCACCGCGTTCTCGCGGAACAGCAGATCGGGTCTATACTCCAGCAAAAGCTTGAACAGCCCGGGGTATTGGAAGCGAACCGCTTCGTGGAGCGGGGTATTGCCTGCGCCGTCGAACATCTCCAGGAATTTCTGGTTGATTGGGCGCGCGAAATTGAGGACGCAGCGTGCAGTGGCCAGGATGTCTGGTACCTTGCGACCGTAGTTAGGTCTGGCATAATGTCTCCGACTTCCACAGGAATGGAGCCAGCGTGCAAAGGGGGTGAGAGACCCTGGGTGGTCGGAGGAACGTTCGGTGAGCAACGAAGAGGCGAGGCGCGCGTCGAGCAATTTGAGAAGCTGTTCAATGTTATCATCTACTAAGCGGGGACGAACTTGCGCGTCGCACAGCGCCAGGTGGATGAGGTTGTTGCCTTTTTTGTCGCGGGTGGTTTGATCTGCACCTGCATCGATGAGGATCTGGGCGAATTCTGTCCGATGAAGGGCAAATGCGAGTGCTAATGGAGTGTAACCACCGGCTGACTTGGTTTCTAGATATTGAGGAGCACGCTGGACGAGGTATTTAACCAAGCTGGTCGAGTCCTCTGTTGTATATGATAGCACTGCACAGTGTAGGAGAAGGTGATCTGGTTTCTGTGTCAGCTGGAAAACATGGAAGATCAATCGATGAGCACCTACTCTTGGACGAAAGCCACTTTGTGAGAGCAGCTGTCATTCTATCTCCCTGTTGGGCCAACAACTTCAATCTCGGCTCTTGTTCGTGCTCGGTGATGAATTCACTGTACAGCCTTTCTGGTGCTGAGCTTAGATACCACTCAACACTTTTCAGGTTTCCCTGAAATGCAGCGAGAAGGAGTGGGTGGTTGCTAGTTCTGGGTGAGGTCTCATTCCCTCTGCCCGCCGCCGCCCAGTCTGCCCGTTTTTTGCCATGAATGGACAGCCCTTGATAGTATTTGGGCTTCTTTTTGATGTCGATGCCGCATGACTGAAGCATAATGTCAATAGGTAGATCAGCGCCCGTGTTGCGAAGCAACTCTTCAAGACAGTCCGTGTGTCCCTTGCGCATCGCGAACTGTGTGACTCCATTGGTCACTCTGTAAATCTTCGCATCTCCCGATGTCTTGACTTGGACAAACTCCTGACCCAACTTCAGAAGGAAACGTAGCAACTCAACATCATTGACCCAGATTGCATACTCGACAAGGCCATTTGGACATTCAGATGTATCTTGAGATAAACCACTACCGTTGTCTAAGGCCTCCGCGTCCCTGATGTTTTGAGCCGCCAGGAACTTAGATCCCTGAAAGTTCCAAAGAAACATGTCGTATGCGGAGATCTCACTCCTGACTTGTCCCGCCACCTCGCCTATGTCCTCGATAGTGAATCTGTTGTCGACGACATCCTTGCGAAAACGAATATTGTCGCTGTCTTCATCGGAGGACATATCTTCGTCTTCCATGTCCAAGTCGTAGACTTCGTGAACATCTGGCTCTTCCAGTTTGTACTGAGCTTGTGCGATCTCGAGAACAATCTTAGCCAGCTGGCGGTGGCCACGGAGGGCTGCGATAGAGAACGGAGAGAACCCATGCTGATCGAGCACAGCAATCTGTAACGGCAGATGGTCATGTTCCGCATCTCCAATTGTCAAGGTGAGGTATTTGACAGTTTCCAAGTCGCCAGCCCAAGCCGCTTGGAATCTGGAATTTGGCGTTACCGTCAGCGGGACTGTCATCACGCTGGAAAGGGGTATTACTCACAGGTCAATATAAGCCTTGTGTTTCTTCGCGGTCATGTCTCTTATGTTGGTGAAGGTCAACCTGGCCTTGAAAAGCTTAGGCTTAGCAGGCTCTGTCGCATCCTCCTCGTTCGCTAGGAGTTTCGGGTATAATTCCCGTAGAGGCTTTGCTCCTCTGGCAGTCAAAGCTTCTTCCAGCTTCTCATAATCACAGATTAGCGCTTGAACAGCTAGGTCCTTTTCCGCCTGGCCTTTTTGCTGTGAAGTCTCGTCGGGCTTGGCCCTGCGCGACCTTGAACAATTCTGCCTTTTCGCATTCCATACAACATTTCTTGTCGCCCACCATTGATATGTATCCTCGACGAGGTCAGATAGATAATCTTCCATGAAGCTATAAGTCCGCTGGAGTTCATTTGGTGATTTGTCTCCAAGATGGGCACGTAGTTCCTTGAGGTTGTCTTTAACGCAGTCTAGCAAAGACATTCCACTCTCATAGATAGCCAGCCGCCGGTCCTCATCTTGAGCCTTGTATGAGGCCGGCGTAAGTGTGTTGGCGTCTGCTCCAAGCTCTAAGAGGCTGAGAGCTAGTAGAGGTAACTGCTGCTGAACTGCTAACATCACGGGCTGTGTCAACCCGTGTCGGAATATCTCATTGAGTCTGTGATTTGTGCCATCCCGGATCTGCTCGTATACACCTTGACCAGGTTTCACAAATTGTTCAAACAGTATGGAAGGATTCGCCCCAGCCTGTAGCAGCATATTGGCATATTCAAGGTTCCTGAAATTGATCGATGCAAGGAGTGGAGAATAAATCTGGGGGTACCAGGAACAACATTTGCAAGTAAAATAGTTGATTGCCTTTCGAGTCGCGGGGCCACTGTAGATCAAAAAGACATCAAGAAGATTGTTATGCCGAGAGCTAGCCATGTAAGTCAACGGAGTCGCATTGTCCATATCTGCTTGTGTTGGCGAAGCACCCAGCTGTAGAAGGGTCTTGGTCATTCTAGCTGCCTGATTAGGTTCTAAATTGAGCACAAGGACCAAAGTCAAAATAGCTGCTCTGGGGCTGTTGTTATAATCATGAACCAGCTTCACTGGCAGAAGCACATCGGCCCCGAAGGAAGATACGAGCTCATGGGCCACTTCAGCATGACCATTGAGGATAGCCAGGTGAAGAGCGGAGGTATGGTTATCCCAGGAGACGGCATTTATGTCGTAGATATCAGGTTCATCCTCCGCGTCTTCGACCGAAAGAGGATCGTTGATCTCCCGATCAGGGCTCTCATCGACCTTAACGAAAGACCCAGAAGTGCAAGACTTTGATTCTTCAGCAGAACCAAGGTCATTCCCCTCATCAATCTGCGTCTTGCGAGCGCCCCATGCTTCTTCGTTCTGCTCACTTTTTCTGAGTAAGATACGAACCATATCGACAGACCCTCTAGCAGCGGCTAGGTGCAGGGCGGTCCGGCCATCTGCTAATCTTGACACAAGCCGTGCGCCGTGGTCGACAAGGCATTGTACAATCGACGACGTTGAAGTCATGCAAGCTAAATGTAGCGGTGTCCTGCCCGTACAATCGCGACTGTTTATACTCATTGCGTCTGTCGACACATATTCCTGCACCTTGTCCAAATCGCAGTCCACAATAGCCTGACACAGTACTTCTGTGTGCCCAAAATAAGCCATATCTGTCTCAAACGTTAGTAGTGTCTCACTAGCGACTATGTTAGGATTTGCTTGCCAGTCCACTCGGTTTCTGTAGTCGGGTTGAAACTTCCGATCTCTTGTCGGCCCGGGTCATCCTTGATGAATGAGACCTCCCCGGAGACATAAATCTTACTCTCCTTTCCTGCGACTTCAAAGTCTTCTGGTGTCACCGGCTTCGGACAGAAACCGCAACAGTCTTGAATTACATCGTCCACATTCCCGAAGAAAGCAGGATGCCGGTGCAGGTTCACCTGTCTCTCCTTTTTCTTGTTCCACTCGGCATTAAGTAATAGGTCCTTGGCGTAGATGAGCCGCTCGATCCTCCTTGCATTATACCTGGGCCCGTAGGGGATTCTCTGAGGCGAGAATATGAGCTAACTCGCTCGATACGGAGTGAATGTTTTTGACTTACGAATGTTTCGTACGAGGAGACAACCTCATCAGCCTCCCACTCCGGGACCTCATCTTCCCAATCGCTCTTTAGATCACCATGTTGCTTATTCTTCCACCATGTGTCGCCCTTGGGTGCTGGCCGGCCACGTTCTTCTCGCCTTTGTTCAATATAGGAGTCTCGGTCGGATTGCTTGGGTAATCTCTCAAGGACCAACAAACGCGCTAAGCCAACTACTCTTGTAAAGCTTCGCTCGAAGATAGTCTATCCAAAGTTATTAATAAAGAGATACAGATCGCAAACTGCAAGCGGCAGCCTACCGGGTCAACTTGTGATCGATCGAGATCGGGCCAGAAGATCTCAAACCCACGATGAGAATACTTCGAAAGACGATTCTCATAGGATGGCGAGCGTCTCGTTAGATCAATGGTGTTAATCTGCGTAATGTAAGACGCCAGGGCGCGGGGCGAGACATAGACTTGTCTCCCATCAAAGGCGGCACAGGAGCAGTCTACATCGAACCCCGTCAGAATTTCCGCTACCGACTTGTAGATCCGCAGGACAATCTGAATATGGCGGGTTGGATACTGCGAGACGATTGTGATCGCGTTCTTGGCTCTGATCGTGGTCGTCTCGTAGAGGATGGTGTTCTTGATCCGTTCTTCGATCTGCCTGATCTTATCCAGGGCCTGCTGCTCATCCAGCCCATACAGGAAAAGATCAACGTCGGATGCGGGCGCAATCTTCTCATGGTAGAACTTGCGCAGCGAACGTTTCGAGTCATTGTACTGTTCAGGAACGGGTAGTAAGCAAGTCACGACAGCACTTCCAGCGACCACCACATTCGACCAGTCGAGGTCACTCAGAGCGCCCTCAGAGAAGATGGTAAAGTTTTTGGAGAATTCCTGCAAGCTTGGAACAACTGCTGGGGAACCGGTGGGCCGGCGATCTCCATCTTTCAGCGGTATGATATACTTCTCTTTCGTTTGCGGAGACTCCGATTCGACTTGTCGTGCTCGCACGCGGATATCAGCCTTGTCGTGCTCGTTATACAGAGGCACAACATTGAGATGAGTATCTTCGAGAAGGGAATGAGATGGCTCTTGAGCAAAGAGCTTGCGTACGACCGCGTCATATTCGTTATAGGGTTGCACAATCTCATGCACTGAGACCTTGGGCTTGCTCTGGATCCAGCCGGGGAGTTTCCGGTGGCTCACGGGAAGGGATGGAAGTGTAAACATTGTCGCCATTAGAGGATAGACAAGCGATGCAGTTTTAGTTGAAGCAGAGATAAGAGAACTTCTCGAAGGAGACCAGAGATTCAGCCAGGAGTGAGAAACAGATAATCAAGTGCACGACGAGCAAGAGCGAGGTAGTGTCCTACTGTCTTTATAAACTTCAAAAGACCCATCATGGATCGGACAAGCTGGTTTCCCGAAGGGGACTAGTGCAGGCTTCACTCGGCAGAAACTCTCACCGCTCTAGGCACGATATCCATTATTATCCTGGTTAGGCTTAGTCTAGGCACAACTCTGCTCAATGCCTGGCCCGCCAAGTGCATATCATGGGGCGGGATCGTCATTTGAAGCCCGTTATGGCTTGGTTTCAGATAGGCCCGTGACCCGCCTGAGCTGCCCGTGATGTCATCACCAACACCATTGTCTCATACGTACTCTGAGTTTGTGAGGCGGACGATCCAAGAATACTTGCTGTATCGAAAGCAGGTGGGAATACTTGGGGTGACTGCTCGTCGGGGATTAGGTTGGTACTTTGCTAGACAGTATCTGGTATTTTGAATATATTGTGCGGTGCTTTTGGCTCCCAGGGCGTTCCCGTAACACAAAGGTTTATTTCGTGAGAGTGTGATATATCTAGAAATGAACAAATCTTTGAATGTGCTTGTTAGAGATGAGATGGTAACAAGGTTAGACATATTGGAACGCTTGAACAGAATACTAGGCCAAATCCAGCTTGACATCCCGGAAATAAGTATCAAATCGCCCAGGGTTGCCCGTCACCTCAGCTACTGCCACATACATGTCCGGCCGGATCAAGTATGCTGCGTTGGGTGCGAAACCCGCTCGGCCATACTGAGTCTGCCACGAAAATTGGTGCAGCGGAATGTTCTTCATCTGACACCATTTATCCAGTTTGACTGAAGCTTCTCCATACACGTGAACCTGCCAAGTAATTTCCTTAAGAGAATCAAAATTGTCGACCCCCCCGACTGACACCCATGGTAGTCGATCTCCACCCTCCACGGAACCGGCAGACCCGAAAGATAATAAACTATTTCGGTACTGCAGCTTGGTCTGTGAAAGTCCAAAAAATATACGTCGGCGGACGAAACTGAAATTGACCGCAATTTTCAGGACGAAGGGGATGATGTAACTGCGCAGGATGTTGGCCAGCCAGCTTCTAGCCGATAGTGCGTTGAAGGCCGAATCGGTCGTCTCAACCAGAGTGAGCGCAAAGGCCCGTCGCTCGGCCTCGTAGCTATCCAGCAACGAGGAGTCTGCCCTTCGCTGTAACACAGCAGCCAGCTTCCAAGCAAGGTTAATCGCATCGCCGACTCCCGTGTTCAACCCCTGTCCTCCGACTGGACTATGGATATGGGCAGCATCACCGACGAGAAATGCGCGACCGCGACGGAAAAAATCGGCCACGCGGTGATGTACTCGGTACGTCGTAAACCAGTTGACCCGGTCGATCTTCATCATCTGTTGCATAGCTGGCGTGGCGGTGGCGATATCTTCAAATGTGACGTCCGTGATGTCCTTGTTGGCTTGAATTCGAGCCAATTGCTTTGCATCCACATTGCCGATCAGTCGAGCATGTCGCGTAGAGTCATAGGCCAGAGTGAGAAAAGTTACTTCGCCGTCGAGCTGGACGTGTCCTTCGCCATTAATCGCAGGTCCTTGGCCCTCGATATCGGCCACGAAAAAGACCTGGCCATATGTTTCGCCAGTGAACTTGATTTCTGTCGTGCGCCTCACCGCAGAATGCGCGCCGTCACATCCGATGATATACGCCGCCTCATACGTTTGGATCTCGTTTGTCATTTCGCTCGATTCCAATAGAGGCGTCCGCTTTCTTGGATCCCTGAACCGCGCCACCACTCCGCTATCAGCTTCGACGTAGTCGACCAACTCTAGATTTCGTTCCACCTCCACTCCCACTTCCTTCAACCGCCCTTCCAACAATTTCTCCTGAGAGTCCTGAGGAACAATCAAGATAAACGGATACGGCGTTAGCCCCATGCCGAAGTGGCCGAATGGGATGCGGAACCGATGCACCCCGCGGGTCCAGATATTTGTTGCCCCCAGTGGGTGACCTAGAGCCACCAACTGATCGCCCAGGTCCAGTTGTCGATAGAGTTCGAGGGTGCGAGCATGGACGGCCAATGCGCGAGACGTTGTGGCGGTGCGCTCCGCTCTATCGGTGATGCGGACTTTGATGCCTTGGCGGGTGAGCCACAAGGCCATGACCAGGCCGGTTGGGCCTGCGCCAACGATGAGAACTTCGGTCTTGTTCATGATGCTTGGCTGGTATACATAGACAGTATCGGATTTGTGACATTCACATGGCTTTATATGTCTCTCAGGGTCTTGGCGAAGATAATAGTCAGATCATCATCTGACTGTGAAGAGTCACAAGCGGAGATCTCGACGGTCGGCGGTCGGCTCTCGGCTTTCCGCTGGGACCGATGGGACCGGCGGAACGGCCAACGGGCCTTGTATGCCGGGCGCTGGGGAGTTGAACACCAGTGCAGAATATAAGAGTTCTTGAAGAAGGATTTAGCACATACAACCACAGGGTATTGAGAACAGGGTTTCCTATCCGCTCGGCTGTACTCAAGCCATACGCCGGGAGGTTAGTACTAAGTATCTGGATGGGTGACCACAGCGATTCCCATCTGTTGTATGACGGTGCTCAACATGCGCCCAGGAACACGTGACCTGTTTTACCGAGCCAAGATGGATGCGATATACCATCCCGACCTTCGCGACCACATGGTGCAGATCAATCCGTTGAATTTCCTGAAGCCGTCCCTCGTTGTACGCGATTCTCGAGACGCGTATATCAAAGCTAAACATATTGATTTCTCGCTTTATTTATATCCGGTCGATCGCCGTGTTCTTTCTAAAGGTATGAAAGCCGGGGAGAGCGGAATGGGCCCAGATACGTCAGGATTAACTAGAATCCAACAACTTTGGGGAATATACAGAGAAGAACCTGTATACATTAATACCGAGGTACTATCAGCCTCGCTATTGATCTGAGCTGGGTGGCCAGGAAAAAATGCCGAACAAAAAGAAGAAGAACAAATCCAAGTCTCACAAAAATAACATCACCATGGCATTCCAGAATCTCAATCATACTCTCTCATAAGCATCAGCTATTTAATGCTGATTGTCCGTTACGCAGACATCTTCCCCTCCGTTTTCCGGCAGCGAAATTCAACGTCAAAATCCTCATCGGGCTGCGCGATGGCCACGCCCAAGGGGGAGTTCTTGACCGTCGGCATCACCCATTGACCCCTGCGGGGCTGCAGGTCGAAATTGAGAATGGTACTGGCTGCAAACCCGAGAATCATAGACGTGGCGACATGGCGACCGGGACACAACGTCCGTCCCCCGCCGAAGACCCGGAATCCCACCGGGTTATGACTTCCTTTCCGATCGTTACCAATGTTGTCGCGCACGAACCGGCGGTGATCGAACGAATGCACGTCGTCGCCCCAGACCGTGGGATCGCTGTGCTGGATGATCGCGGGGATCAGGACCATGGCGCCCTTCTTGAAGAGGTACCGGCCATCAATCACTTGATCTTCGATCACTTGGGTAACGGACGTGCCCATAGAGTGCGTGCGCAGGGTCTCCTTGAAGGTGGACGCGAGGATCGGACAAGCTCGCTCCAGGCTCATTAGATCGAGGGTGGGGCGGCCGTCGCTATCCCGCCGTCCAGCCTGTAGGAGGGCAGCATCCAGCTCCTTGCGGCAGTCGTGTAGGATGGTCTGGCTGGAGAAAATGTGGTAGACAAGCCAGAACGTGGCCGGGATTGTATTGCCCAGAAGGGCAATGCTGAAGGCCGCCTGTGTCTTGGCAATGTCCGCGTCTGACAACCCACTCTTGGAGAAGATGTGATATTGGTCGTTGATATATGGTGAGGCTTCCTCGTGCTCGAATCCCCGTTCGCGGTAGTACTGCTCAAAAGACCGAACCACCCTTTCGCGCGCACGAAGCGCCTGCCTCGCGATGATGGACGGGATGCATCCGGTGGTAAGTCGCGTTGCGCCCGATTGATACTTTCTGCTGAAGGGGTTAGCAATAACCGAGGTAAAGGGATTCGCAAATAGTCAGGACCGGGGGTACAAACTTCCAGGCTGTGCGAGTTGCAGGATCTCGGAACGGGCTCTGAGCTCCGTACATGGATTGGGAGGTGGCCATAATGACCTCGTGGGAGATCCATTGATACAGGCCGGTGAACCCGGGAGACTCGACGAATTGGCGGGATTGAGATGAGGTGACGAGCTCCCAGAAACTCGTCCGGATGACCTCTAAACCGGGCCCGGTGGACAGATTGGACAGATTGAAATCATGGAATCTGCGAATGAAGCCGTTCTCCTCATCATCTCCCAGCACTTTGCAACCAGAGTCGCTGGCACCGATCAAGGTGGCCGCAACTCGGGCCAGGATCGGGGAGAAGGAGAGGGTTCGAGGGTGATGCTGCACAGCCGAGATAAGGGAGGTGGAGTTGACCACATACAGCCGTATGCCTGGTAGACGGATCGTGTAGATGGGGAACTGGCTGCTAACTATGTCAGTTGGATTGTGGTCGATAAGAGCTACCTGGAATCTCACCGATGCTTCCTATAGTAGTCGAAGCCCGTCCAGCCCATGCGAAGAATGGGACCGATGAAGGGCATAGACAAGTCAACCGGCGGCGGTTCTCGGCTATCTTGGGTGTAGTCCAGCACCATCCGGAGAAAGACGGACCCGAACAGCAGAAGCAAAACGCAGATGACGAATGTCGAGAGCATGGTGGCTATGATCAATGGCTGGGAATATTCAAGAGCTTGGTATGGATACCTGCTATGGACTCAGTGCAGCTCCTCTTATGTGACAGCTTGTTGACCACCACAGGAAAACGAGATACCAAGCCTTCATACTAGTTTATTTCACCCGGCTTCTAAGCACTAAGCATGCATGATTTTTTTTTCCTTTTCTCTCTATTTTATTTCTAACCTTGTTGTATTTTTTTCTTTTTATTTCACTTTTATTCTTCCCCCCCCTCCCCCGTCTTGCTCTCTGCTAGCGTCCTTCTGGCCACAGGGTGTCTGACAAACATCCAATCATGCATGTACCGCTCGCCGGGTTCCCCTCTTCTCAGCTCACGAGTGATCAATACTTTCTCTCATATCATACAGTAAAGAGAAAGAGAGGAAACAGAAACTATGGTCTATACTCTCTTGTTCATCATATCTCAAGGTCCAAGTGTTATTCAAGCAAGGTTCCGGCCCGAGATCCTTCCAAGCTATGAATTGGAAATCCTACGGAGATTATGGCAAAGCTTGTGGTGATTGATGGTATGGCGGCCCGCGGCCACGAAGCCCGGTCACGAGCACTGCATGTAGTGCGTCGATCACCAGAACAACAATTATGTACATGTGCAGTACGTACCATCCTTGGGGGCCCGGCCAAATTACAACCACCCACCCCACTTTCTCTGCCTTGCCAGCCTCCTGCAACCCAGCGGATGTTTGTGCCCCAAACACGCCTACCTTCCTACCTTGACTGGTAGACATTTGTCGTGCCGCCCGCGTTTGCCGGCTGTATGAAGACACAAACATTACTGTACCTAGATCAGAGTGTGGTGGCGGAGTATCTGAAAACCATTCGACAAAATCCAACAGAGACTACGAGAATACGAGACTACTGGGGGCCAGTTTCTCCAACTCATCCTTCGATGGATTATAACAAGTCCGACACTCTTCCTTTCTCGCCTGAACACCACGTTTTCGCAGACCCTTCTTAGCATCCAGCGCCAGTCGATCGATCATGGACCTTTCCAAAATTCCCATGTCGCAACCCCCGCCGGGGCAAGTGACCAATTTCGTGGACCCTGTGTCCATCTCTTGGGCCGGGCGGCTGGCGATTTGGCTGACCCTGCCAATCATGGCTATCGCCTTTGTGCTCCGGGCTTATGTCCGTCTAAAGACAAAGCAAGTCGGAATAGACGACTGTAAGTTACTCCCCAAGTTTTCGACTCATTGCGATCGAATATGTAGACTGATTCTGGCTCCGTCGCAGATCTTCTGGTTCTTGGCGCCGTGAGCATCCTTTCCCGTATCATTTAATCTAATAGATCTCTCTTTCTGATGAAACCCATCTTTCTTACCTAAGGTCGGCGCTGCTTCATTCTGTGGAACTCTCATTCCGGTTTGTACGTCGTCCCTTGCGATATGACTTGCCGGATCTGAGTTGCTCATTTTGAAACAGTCCTCAAGGATGTCTGGGGTCGTCATGCATGGGATATCCCCGTTTCCTCAATCGTCCCGTGGTTTTTCAAGGCATGAAGATTCATCTGGCGTTATTTGATTATCGTGCAGCCCTGACCGAAGTAGTACTCGGTAACGGCGGGGTGTCTGTACAACATCAGCGCCATGTTCACCAAGGTTTCAATCCTCGCATTCTACCTGCGCATCTTCTCGCCCTCGCGCCGCGCCCGAGCCCTCATCTGGAGCGGAGTTGCCCTTATTACTTTGGGGTACATGACGCTGACCATTGCCATGCTGGCCTGGATGGTCCCACGTCGGGGTGATGGGGGCTGGGGGTCGACAGCCAATACCTCACGGATGAACATTGCCTCTCGACAGCTTGACTTCACGCAGGGCATCTTTAGTGTGGTGTCTGACTTCTATGTCATGACCATCCCCACGGGCATCATCTTCCGCCTGAACATGAAAAAGCAGAGGAGGCTGGGTGTAGCATGTATCTTCCTGATTGGTTTCATGTAAGTTGATGGATTGCGATACTATCGAGCCCGTCCGGACTTTGTCGCTAAGACTGACCCATTCGCCGTCTACCAGATCGCTTGGCTGCTCGATAGCCGGTACAGTCCTCCGCTATCACGCCATGGTTTTCACTGTGGAAGACAACCGGTGGCTCTCCGTCAAATTCGAAGCACTGTGGTAAGGAACATAGTTTGCTTCCCTACGGAGTCTTACCCCTCCTTCCCTGCTTGGAGTTGTCCCAGTTCTGACCTGTGGTTTTTTTTTCTTCCTCAGTGTGGTCGAGCTCAACATCGGCATTCTCTGCGCCTGTGTCCCAGTACTTTTCGTCGTGTTGCGCACCTGGATGCAGCGAACCGAGTCTGGGTTTGTGTACCTCAAAAAACGGCTGACGACGTCTCGGGCGAGCAAGTCGACGGTGGCCCTGAGCGAGCCGCCGCAGAAACCCAGCGTCTCCCTCGACATTCCGACCGGCACCTTGTCAGGGCTGAAGTCGATCTTCCGCAATACGAAGCCGACGGACCCGGAAGAAGTCAAATCGGGAATCCAGGTCTCGCGTTATTATGAGCTCCAGTCAATTGATGTCGACTATCATGCGCAGATCAGGGGCGATTCGGCTAGCGGGAGGAACCCGTCATTCACGGGCGTTAAGGGAGAGGCTCGAGCGGGTGTTTAGGACTGGGACATTCTGACAATCCGTCATGACTTGACTGTTTGTATAACGTTATTCGCACTGATGCTTAGTTCATCCATACGGTATCTGGCAAGGTTATAATAGCACGTGATCTAACACCGAGGGACAAGAAAGGTCCATGTACATCTCGCAGAGACTTTGAGTCCTGTACGGAGTAAATGTGTGTGTGTATGTGTGTGTGTAGTGTGAGGCAAGCCACAAGTGGCCGGTGTGAAGTCGTGACAGTAGGTAGGCACGATTTCTTAGCAGTATACCATAGAGTCTTCAAGCTTGGATTGATAGCAATCCCTTGTAAATCTGTCGGAGATGCCCTCCTTTTTCAATATCGCCTGTTTTTGCTCCCATTGCTTCATAATTTTCTGCCGGATGAAAATCCTCTCGCGGGACACCGGTTATTGGAAGAGATGTTCTTTCTCACTGCTAACTGCTCCCTTTGCCAGATCATCCACTCTATTTTTCCCGAGTTTGTTGCAGTATCCTGGGGCCCATAGGAGTTAGACGAGAATACCTAGCAGTACCCGTACCTGAACCTTGTTTGCGGCTTGGAGAATAGCCACTACCCGCTGTCCCGATTGATTCCGCGAACAAGAACTTACTTGGAGTACCTTACTGACATGCTGTTATCTACTTAGGATTGTTGCAGGTCTACCAGAGTCCACAGTCGCTGGATGCCGTGGGGCTATCTGATAAATCAGGGTGATAGCGTAGACTCTTGCCGTAAGCTACGCAGCATACACCGACTAATGTTCCATCGAAGCAATGTTTACTTGTGGCGATGCAATGATTTTCTGATCATGGTCTAGGGCGACCGCTGCAGCTCTTACCTAGTGCCTAGCTAGGTACAGTACCTAGTACGTAGTTGCTTTGTTATGATGCATCTGAGAAGTGGACGGAGTAGGTATGGATACTCGATGAGGTAGAATGGCCTGATTTGATTGTTGGGGCCAAAGTGAGTCATGGATGGCTTCAAGGTCCAGGGCACCTAGGTTGGTTGATTGCCAAACTTGTTTGCGTTGCTTTGTTTTCTGGATGTAACCTCAACCCTTGGCCTAAGTGAGATGATTCACTAGGGAATCGGGGAATCGGGGCTAAGCATATGCCGGCCCAAAGTACCGTAGATAGTAAAGTAAGCACTTGGCCAACTGACGCTTTAGTATAGTTTGCACTAACTCCAGGCTGGGGCTGTGGCATTTGATGCATTAGTCTTATTAGCCAGCAGCAGTAAGCCTAACGAACCAATCATAGGCCTTACCTGTCCCCTCCTCCATTTTCTTTGTCTGTCTGTTTACAATTTTACCTAACCTTACCTAGTATCACTTCTGTCTTTCTTCTCTTTCTATCCAGGTATCGGCAGATGAATACTTAAAAAGACAGACATCCAGCGACAGAAACCACTTTTCTTCTTTTTTTCTTCATCCTCCACCCTCTCTCTTCTTAATCATCCACATCAATCAAGATGACTGCCTCTTCTCACGTCGAGAACTACGACCAGTCCACGTACTGGACTGCTCCTGCCCGCAACTTCCGGTCCTCTGCTCGCCTGCACCTGCAGCACTTCCTGTACCAAAACACCCTCGGCTATCTCTTGGAGCCCTTCGTTGAGAAGGCCGTGACTGCCGCGCAGCAGCCACTCAAAATCGCTGACCTCGCCTGTGGTAACGGGATCTGGCTGACCGAGCTGCACACCCAGCTGGCGAAGAATAATGTCACCGCCCAGCTCGATGGCTTCGATATCAACCCCGTCAACTTCCCGGCCGCTGTCTACCTACCCGCTGGCGTTTCACTGCAGCAGCTCGATATTCTCGCTACACCACTTCCTGCCAAGCTCCTGGGTACCTATGATGTCGTCCATATTCGCGCCTTCGCCAGCCTAGTGGGCCCGGACTCTGACCTTACCCCGATTCTGACTGTAGCCTCCTCTCTTCTCAAACCCGGCGGCTACCTCCAGTGGGAGGAAAACCGCGGGGACCTCTTTCTCGTCGAGGCACCGACTCCAGAAGTTTCTAAGACTGCCTGCGAACGTGTTTCCCAAGTACTTCAGGGTGGGCTCAAAGCAAAGGGAATCAGTAACGCCTGGGTGGATACACTTGATACCCAGTTGATGCAGTTCGGTCTTCAAGAAACACGTCGTCTGGCCCATCATAAGCGCCCGCAGGATTATAAGGGCTGGACTGAGGATTACCTCATGGTATGGGAAGAACTGGCTGCTTTGTTTCCGCCCAAGGCTGATTCTCCTGATGCGCCTCTCTCTCGCGAGGCCTGGGTTGCTATGTTTACCGCCGCTGTTAAGGAGACAGAACAAGGCGTCGTCGTGCATCAGCGCCAGATTGTGACAGCGGTTGGGCAGAAGCCGCTTGCTTGAAACACTTTCTTGTGTTAGAAAGACAAAGAAAAATACTTCTGTATCTAGACTTAAACCCGGTCGGATTGTATGCAAATTGAGGTTTTCATAAGGACTATTCTCAAGGCCATGATCGTAGATAGGTATGCGAAGGGCTGACCTAACAATAACGTATCTTAGAGGCTACCTGTATACTCTAGTAACACTTGATGATTTCTGCTGACCACGGATGCAAGCGTCGTTGATATTAGCGGTTTTGGCAGGGAAAAGTATAAAGCCTAGGTAACTCGTTGATTTGGTTGCTAAGGAACTATCTACACAATTTCACATTGCTTACATTCTCTGCGGGTCATGCGACCCCGTGATCCACGCTTCCAGACGTCGACAGTTGTCAACCGCAAAGGTTCAGAAATTGTCTCACTGCCTGCCAGAGCAGAACCGTACAACTTCCTCAGAGCCTGCTTAGGTGAGAACCCCCACCTTTTCACTAACTGTCTGGTCTCTCTTGGTACGGCTTACAGACCACTGCATTCATCAAACACCGGGCTTGAAAAAAGAAAGGGAAAAAAAAAAACCATTTCACCTCATTTGCCCTATCACATGAGTGACTCAGGCTAAGTACATAGCTTAGAATTAGTCCCCTGAGAAGTTGGGGAGGAAGGAGGGGGAGGGGGGGGGTGGCGGCATTGACCATTACCGAAACCGGGCAAATGCATGTGCACCGATCAAGGCGTCGTTTTTAGCATACGGTAAGTCTCTAATTATTCTGTAGCTAGCCCTTAGACTACCGAGAAGGGTCATTAAGTTTGTGCGTCCCAATCCACACACTATCTTAGTGTATCTCAACTCTCGTCCAAGGAGTGAGTGTTGTGCACGGGTACCCGAGTTGCAAACGTCAGATTATCCAATTTAGTAACAGCTAAATCGTTCCAATTCCACTTTGGACCGGTCTCCGAGCCTCCCACTCACCTCGCCAACCTGCTTCATGCTTCTCTGCACGCCAATGTAAGCTCGGTGTTTGCTCACAAACAAGACCTACCAGCATCCAGTTTTCACTTTCTCTCGGCATATTTTCCGCCCAGTACAATTTTTGGTTGAGAGGTACACATTATACTGGTATGGCACTTGTATCAGCCTGTCCGATGGAGAGGACATCCCTGGCCTCCTCTAATGATCCAGTCCACCCCCTCACGCTATAGCTCTGAGTGTGTGTAAATCCGTCTACTTAAGTAGTCGCGCATAGCGAATATTCCTCAAAGTAACGCTTTCCCTGCAAGGCAGTTGCAAATCCATAATGTTGTTGCTTTTCTTCTCACAACAGCTTTCTTGGCTTCGGTGTGGATCTTCCGCCGGGTCTGGTACGAACGCTTCCTCAGATATGCCCACTTCCCCCAACTGCCCTCGTCTCTGCTCTGGGGCCACCTGAAGATCTATCATGAGATCACGCAGCGCGGGCTCCTCGACCGCGATCATGGTAAATTGTAACGAAGCCCTTGTATTGTATTCTGTAACTAATATTATATGGGCAGACCACATCTTCTCCCAGATCCATGAAACGCTGGGACGGCCACCGGTGATCCTGTTTGATTATCGGCCGATCTGCCGGCCGGTGCTGGTGATCGCTAGCCACGAAGTGGCCGAGCAAATCTCGCGGTCCAGCAAGCAGTTCCGCTTCAGCGTGCCGAAACTGGGCCTGGGCTTCCTGGAGCCCGTCATCGGACACACCTCGATCCTGTCCGCCGAGGGCGAGGACTGGAAGGCATTGCGCAAGACATTCAACCCCTGGTTCTCCCTCCAGCACCTGCTGTCCCTCATGCCCACCATCCTGGAGCAGACGACAGGCTTCGTCAAGCAACTGGACGCCCTCGCCGCCACTGGGGGCGCCGCCTCCCTGGTCACCCTCACCACGAACCTCATGTACGACATTATCGGCGCCGCCATCTTTGATGTGGATCTGGATGCCCAGCACCTGGACCCGCGCCACCAGGGAGACCTGGTGCCCGCTTTCAACCATCTCATTGACGCCTACTGGGACGACAAGATCCATCTACCCTGGTTCTTCAACCCGGTCAACGCTTTCAAGCGCCGTCGCCGCGGCGCCCGCGTCCATCGCCTCCTACAATCCATCGTCCGGCGCAAGCATGCGGAGCTGCAGTGGCAGCAGCAGGCTGCTTCGGCATCGGCAGCTGAAAAGGCCCCGCAACTGCCGCCCAGCATCATTGCCCTCGGCCTCCAGCAGGCGGGGGACAACCTGACGCCCGCCCTACTAGACCAGACCTGCGACCAGCTCGGCACCTTCCTGCTAGGCGGCCACGACTCGCCCAGCGCGACGCTCGCGTGGGCTCTATACGAGCTGTCGCGCACGCCGCGCGCGCAAGCAGCCGTACGCGCCGAACTCGACTCCCTCTTCGGGCCGGACAGCGACGCGGTGGCCGTCCACGCAGCGCTAGCATCACCAGCAGAGGGCCCCGATCTCCTGCGCCGCATGGTCTATCTCGAGGCCGTGCTCAAGGAAACGCTGCGGCTGCACACGCCGGCGTCTACGGCGCGGTACGCCGCCCCGGACTCCGGACTCGTCGTGCGCATCCCGCCAAACACCACGAGCACATCAGAGCAGGGAGACGAGTTATGCCTTGACGACCTCATTCTCTACAACTGCAACGCCATCATCCATAGCGACCCCGCCGTCTTCGGGCCCAGCGCCAACGAGTTCCGACCGGAGCGGTGGCTTGTGGCGGACGACGACAAAGCAAATAACCCAGCGATCCCCGCGAGCGCGTGGCGCCCGTACGAACGGGGCCCGCGCGCTTGCATCGGCCAGGAGTTCGCGCGCATTGCGATGCGCGTCATTCTGGCCGTCGTGGCGAGGCAGTATGAGTTCACCAAGGTGGGGCTGGGCGCGGTGGTGCGCGAGGCCACGACCGGGCGGCCGGTTCTGCGGCCCGATGGGCAATTCAAGGTCGAGTCGCAGGTGTACACGGTGGGTGTTGCCTCTTCTTCCAACGGGAAGTCATGAGGGGGTGGCTTGGGCTAACGATGCGGCAGACACGACAGATCACCGCTAGACCGGTTGATGGGTTGATGATGACAGTCAGACGAGTTGCACAAACACATAAAGGACGTTTGTAGGTGGGATGGGAGAACGGATTATACGGTCGTGGCGTTGTTGAGTGCAGTCAAGACTATTTGAATGTGCTCGCGGGCGGAATGAATACTCGCGCGTACCGATCGCTACGCTTGTCCTCTGGCAGCATGGTTGCAGTCGGAGGTGCGGGCAGGCGATATCCCAGGCGTTGCTTTGGAGTCAACAGGTTAATGCCATCCGATAAATTCTGATACCGAAATCACACTGTAATTCAGAGGAACAAGGCAGCAATGATCTCACGCCCGGAAATGCTGAAACCTTCCGTCCTAGAGCAGATCTTCATCAAGTCCTAGTGGCGACCTGGTCAATCACCATATCTCGAGGTGTTTGAGTAGCCGTAAAAGTTACCTGGATAGAACTGAGTTGACAGTGGATGATTTGAAACCGGCGCAGCGTGACTTTCTGAGAGTTAGGCTGGGGCTGACAGGATAGAATCCGGCATGGATGCGTGGCCATACTCCGTTACATCTCAAGATAGTAGTATTGCGTTGAGAATGTACAATAAAGCCTCGATCGCCACTCGAGCAAGCATCTGAGCTATCTAAGCAGTAGATGCGCTAATGCTATTTGTCAAATGACAGTTAATTAGTGGAATAGCATGCAAACACAAAAAAAGATAAAGCGAAGGCATCTCATACAACGAGCACCTCACGCCCCTCTTTTCTCACACGCAATCATTCGCTTAAGCGCCAATTTCACCTGCCGTCGAATCTCCATATCAAATCGGTCATCCTCCCCGGAATCGATGGGTGCAAACAGCTGCTTCCACAGACCGCACCGCTCCATACTCCACATCTGCCTCCCGATCTTGGTAATTCTGCCCCTTTTCCTATACTCTGCCTAGACATACTCGCTGTGTAATAGGATCCACTATACCCCCGCAAACAGATTGCAAGCAATGCCAAGTGTATCCTTCCGAGAGTAAAACCGACCGCCAGGTATGGTATTATCCAGTGAATAGAGAATCCAGCACTCCAAGAGACCCAGCGCTGTGATACGGGCAATTGCGGACTGGAAGTTAAGCCACCGGAGGTGTTCCTTGTCGTTTTTCAGATCGCTTCCGGCTCTTCTCTTGTGTCGTGTGCAGTTGTGGCCGCAAGCTTTGGACAAGGTGGTTAGCAGCGTGGGACTTGGTGTCAAGAATAACGGAAAGACAAGAAGACAGAGAAAATGAAAAGGGAAGAGAAACGTACGTGGAACCTCCCGTCGAAAGGCGGTTGCAGTGCCACGCCAGTCCTTGCCCAGTGGCCACAGCTGGAACTTCTGGAATGGCTCCTCTTTTCCTTCGTTCTCGTCGAGCCCCAGGTACAACACATTATGTATATGTTCATGGCGCGCAGCGCCTCGAGAAACAAAATAATCCGGTCTTGCGCCGGGTGGCCGGGCGGGAAGGCACCGCACAGAATTGCAATCCTTTGGAAAATAAGCTCGACATGACTCTCAGGCGATGACGCGATGTCACGAATATGCTTGACGCCTCTGGCGGTCTCTTCGGGCGTGAGTTGGTAAGGCTTTGGTCGGGTGCATAATAATTTATATTTCGAGGTGAAGTGTTGCATCAATACAGTATCGACTTGGTGCGCAGCTTGAGACGGATAAGCTTCTCCTTTGACCAGGCTGACAAGGATATTCTTGTAGGCGAGGTCCTCTGCGTCGTCCCATTCTGAGTAGAGGTTAAAGGGGTAGAAAATCGGGGTTCGAGCAGGCCCAAGTCTTTGTTGTCCATCTTGATATTCTCTATTGAAGTGAGTGTTCTATAAAGAGAGCAGGAAGGTGAGAGAAGCGCGAGGGAAGGGATAGTTGAGAGCAAGAGAGGGTTGGCTGAGAGGTACTTGAGAAAGACAGCAGTGGTGGAAACGCTGGCGGACACAAGTCATTCATTCACTTTAAGGACAAGTTCTAATTTTCCTAATAGCCTCCCGACTGCACCCTCGATAGGCTTTTATGTCGTGTCATACCCGTGTTGCGTACTCGTCGTGGCTGCTTATTCTGCGATTCAAATGGACGCGCCGCACCCCGCCCTCCATTCTGACATCACGATCACTTTCGCAACAGAAAAGGCAATACAAGGCATCTACTCGCCATACGGCATCGAACGGCAGTTTCTGCCCCAGCTAGTCGACGAATTTCGTTCGCGACGCTCGCCTTGCTGCACGGGATGGACAATTTGGCAATGCTTGGTGTGCTCTTGCTGGGCCTGGATAATGCGCTAGATCCAATCGAATTATTCCACATCAGTGCACTCTGAACGACTACGATACCTTGAGGGTCGTGCAGCAGCTAAGAACTTCCGGTGTTGAGGAGCTATAGAGGCCGAGATACTGTTGCCCAACTGGATTGAACGTGCAAACAAAGCGGGAAGAATAGGTGAATATAGTGAAATCCGAAGAGAGCTGGGACACGCCCCGGAATTAAGTAAATGAAGCTTTTACCCGTGCGCAGGAGTACTCAGCTAAGTGATATCTCGTATGGTATCAGCGTCATACACCCTCAACTCTTGTGGACTCTATTTTGTACAATAAGTTCGCCTACAGAATTTCAACTAGAATTTGGAAGTTCTTTCCTGTTGTGCTCGAATCAATCAAAGGAGACTTAAGACCCATAAAAGCCTGAGATGCTTGATTGTCCGTACCGATAATCCACACATTTGCTCACGGCCCGGGAGCTGACTCGCGCACTTGCCGACTGGCCTGCGTACTTCTCCTCGCTACACGTCCGGTAGCACAGGGTGAGTTGAACCTGAGAGCAGAATGGCAGCATATCATGGGCTATCGTAATCGTTATTATCCCTTCTGAGTCTAGACCATAGACCACCCGATAATTAGAGTTACTGTGCGACAAGAAGGACGAAGATAGGAGTGGAAGAAAAGACTTTTCGCTTATGTAGTTTCTACCGGAAGACAGATCCGCATTCGCCTGGTAATGATTCTCGTATCTCGACGCTGCCGGAAACCGCCACCCGTCTCAGGCGGTCTCTCCAAGGTTAAGGACGTTAAGCTTGCTGTGCTTACATTTGCTGGGCTTATCCCTCACCTTCAAGGTTATCGTGACCAGCGGGAAAAATGACGCTGGAAAGCACCCGATGAGCGAACAAAGGCCCGGGAGCGGTGACCCCAAACCTGACTTTTCATTGCGCGATCTGCTTTTAAGTCGTATTGGTACGGCACCGTACAGAGAACAATAGGACTGTAACAAAAACAATACCTCACGACTGCCATAACCCACAGGTTAAGGCGACGCGCCTATTGTGTCCCTCAAGATGTCTATTATCCTCCATCGCAGCTGGTATGTCCAATACTAAATCCTGTAAGTAATCTACTGGCCGGGAAGCTTAATCGAAAGTAAATCAAATAGGCTCAACTGATGATCTTGAAGCCATGCTTCCTACATACAACCTTGAACCCCAACATATCACAATCAGCACCAAACGCGAACTACGTTCTATTACGCAAAATGATCAAGTCCGTAGAATCAGTCGCGCAGGAGTTCCTTACCCCACAGCAACGATGTCTCAAGACCCCAAACCCCGTGAAATCCAAGCCCGTGGTGGTGGACAAAGGAACAACTCCGACCCCTGTCGAGGCTGCGACAACACAACCACGATTTTGCATCGAGGAGCATCCAGGCGATCAGCCACGGCAAATCAGGGTCGGGGTCGTCGGGGCAGGGATATCGGGCATAACAGCAGGGATTCTGCTGCCCGCAAAGGTGCCGGGCATCAATCTCACCATCCTGGAGAAGAATGCGGATGTCGTAAGCTTTCCCCCTTTCCCTCTTGATCCCTCCTCTTCCTTGTAGCCTTCTTGATCTCCGTTAACCATGATTATGAACTTGGTGATATTAGGGTGGTGCATGGTACGTTAAGTATTCGTTCTGTTTGCTCATTGACTTCGGTTCCTGACTGTGCTGTTGTGCAGGTTTGAAAACACGTACCCCGGGGTGCGCTGCGACGTGCCCGCCCATGTCTACCAGTCCGGGTTCGCGCCCAACACGCAGTGGAAAGAAGAGTTCGCGCAAGGCACCGAGATCCGCCAGTACTGGCAGGATATTGCTCGTCGGTACGAGGTATACAAGTACCTGCGTCTGCAGCGCAAAGTCTTGAGAGCTGAATGGCAGCCGAACGAGGCTCAATGGAAAGTCACGATCCAAGACCTTCGTAACGACAAGGTGACGACTGATCCCTGAATGAGACTGTCCTCTACTCTGTCGCTAAGCGTCCGAGAACAGATATACAGCGAGAACTTCGACATCTTCATCACCGCGCTCGGGTACTTCAACACCTGGCGCATCCCTGAGTTCCAAGATATGGACAAGTTCCAAGGCACCATTTTCCACTCCTCCGACTGGGACCATAGTGTTCCCCTCGACGGCAAGCGCATCGCGCTCATTGGCAACGGCGCGTCCGGCATTCAGATTCTCCCCGAGATCCAACCCGTTGCCGCCCAAGTCGACCACTACGCCCGCAGCCGCACCTGGATCGTGCACCCACCAAACGTAGAGGGCGACTGGCAGCGCGGACTCTTCACCGCCGAAAAACTTGAATCCTTCCGCGACCCACAGACCTACCTCCAGTACCGCAAGGAGAAGGAAGCCGAGTTCTTCCGCGGGTTCGCGACGTGCTTCCAGAACTCGCCCGAGAACGACTTCCTGCGGCAGATGTGGACAGCGTCAATGCTGCAGCGCGTCGAGAACAACACCACCCTGCTCAACGACCTGATCCCAGACTTCCCGCCGTGCTGTCGCCGTCCGACCCCCGGCCCGGGGTACCTGGAGGCGCTGATCAAGCCGAACGTGGAGCTGATCCGGTCGGGGATCGAGCGCTTCGCGCGCGATGGGATCCTAGCGGCCGACGGGGTGGAGCGGAAGGCGGAGATAGTCATCTGCGCGACGGGCGCTAATTCGGATCTCGTGCCGCCGTTCCCGATCATTGGCGCGGCGGGGCTCGATCTGCGGGCGGCGTGGGGAGCGGACGGCGGGCTGTATGGCTTTCCGTACACGTATCTGGGGATGGCGACGCCGGGGTTCCCCAACGCGCTGTGGCTGGGCGGGCCCCATGTGGTCGGCCCCAGCGGGACGGTGCCCAACTGCATGGAGAATCAGGTCACCTACATCGCGAAGATGATTCGCAAGGTTCGGGGCCAGGGGATCCGCACGTTTGTCCCTGCCAAAAAAGCAGCGGACGATTTCCTCGAGTATTGTCTTGCGTTCTTCCCACGCACGGTGTGGACAGGGAACGATGACTTGACGCCAGGGAAGGCGAATTGTCGGTCGTGGATGAACGGTGGGAGGCCTAATGGCTTCGTGCATGGGCTTTTCCCGGGGAGTGCGAGTCTGGCGAATTACGCTCGACGCGACCCGAGGTGGGAGGATTGGGAGTACACGTATACGAATCCGAGTGGGAATAGGTTCGCCTACTTGGGAAATGGTTGGACGACGAGGGAGATGCAGCCGGATGCGGACTTGACACCACATCTGAAACAACAGGATCATATTGATTTGAAGTCCTATTTGGAGGGATGGTGGGATGTTTGAGGTTGAGAGTGTGGATCAATCTGGCTATGAATGATATCGATACCAATGCCAGCTAGTATCCGGCGGTTGGGTCAGCCATGGCTTGTCTATAGACTCAGTTTGGATATTTTTTAGTCATCAAAGTTTATCGAGAAAGCAGCCGTCACTCATCGGATTATCTCTACAACATGAAAGTTTATATACAAATACCCTTTTGATGGTCATACTCAATCAAGGCTTGGTCGAAGGGAAGTTGCCCGTCCCTAGAATATCTCCATCATCCTCCGAGCCGTTCATAGCGCGATCGATCCGGAATTGGGTCGTCTTGAACAGACGCGGCATACTCGTCTCCTCGAACGGGATTTTCTGCACCATCATCCGTGCCAATTCCTGCGCAGCCCGCCAGATGACGGGCATTCCATGCCCATTGAACCCAGCGAGGATGTACTGGCCATCCTTACCGGGCACTGCACCGACATGCGGGTTGGAATCATACGAATATCCCATGACGCCCGTCCAGATCTGGTCTACCTTGGCGCCGCTATTCTCCCATCCCCGGTACGTTCGCTGCATGTAGCCATCGTAATAGTCCTTGGCAGACTCGATGAGCACGCTGTCGTCGACATTATTATACCACTGCTCTTTGAAGGGGCGGAACTTGGACGACGCGCCTCCCACGATGATACTACCATCTGCGCGGGGGATCAGGTAGGAGAGGGTGTTATCTTCGGTGCGGTTGATGTAGGAGTTGTTGAGGAGCGGGGCAGTCGTGCCCTCGGGCACTGTGATTCGACAGCAGATCCCCTTGCACGGGACGATGTTTTTCGTGTACTCGGGCAGTAAGCCTGCGACGTAAGCGTTATTGGCGTGAATGACAGTGGAGGCATGCATGCTGCCGCGCGGGGTTTGGATGGTGAAGCCGCCTTGAGGTGCGGGGGTGATCGACTGAGCCGGGGTAAACGTCTGCAAGTTGACCTTGCCCGAGGCTAGGGCGGTTTTCAGAAGGTGCAGGATGAATTTGTATGGCCACATCATTCCCGCCGTAAAAGAGGCACAGACTTTGGCTCCCTTAACCCCGCAAATCTGTGCTGGGTGGTCAGTCCATCTGATCAACTGAAGGGGTTGCTACTGGTGTTGGTGGTACTCACACCCTCTACATCCTTGCCGGTGTAAAAGACCACGTCATTCATATAGTCGAGGTTGAGCGATTTCATACGGTCATAGACGGCTTTGGCTTTCTGGGCAGCCTCCTCATTGCACCAAACATCGATAGACCGCGCTAGAGTGAAGTCACAATCAATCTGCTCGTCCTCGATCACTTTTTTCATTGCGTGGATGTGGGAAATTTCAAACTCTGCAATCTCTGCACCGGCGCGGACGCCCGCCCGGTCAATATAAGTCGGAATGTGGCCGTAGAAGTCGGGGCGCAGATGCCCTCCATTGCGACCGGTTGCACCTGAGCAGGCACCTCGGGCCTCGAGAATGGTGATGGTCTTGATGGCTTCTCCATGGTCGCGAAGCAGATGGTAGGCGGTGCTCGTGCCAGCGTACCCAGCGCCAATGATCACGATGTCGGACTGCTCTGGCAGCTGTTCAGTAGACCGGTGATTGTGCATTTCATGGGGCTGGTTTTGCCAAAAGCACTCTCCAGGGTTGGGGCCAGGAAAGCAGTTGGATGAGGTCATGGTGCGAAGAAATTGACTGGACTTGTAAGCTATGGTTGCGGTGTTGTTGTGGTGGTTCAGGTTATCGCGCGCGCTCCGTGCACCCTTTTTAAAAAGGGGTCGGCGACAAGAGACTCGGGAGCTTATCGGCTTACAGTGGGATGAAATTAGTATGCACCCCCGCCTCGGAAGGAGTTCGGCATTTTCCCTAATCAAGTCTAGCCTATGGTTATTCTGCCAGCTTCTTTCCATATATCTAAGGCGGTGTGTGGGCGCTGCAGGAAGGCGGTATCTCTAGAACCTAACCTTGGGGGAGAGGGGGGAGGGGGGAGGGGCTGCAAATTAATTTTCTGCGACTGTATCAGCAGACTGCCTCTGCCAGTCTTATCGCGTCGATTTTCTTATCGGTCAATCGGTCTCGGTCGCTGAATCGCGCGGCGGGCCGTCCCCGAATAGGTAATTGGAGCCGGTCCTAATCGGCTGATAAGCGTCTAAGCAGTACGTAGCAAACACAACAGCGGTCACTCATAGTAGATCTTCACCATGCTGGCTAGCTTCATGTTGGACCAACAAGAAAACTTTGATTGCCAATGCGGGGTATTGGGCATCAGCATGAAAATACAAAATGGTGCCATCCAAACTCTTGACCATTGGTGTGAATCGTGGCTTCTGTTTCTCTTTCACAATCTTCCTTCGCCATGGATATTTCCGCTCCCTCGGAGAAAAAGCCGTCCTATCAGCAAGCCGACGAAAAGTGCGATGGGGACCTTGAGGCCACTGCGCCCGGCCATCTGGATGAGGCCCGAGATTTCCATCAGGGGCTGCATCAGCGCCACATTCAGATGATCGCTCTGGCAGGGACGATCGGGACTGGGTTGTTCTTGAGTTCCGGACGAGCAATTGCCCACGCAGGTCCCTTGGGCGCCTTTTTGGCGTATTCGATCATCGGCGGGGCGGTCTTCAGTGTGGTGGCAGCGGTAGGCGAAATGGGCAGTCTTGTCCCACTTCAGGGTGGAGTCATTCGGTATGCAGAGCTGTTCGTCGATCCAGCCCTCTCGTTCGCCAATGGATGGAACCAGGTCTATTCCTACTTCGTGTCTATCCCATCAGAGATCGTCGCCGCTGCCGTGGTCATCGAATTCTGGACCACCATCAACAATGCTATCTGGATCACCGTCTTTGGCTTGCTCATGCTGATCACCGCCTTGGTGTTTGTGCGCGTCTACGGCGAGCTCGAGTTCGGCTTCTCGATCCTCAAAATTATGCTTGTTATCGGAATCAATCTCATGGCGCTAGTCATTACTTGTGGTGGTGGCCCAAACCATACCAGCATTGGGTTCCGGTACTGGCGCGATCCTGGGCCGTTTGTGCAATATCTCGGGATTGGAGGATCTCTAGGACGATTTCTGGGTTTCTGGACGTCTCTGAACAGTGCCCTTTATTCTTACAGCGGCATAGAGAACATCACAGTCGCGGCTGCGGAAACACGTTCCCCACGTCACGCCATCCCCATGGCCGCCCGTCGCATCTTTGTCCGGATCCTGCTCTTCTACGTCTTGACTATCTTCATGATCGGGCTCGTTGTTCCCTCCAACGACCCTAATCTTTTGGGTTCCTCTGGAACTGCGTCTGAGTCGCCGTTTGTAATTGCCGCTCGGACTGCCGGAATCAAAGTCATTCCATCCATCATCAATGCGGTGGTGCTCACCTCCGCCTGGTCCTCCGGCAACTCGAACATGCTGGGCGGCTCGCGCATTATGTATGCGATGGCGGCAGAAGGTCATGCACCGAAGTGCTTCATGCGCATCAATCGCTTCGGCATTCCGTATGTATCCGTGACGCTCCTGGGTATCTTCATGGCGTTGGGCTATATGACGCTCTCGAGTTCTGCCAGTACCGTCTTCACCTGGCTACAGGATATCGTATCAATCTCCACCTTGGTCAACTGGGGATGTATCTGCATTGTGTATCTTCGATTTCTGTACGCATGCAAGAGGCAGGGGATTGATCGGCACAAGGAGTTGCCATGGACTGCGCCTTTCCAGCCGTGGGGTACGTGGTTCTCGCTAGGTCTTTTCAGCATCCTGTTCCTGACAGGCGGCTATCAAACGTTTATCCACGGCCACTGGTCCACGGAGACATTCATCTCATCGTATCTGAATGTGCCAATCATTTTCACACTGTACTTCGGCTACAAGCTCTGGGCAAAGAGCAAGATTATCGGGTTGGACGATGTGCCCATCCGGCCTTTCATTGATCGCTACCAAGCCAATCCAGATCCGGAGCCAGTGCCGAAACGCGGGCTCAGCCGGCTAAACTTTCTATGGGGTTGATATTTTATGCTTGGTTCTCTGTATGGGTTGGTTGTGCTATGACTGTCATCTCTGTATTGTAACGATTTAGCTAGCTTGTTCATGTAGCATAGCCAATGTAACTCCTCATGATAACACCTAGTATTCACTCTTCTGCTGAAAGGGGCAATGATGCACTCGTCAGCTAGGACCATACTTATCTAGCGAAGAATGTGTCAACCGTACAGGACGAGATAAGGTGCCTATCGCCCCTGAGCTTATCAAGATTATCGGCAGCTCTCAATACCGACCTCGAATATCATATCAACCACCGTAGGGGCCATGTCGACTAACGCACCAGATGCATACTAGCTGCATGCAATGAAGTGTCGCGGGCCGTCTGACAAGTCCGCGCACGGGCGTTGGCCCGGTACCGGCCGTGGGCGGCGTTTATCGCAGCGATAAGACAAGACCAGACCGTGCTTGTTCCCCTCTCCTTTTCCCCTCAGCCACAACACAAGAAAACCTATCCTCAAGCCAACCTCCTCTACAATCCAGCCTCACCATCACAGCTCGACCCAACCCGTCCTCCTTCCACGTTCTATCGCACCGAAACCATCACCCACCATGACGAGCAAAAACGTCGTCTTCGACGTCGTCGGCACGTGCGTCTCCTTCTCCGCCTTCTACGATACGATCCAAAGAACACTGGGCCCGCAACTCGCCGCTCACAACCTCACCGCGCAATCCTTCGGCTTCACATGGATGACCAACGCAGAGCTGCAGTTCACCTTCCTCTCGATCTCAGAAAGCTACAAGCCATACAAGCTCGTGCTGACGGAGCTCTTCTACCAGACCCTATCCATGATCGGGGTGGCCGACCCCACCGCCTTCGCGACCGCGGCGCAGCGCGACGCCTGCGTCGAGGGCTACTCTGCGCTCGAACTCCGCCCAGGCACCAGGGAATGCTTCGCGCGTCTCCGCGCCGCCGGATTCACGGTCTGGTGTCTCACGACGGGCGACACGCAGCGGGTGCGCGGGTACTTCGAGCGCGGCGGCGTGGACATGCCGGCGGAGAACTTCCTGAGCTGCGATACGGCGGGCGTGGCCAAGCCGGCGTTGCGCGCGTATCGGCCTGCCTTGGAGGCGTTGGGATTCGTGGATGGTACCTCGGACGACAAGGAGAGGCCGTGGTTTGCCGCGGCGCATCTGTGGGATGTCGCTGCTGCTACCAAGGTTGGCTTCCGCGGGGCGTATTGTACCGTGTATGAGGGAAGTCCGTGTTATCGGGTGTTTGAGGCTGGGTTGGATGTTACGGCGGATTCGTTGGAGGACATGGCTGAGGGAATTATTCGGGCGACGGGGCGGTGATGGTGGTTTGAATTCAAGATACTGGTGAGAGGGTGGCTTTGTTGGAGCCGAATGCGTGTATATAGATAGATCTATGAAATCAGCATCAGTCGGCCCAGATTTGAAGGGTGAGTGCCAATGAAACTGGTGGAATTGCGCAGGGATGTTCTTATATATATGAGCGCGACGATGCGTACCTCCCCGACTACGAAATGCACCCGTTTTGGCGGCTGCTTCAACCGCAGGAAGTCGAGATCTCCTTGGATGAGGAGGAGGAGGAGGAGGAGGAGGAGTACCCCTTCTCCCAGCCGACCCTGGTGTATCACGGGGATATCCCGTTATTTTACAAGGCTCTGCACCCCCATATGTAGAAATTCATCCTCCGCGAGCTGGAGGCCTACAAGGTACTGACGAATATGGACGACGCGAACGGCAAGCTGTACGTGCCCCTCCTGTATGGCCTGGTGGTCGGTAGAGCTGAGCACACGTATTTTGGGGTGCTTCTGACATATATTGACTGCGTTGGGACGCTGAAGTCGGTCCTTACGCCCGAGACTCCAGTGGAGGATCGCAACAGTTGGCTGGTGCAGGTGACTGAGACGTTGGAAGCTATGAACCGGGAATGTCTTGTTTGGGGTGATGCGACGCCTGCAAATGTGTTGATCGACACCGAAGGGGATGCATGGATTGTGGACTTTCGAGGCGGACACTCCCCAGGATGGTCGAGCGAGCGCCGTTGGTGCACGAGGTTTGCGGATGTAGAAGCTCTTTATAACATATCACGTGCATGTTGATGAAGGGCATAAAATATATAAAGCCTCTGCAGCTCGATGAGTCAACTACTGAAGAAGACGAAGAAGACAATGACGGCTATTCAAGTATGGAAGAATGTGACGACAATTCGGCGATTGCATGAAATCACCAGATATCTGTTGCGACCATTTTCTTCTCCGCTTATTACTACGCTTCTTCCAGCCTTGACATTGTGAGATGTCTTCTAGATTGCCTTACATCAAATACCCGGTCAATCGACATCAGAACACAACACAAGGCCGGATACCGGTCAGATCCGCGCGGCCGCAGTCCGAAGCACAGTCCCCTCAGCGACAAGAACAGCCCACTTCCAGCACGCTTCTCAAAGCTGTTCTGGGAATTTCGAACCTGACCCACAGCCGCGGATACATTCTCATTGCGACCAACGTGATAGCCCGCTTTCCCTTGAGAGACAGATTTCACGCTCACGGCCTCCGAATCTCGCCCGGAATCCTCAAACGCCCGGAACGTCGTGATAAAATGCCATAAAACCGGCAGGGGGAAGTTATCACCGAGGACAGACGCCAATCGACCGTCTTCGCGCCACCTGGGCCCTGGAACTTCCCAACCCGCCTGGATTCATGGCTAGCGCAGTGATGATCGATAGCCTTTCGCCCTGCCCCGAACGTCAATTAACTATGCAATCAGTCATTCTTAATTATTTCTCCATACCTTTGCAAGCTTCTGTTGAGATCATTACCAGCGTAACATTAGCGAGCTTGGCCGTGTCACATCGCTGCAAGCCTCTGTCAAGCACAAGAGCCGGCAGATCCAGCTCCAGTATAAGCCACTCCTCCACATCCTTAAGACATCGCAACCGAAGCAAAGAGAACAGGTTCGCTTTCTTCGAGACTGTGCGTGACGTGACCGTGAACGACGATTCGTCCGCACGTGGAGTTCATGCTGCCGAGGAGCTTTGAGATCAACAGATGGTGCACGATATGACAGACCTGGATGGCTTCGTAACCGTCGGAGGTGATGAAAGGGAGGCTGTGTCGCAGACGATCGCTGAAATGCCGGCATTGAGCCACTTGACGGTGGCCAAGACAATTATGCTGGCTTATGATGAGGAATACTTCATCCTTGCTCGGTTCAGGAGATGGAGCTAACGGTTCATAGTATCAATTCGAGATACACTCATGTTAAAGCAACACGTTGACCGACCCGCTAAAATGATCGTGCTGGAAGGTGGGCCTAAAGCTCTAGGTCCCGAAGGCCTGCTCGAGCTCTTCTTTGCAACCTTCTTGCGCGGACAAGGGGTGACCTTGGAGTTAAGATCATGACACTCTGGAGTCATTTAAATTGTGCGCTGTGGTAGGGCTGTGTCGTGCTGTACTAGGTGCCAGAAACTATCTCTTTCAGCGTTTTGTAGCTGATAGTCAATGGTTGAGATTCAAATCAAGCTACCTAGTACTTCGATATCTCCTACACTAAGGAGCAGTACCCGACCGGCAAAGGCGGGTGAGTGGGATTCTGCCGACCCTTCTAATATAGACAGGCGGTCACACTCCGGCTCAGGCGGGCAAACAAAGATGAAACGCGGCTAGCCGTGGCTGTGTTGATTGCGATGACGTAGTCACTCCTCTTCCGCCAACCTTTCCCGAAAGTTCTCCCTTCCACCATGTCATCTCCATGGGTACGAGCGTCAACCCCAGGCTTCCTTCAAGACAGCAACGTCCCCTTTCGTCGCGAGGAATCCATCGTCAGTTATCTACTATCGCGTCCGCTTCAGTACCAGCCACCGATGAATCTACACCCTAAATCCTGTACGAGGCCCTCGAGGTCCCCCTAATGATCCTTCCCGAGCAGATGGGTACAATCCGGTGTGAGCTAGCGTCTGATAGCACGACTTCCCCAAGGATCCACAGGTTTTGACAGGTCTCCTTCCCCTCATCCAATTTGCCCGGGGTGACTAACTCATGAAACCATCGCAGTCAAAGCTACCAGTATACAGGACAATCTATGGAGAAGCAAAGCAAATCGATCAATTATTACCAAATACTTATAAATCTACACCATCACTCAAACTCTACCAACTATATACACCCCCAGCACGAGTCAAATCACAATTCTCCCCTCCTTCCATAGGCTCGTACACGCTCAAGCAGCCTTCACCTTCAGCGAAGCAATGGCATACTCAGAGCTGTGAGCGCCATACCAGAAGACGGTCTTCTGCTCGGCTTCGCCGTAGCCGTCGATGGCGAAGTAGGCGTTGTCGCCGTGGGTCAGCTCGCCGTCGTCGTTGACGCCGAAGCCGGTCATGCTGGCGCCCTCGGGCATGTTGCCGGAGTGCGGGACGGTGAACTCCACGGGCAGCACGGTCTTCTCGACGATATACAGGTTCTGGAAGGCGGTTGGGACAGCGCCGTCGGCCAGGTAGGTGAGAGCGCCGGCCGAGTTAGAGGTCACTGGTGTCGGTGGTTAGTCCTGTTGATTTGAGGTGGTAAGAGGAAGACAGGGCTTACGGATGACGGGGACTTGGTTGTCGGAGGTGGCGTTGCCGACGTAGAGGTACTCTGAGCTTTTGTTAGTTCTTGTCATGCGTAGTAGCTTGGAAATGGAAACATACGGCCATCAGTGAGGACGGCGCTGTTGTCGTCGGCGACGAGAGTGAAGCGCTCGGGGAGGGAGGCGGCGGTGGCGGTGAGGGCGCTGGCAAGGGCAGCAATGGTAGCAATGGTGAACTTCATTTTGGCTGTTGGTTTTGCGGTGGTGTTGGTTTGGTAGAGGAGGTGGTAGTGTGGTACAATGAATCGAGCTTGTTTGTTTATTGTGAACTTCACACGCAGCGAGAGGCGGTTTATATTCCTCGTCCCCTGGTGCACAGACACATCATGATTGAATCACCCTGGCGATTGACATCATCGGTCTCAATTATCAGACCACGAATATTAGGGGCATGGCGGGGCTCGATGAGACATTGTTTCAGAGCGCGTGGGGTACAGTGCAGCTAGTCTCCGACGAGATGTGTCACTTCCGCTTGTACCGTGGAAGCGCCGGAGGTTAACCACGATTTGCAGTCTTCAAACAAGATCTCTTGTGCTTGCCACAACTCGATTCCGACTATTTTGGGCGACGGTTGAGGGATATAGTCGAGTGGATCTCCAAATGGGCGAGTTTCTGGAACCCTCGTTTTGGGTGGTGATTGTCCGCCTGTCAACTAGTCTCCCCCACTTGGTGCGTTGATCGGCGGTGTTGGCGTTAAGGCGGAGATGCTGAGGCTTACTGTTGGCATAGTGCAGAGCATTCCTTCGATCCTCGGTTCATAGGAGTTCTTTGGAATAAGCTGTCCAAGGATGTTCTCTAAGTCAGATGGTTACTTGGTAAAGGCCACTAGTTTGAGGGTTGATGGATGGGATCGTCTGAAACACGGCTTGTTGAGCGGACTTCAAGACCAAGATCTGCAGGGTAGCAGTTCGAAACAACCCTGAATAGTTACCCGTGTCTTCATAGTCACTTTAGGAGAGGTTATGTTTCTCTTCAAGCAGCGTGGCAACCTTGGCGAAAGCTGTCTAAGACACCGCAATATGACGATCCATACATAGACATTGATCTGCTCTTTCTCCTTTCAGTTGTACCCCTGATTGCATGCGACGATGTTGCATATCCATAGGAGTTGGCGGACATCAGACATCCCCGTACACATCCGCGCGAACGTCTATCGAACAGGGGACAAGGAGATCGCGTATTGTTGTGTTCTACTACCGCGGATATGCGAGTGCACTCCTCTGTATACATCAACACTACATTCAAGTTAGAGACTACCATTACATAATGTCCTAATCCTTGTCGTGCAATCAAATATCTGCTGCGTCAAATCGTCATAAGCTCACATAAAGATCATTCGTTGTCCTCCCATCAAAGCATAACCATCGCTCATCCCATTTCTCCCTCCCTCCCGCTGGATCTCCCCCTTCCCTATCGTCAACTCGCCCATCCAACACTCCCAATTTCGTGTCCAAGCCACCCGGCATGTAAACCCCTCTTTTGAACCCCTAAGCCCCGCGCAAACACACCCCCACCACACATTTATTCCCATAACAACAATCCGCATCCCCACGACAAACCCCCATATCCTCCTGACAATACGGCCAATTAGGATCCGTATTCCGACAATGGCTCGCCGCACAATACCCGGAACAACAGCCGAGGCCGCTGCCGTATGAACACACCTCTGTCCACAATATCTTAGTATCTAATGAGCGGATCGAACCAAGATAGAAATGTGCTCACCGTAAACGCCTAGACAGGTTGGCTTGGGGACGCAGGTCACGGTGGTGGTGTAGGAGGCTGTTGGGGTGAAGAAGACGGCGGTGGTGCAGGTTTGGGCGTTCGGGCACGAGGGGAGGGTGCCGCAGGGGGTCGGGGTTGGTGCTGTTCTTGTTGCGAAGGTGGTGGTTGTTGTTTGTGCGGCTGCATCTGTTAGTTTACATGGTTGAGATAGAGGTGACGGGTGACGTACTTGCGAGTACGAGGAGCAGGAACACGGCGATGATGTTGGGAAGAGCCATCGTGATCAGTGTCGGATAGCAGATTCAAGTCGTGTGTGGAAATCAAACGATCGAGGGGCCCCGGAGATGCTCTTATATACCTGCAGTCCATCGTTGCACTGCATCTCGGAAGGGGGTTCAGCTGCAGCTGCAGCCGCGTCGGTGTGTACGGTGACCGGATGGAATACAAAAGGCGCTCGGGTGCAGTTGAAACATGCCGCATCAAATGTGTGGCCCTAGGATAGCTTTGGATACGATAACTTTATTTGCCGGGAGGATTCGACGATGGACTCCGAGCGGAGGAAGATCTGTAGTGCATGGCTTGGATGTCACACCAAACCGTTACCGGAGACATCCCCCAGACGTGATCCTGCTTACGACCAGACACCCAATACTGGTGAACGCTCACCGAGTTACGCTGCAAGCCACGGCCTGGGCGTCGTCGTACGGCTTGCTTTACTTGCAGGGGTATGCGGGGAGGTTGTTGTCAACGTAAGCAGATGTAAGGGTCTTGCAGGTTGCGATGCAAGCGCGAAAGGGCGTTGAGTCTGGCTGCCTGTGCCTTCTCGCAATAACAAGAAGGATCAAAAGTAAGAAAAAATATTGCAACAACAAATGATTTGTTTGGTAGTGTAGCTTAAACTGCGTGTATATGGTAGCCTGCATAGTTCCGGGTACAATCGACTTTCTCACCTGGTATTGTGACTTATCAGCACTTTCATAGACTTTATGTGAACACTCTTATCAAGGATGTCTCACATGACTATCAAGGGCCATGGATCTGGATAGATACTGTATTAAATATGATTACAGCAGAAATGTTCAATCAGCAGTAGCAACTCGAATCTTCAGCGCAGTCGTATACTAGACCTTGAATCGGCGCCCGAACCGTTTGTATATCGAACTACTGCTGCACCTACAGCACAGATTTGTAATCTTCCCGAATGAAAGGCTTAATTGCCTCTGTGTACAGCTGATGATGTCAAGGACATTAGATTGGCAGCCACCCAGCGGTGACCAATAAAGATTCTATTGTTGCGGGTAGGATAAGGTCGTTGACGACTGACCGAGGTGGGTCGATGATGCAGTCCAGTCCTGTGGATTGTATCTTCCTTGTGGAAGTACTTGCTGGCTACTAGTACCAAAAAGAAAGAAATGGAGCCGGTACCACTGCGATGCACGGTCGAGGCTGCATAGTCTGCTGTGGAACATGACACTAATATAGCTGAGCTGTACATCTATGTGCTGCTGAAGAAGATGCATCGCTCTTCAGGAAGCTGGGCAGGAGCTGTTCCTCTCAGTAAATCAAGCAACGACAAGCAAATTAAGCAACGACAAGCAAATCAACCATACACCCCGCTGTCACTCTCCCACCACCGATCTAATCAATCGAGGATCTGCAACAAAAGCTTATCTTCACCAACAACCACTGCATCCTCTCAGTCAACATTAGAATACACGTTTGCACAGCACCGAAGCCACCTTCCTAGTAGCTAACCCCCGTCCAGACCAACCAAAGGTAACACGAAAGCCTCGCCACCCCCGTAACTCAACCAAAGTGCGCAACGCAACCAACCCCAAACGAGCATCTCCTGACATCACCAACCAACCTTATAGCTTTCCTCATTGAATCCCATATTAACCCCACCAGCCCCGGGTTCCTTTCTTATTAGACCCTTCCTGTCAAACACCCTACCATCCAAATCACTATCACTACCCCCTCCATCTCCAACGAATAATACCATCGACAGAACACTAAACAACCAGAATGAGCAAGATCCTCAAGCCAACCGGCACCTCCGCCCTCTTCCTCCGCCCCCTCCTCCTGCGACCGTATCTCACCCGCCCGTACCGCAAAGAAGTCCACAGCAACAAAGGCGAGGAACGTACGCGTCCCTTCCCCGGCCCAATTCTATAATATCCTTGAGATTTGATGATGGAGGCTAATCCGAGTAAACGAATGATAGTATTCATCCCTCCATCCTACCCGGACGACCTCGAGCCCCCGAAGATAATCCACAAGAAGGAGACCAAGGAGAGCGTGTGGGATGAGTTACAGGCGACGATGAGTGAGTCTTCGGTATGTGCTCTGCATTCTGTTCTGGAGATAGAAGGTAATGTGGCGGGTCGTTCAGGTTAAAGCCGACCGCGGGGATATCAAGATCGAGCAGTCGAAGTCCGGGACGAAAGGGGCAAAGTCCGATGGGGCGTTTGCCGAGAGGGAGGAGCCGAGGATCGATGAGATGTGATGATTCTACTTTCCTGTCATGAGAGGGCTTCTGAGGGAGGATGGGTGCTGTTGATGACTTTTTATGAGTGAGTTTGTGTTTATGTTTGCGATGCTAACCAGAATGGATTGTATATGTACTGTTTTCATGTAGGGGTGAGGTTCTATTCTCTAGCTCTAATTCTAGCCTTGGCTGCTGTTCTGTATGTGTACACACTCACGCTTGGATCGGGATCTGGTCGATGTTCTCGACCTGCTGCACGTCCGTCTCCAATTTGCGCTCCACGTGGGCTTCCTGCGCGTGCTGTCCCGGCATGACCGTCCGCCCGCCCTTGGCGCTGAACACGCCGCCTGTGACCCCGCCCTTGGCGAAGAGCAGCGGGATGTCCTCCAGCTCCAGGCCTTTCGTCTCGGGATAGAAGAAGTAGACCATCGGGATGAAGACGGCGTTGAGCACCGCGAAGATGATGAAGGTCTTCCAGCCGATATTTGCTACACGCACCAAATAATTAGTTAACTGCTTTGTGGTCTGGGCCCGTGGGAAACATACCAAAGGCGATGGGGGTGATCTTCACCACCGCGAACACAGCCATCCAGTTCCACCCGGATGCGATCGCCGACATCCGCGTCCGGACCCGCGTCGTGTTGATCTCAGATGGATAGAACCACGGGACCGGTAACCAGCCGATTCCGTAGAAGATTTGGAAAATGAAGATGAACGCGGTCGCACCGTACGCGCAGTCCGTGCGGTCAAGCGACAGCAGGATTGTGACCATCACGAAACACAGACACAGCCCTGCGGAACAGACCATCAACAGTGTGCGGCGTCCAAATCGATCCATGAGAAACACAGGAATCGCAGACCCGACGAGGTAGGTGCACTGCATGCCGCCACCCAGGAGCATAGAGAGGTTACGGCTCATGCCCATGGTGGTTTGGAAAAGGACCGGACCGTAGTAGTTGATCATGTTTGACCCGGTGAACTGTTGGCCCAGCTCGATCGAGATAGTGATCAGAAGACGACGGAGGTTCTGCACTTCGCCCCACGAGAAGAGCTCCGCGAAGCGGAAAGGGCCTTCCCGTTGTTCTTCATCGAGGGCGACTTGGATATCGAGGATGGTTTTGGTGACGGCGGGATCGTTGATATGGGTGTCCTGAATGGCGGCAATGACGGCACGGGCTTCTTCGTGTCGATCGTGTTGGACCAGCCAACGAGGGGTTTCAGGAAGACCGATGATCTGGAGGATGAGGCAAAGAGCGAAGACGGATTGGAAAGCGAGAGGGAAACGCCATTCGAAATCAGAGGTATAGAAGCTGGTGCCGTAGTCGAGCCTGCGAAAGGGTTTCAAATGAGTGAGCGTTTCTTTTTGTGGGTGGAGGCATGGAACCATACCAGTATGCAATGACAACACCCAAGATAGTGACAGTGCCCTGAAGAGTCAACAGAGCACCTCGATAAGATGCAGGTGAGCATTCACTCTGAAAGACGGGTGCCGTGGATGAATTCATGCCATTGCCAATGCCTGTGACAATCCGGCCAACGAGCAACTGTGCGATGGAGTATGATGAGGCAAGAATGGCAGACCCAATGATCATGATGGTTCCACCAGTCAAGAGCATAGTGCGGCGCCCGTATCTCTCGCCGACAAAATAGCAGACAATGGACCCAACCACGCAGCCGATATCGTATAACCCGGTGATGTCGCCTTGCATCGCAGCATCGGGGTTGTTGAAGTCCTTGGCAAAGCGGTTGTCGGCTCCGACGATCCCAGACATGACGCCTGCAGGTATATCAGTACCTTGTGTCCGGATCCCATCAATGGCACTCACCCTGGTCATATCCCAGTAGTAAGAAGGCCTGGCATGATGCAGCAGTGATGGCAAAGATCAGGGTCCTGCCCCGAAAGTCGTGTTTCCAAAGCCGCATATCGAAATGAGATGAAGGACAGAGGCTTAGGCTCGATGTCTGGACAACTAGAGGGGCCTGAAGAAATAATAAGCTCCAGCGCCTGAACGGGAGGCGTCATCTAGTACTCAGCCAGCGTCTTGGCAGCAACATCGTAGGAAGTTCGCCTAGCATTATCCCGAAGGCGAGAAGGAATGGGATCCACCAACGACGGAGTCTGATGGACGGCTTGCCTATCAGGGTCAGAGTAAGCAGCGGCTGGGCCTGTTTGGCACACCAAATCGGTGGATCATCGCTCCGAAACGCGGGGTACCCCATGGGACACTTTTGAGTAATGCTGGCACGGGCCACTCAGGCTCACCAAGTGTCATATCGGCAAGGTAATCGGCAGTCATCGGTGGCTCGGAATGGTGGCGAAGGTAGCAGGAGAGTATCTTGCAGGATCGGCGGCGAGAACCTATAACATCAGCAATCAGGTTGTGCTTGACCGCACATTTGGTAACGAATTGTTGGACACATCCAGCTGTTATCAAGAGAAGAAGGGATGGAGCTCCGGTCTTGGCTCACGAAATGCCGAGACCACGTGATTTTACGACGGATTACTCATTCCCAGTTACCATTGGCTGATTTGCTGACCATTAACCATGATCGCAAAGAGTCACTCATCCTGGATAACTGCATCCAGAGTCGGCATAGAAACCAATATGAATGAGCCTGACTCAAGAAGGGAATAATTGGCTCCTGAATAATACTGGGTCTATGGATTTCACCTACTGCCTGCTTTCGAGGTCAGCATCGATCTACCCAGTCAACCTCTGGCATAGATGCATGACCCTGGAGAAGAAACATGAGCATAGCGGGAATCTTTTGTCTCCATAGCCTAAGAGCTAGTCAAGGTCCTGACCACGAGAGTGTAGACCCGGCTCAATTTCCCACGAGTGTACTAGGCTTAACACCCTGTACGCACATATCATTCGAGAAGAAAAAACGTACTTAGCAGTGCAATACCTACATTGATTCATTTGTAAAATATCCAACAAGAGCCTCAAGCCAGCCAATATTCCACGTCTTCTGATAGATCCAAGGTAATTGCTCATCCCCTCCTTCCCAACATTGTGTCAAGAATATCAAAAATGTCAAAAACCAATCCCGCGTCATTTATCAATACACAACAGCAAAGCTCCATCATCCTGCGCAGCACCTGCAGATGTGTCCACATTCGTACTCGTCTCTCAAAACTGGTTGGTGGGTTTGACCAAGACTATTAAGTCGAGTTAGTCTCTGGAACCCGAAACGGAGATGGTATGTGCTCACAACAGAACTCACGGCTCAAAATATCCATATACAAGGAGGTCCGAGCGCATCTCGCTAAGAAGGTCCATGATGTTATTCATGACAAGGAGGTACTCCACAGAATACAGATCTCTTAGCTGAGCCAGAAGTCCCTTGGAATGTCTGAGGAAAGGGTCGTTGGGCCACGGATGACCCAAGCGATGCAGGCGAAGGCGTATGTCCACGTCGTACCATTTTATCGCCCACCTGCACTGCCTGACAGCGTCCCCAATCTCGTCAATGGAAGGCGGATCGAAATTAGACAGGCTGCTCTGTGCTCTGGTAAGGCATAGCACTCTCAGCGCGCTGACCCTGGGTCTTAGCTCCCGATACATCTCGCGGCAGTCATCCAGAAGGCCAGGGGTTCTGTTCATCTTATCGTTCTTGACTTGATGATAAACTTGTCTGTTAGCAGCTGAGTTGTATGTGTCTTGGTGGATCTTATAGCTCGCTAACCTTGTTTTGATATGAATGTTCGCTAATAGATCGGGAGATAGATGGCTGATGAACAAGTGCTTTGCTGCACAAATATGTGAGCAGTTGGTTTATCCTGAGAGGGGAAGCAGGAATGTTTTATCAAGTATTTATACCCAGGGCCTTCAATGAAACAGAAGCGAGGCCGAGAGGAGAATTCTGTCATTATTTTCACCAAACAGCTCAAACATGACCGATGCGAGACCCCGCTCGACTTTTTATGATCGTGTACATTCACCTGTCGCACACTTCCAACTGTCTATATATAGGCTCTCCCCGTTGCCTTCTTCTTGTTCTTCTTTGCTTCCTTTTCATCGGCCACGACTATCTCCACTCACGAAAAGTTCTCTGTGAATATCAGCCGGGAATATTTATCCTTTTCTTGTCTACCTATCAGCCACTTATTTCAAGAAGCTTCTACGAAATATCAAGTTGCATAGAAGTCTTTCGTTTCATAAAAGCTGGTGAGACCTGATCCAAGAAACCACGACTCTAAACAACTGACAAGGCAGCAGCCTACTCAATATATCGTCTGGCATCCCCAATCAACATCAGCTTTACCTTACTTTGTGATTAAACTGAGGTACGTAGCTGGAAGTTTGTTCGTCAGAGTCCAGTTCAGCTCTATGGGAATGCTCACACATATCACAGAACTCCTCTTCCCTTCGTCTTGACAAGACCATCGAAGGTTAACGTCAACTAATAAGCGCTTCTGGTCCGTATCACGCAAATGACATCTGCGAAGGTGAACATCATGAACGACACCCACCCGAAGGAAACAGCCACTGGCAGTGACCAGACCCCAGTGAACCCGCCAACTCTGCCAAGTACCACAGACCTATCGACCGAGCAAGGCGGCTATGGATCACTTGAGTGGTTTCTGAACGGCGTCTCCCTCCCTGAAGAACTCCACAAAGACATTGTGAACCAGCTTCGCCAGAAAATCATCGAGGCTGAACCGAGCATGAAGGAAGTCACCGCTGAGAGGCTTACTCTGATCCGCAAGGCCTTGGTCGAGAACAAGACTGCCCTGAAACCCAAGACTGCCTTTGCCTTCCTTGGTGTAGTCCTGAAAGAGCTAGCCGAGACCAAAGATGAAAGTCCTGCTCTTCTCCTCGCACGTGCTATTCGCATTTTCAACAACATATTGAGGGGTAAACGCAACGGTATCACCGTGAGCGAGGCAAAAGTCGCGGCCTTCCGTGCTCATTTCAGACATGTCAACGATGAACTGACTGTAGGGCGCAATATTTACCAAGAGCTGGATGGACTAGAACGCAAGAAAGCGATATTCGTTCATCTCTCGAAGACGTTCCGCAAGGTCGATATGGGAACTCTGCATCTGCTCTGGAATCAGGCAAAGGATTTCTTCTGTGAAGAAGAAGCGCTGCATTACTCGCAGTCTATATCTTCCCTGGATAATCTTTTCGGGCGCGTTCAGTCTATCAGTGAAAAATGGCACGGGGTTGATGACGAGCCGGGATGGGTAAAAGTTGATGTGCCTTGATCGTCGATCTCAATCTCGTCATCATATCGCTTATCTCTCTGGCTCGGGTTTTGATATTTTGCATCCACGAGGAGTGACATCTGATGTATCTGGCTGACTGTCAGCAGCGTTGGTGTTTATGAGATTGGAAGACTGTCTGTTTCCTGCTGCGACTCCATATGGAAGAAATGTTTTCTTAGCTATGTCTGTCTCTGTTGCTTAGGTTCGGTTATTGTCATGTTATGCGGGAAAAATCTGTTGTTAACTACGAAAATGCTCTTCTGTCCCCCTTTCAAACTGAAAGCAACTGCTGGACAGTAGTAAAGGCAAACATACCAGGGGTCCGGCCAATGACAGTGTAGAGGTCACATGATGTTTATGCATTGCACGTCAAGTGACACAAAGCATGGCAAGAGTCATAACTGTCCGCGGCCAATCTACTATACCATCATCAAGACTCACTCTCAATTCGCTACCTTCTATTCTGCGTTCTCTTCTAGGCCCAATAGCGCTGTGATATCCCATTCCTTGGATCGCGGATACACGACCATGGTTAGCCTTCAATGGCCCCTTCCTTGCGCAAGACTGCACCAAACAACATCAACACTCACCACACACCTTCGCACGCGAGGATTCTCCTTCCTCCGCAGAAAGCCTCTCACCATTCCTCATTCAAAACACCCTTTACTGACCGATGATTCCATCGACGAGGAACACTTGCCCGGGTACTGCTCCAAAGATTACTATCCCGCCAAGCCGGGCGAGATCCTCGCCGACCGCTATCAACTCATCACCAAGCTTGGCTGGGGATCCACTTCTACAATATGGATGGCGCGAAATATGCGGGGGTATGTGACCGATCCTTCAGATTGGAACACTGACCCTCATGCTAGGAGTTATACAGATACAGATGGCAGCAAGAGACAATCGTCGCGCTCAAGATCGTCAACACCAATTTCGATGTCGAGGAACACGAACGCACGCTCGAAGAATACATACCGAAAAGCGATCCGGCGCATGATGGCCGGACATTTCTCCGTACCGCGCACGATACCTTTGTTATCGAAAGAAAGGAGGGCAAACACCTGTGTCTGGCGTACGAACCGATGCGGGAAACGTTCAGCGTCTTCCGGCGGCGTTTTGTCAATAATTGCGTACCCCTGCCATTGCTCAAGCTCTACATTAAATGGTTGCTACTCGGCTTGGACTATCTCCATACTGTCTGCCGGATGGTGCATACTGGTGCGTCTTCAGGACCTCTCTCTGTACGTTGTTAGGCTTACTTGAGACAGATCTCAAGCTCGACAACATCATGATGGCCATTGAAAATGCCGAAGTCCTGGACGAGTTCATTGAATCTCAGCTAGAAAAGCCCATGGAGTATAAAATTGACTCGGCCGGTCGGCAAGTGTATTACCGCCGCGACAACTTCGGCAACCTCAGAAAGATCAACAATCTTCCCAGGATCGTGGACTTTGGAGCGGCAATCAAGCTGAATCCGGACGCTCGGTGCATTTGGCCGATCCAGCCAAACCACTATCGCGCACCAGAGGTCATTCTTGGGTGTGGTTGGAATACTGGAGTTGATATCTGGAATATGGGAATCCTCGTGCGTTGAATGCGTTTGAAATTGGTGCAGTGCTAATTTTGCTGTAGCTTTGGAATATGGTCCAAGGGAGCAACTTGCACACCCAGGTCACTGATGCCGAAGGCATGTACGACGCCAAATCTCATCTTGCCGAGATGATAGCCTTGTTTGGACCTCCCCCGCCGAATATGCTCGCGCGTTCCCGGGAAAGGTCAAAAGAAAAATGGTCTCCCAAGATCAGAATGGTAGGTGTCAATGAAAAATTATGCGATACAGCGGAACAGTTGTTTGACGGCCCCTTCTTCGATGAAGATGGTAAACACACCATTTCCCAGGTCTGAACGTGTAGCTAACATCACGATAGGCGAGTTCCTTTATCCAGACCTGATCCCAGGTCGCAACCTCGCGGATACCCTTACTCTGCTCGAAGGTAGGGACAAAGAGGGATTTCTGGACTTGGCTCGAAAAATGCTGGTGTGGGACCCGACGGAGAGGCCGACGGCTGCGGAGCTGGCTCAGCATCCGGCACTTCAGCAGGATTGAGACTTACCTAACTATTGTACTATTAGCATGATCTAGATCTTGAACATACTCCCCTCTCTATACACGCTTTCCAGGCAAGTGTCCAAGCTAACATTCATGCGCAAACGCTATGGTACCATCTAGGTGGAAGACATCTTCCGACAGCGTTCTTCGCTTGCAACGATGGCGAGGCGTCGAAAGGTACGATCGACGGTGCATATCGCGACTGCAGCGGCCAAGAATATTCTTGTCCGGCTTGGCAGTATAAGTGCGATGATGACCGTGCGTCCCTCCACGCAACCGAGAATGCACAGTACGCACTTTGATAAAATCCTCCATGCTCATCATCCGGCATCGGTGATGCGGTGGCTAGTTTTTGAAAAAGGTGCAAACTCCTGCTATTGCTACTTTCTCTAGTTCGATTTCAGAGTTCGAGATCATTTGGCAGGGTCACATCATCTGTCAAGGCAGATGCCTGAAGTAGTAGTGTGTCGGGCGCTTGTGACGTAAGGGCGGGAGTCGAGATTCATCCTCTAAGAAGACTATGTGTGAGGATTGGGACAGGCAAAGTCTCACACTACGAGGCTGTCGTCGGGACGAGGAGCCGCTTCGATACTGATAGCTGATCATGGTATTTGATGGCGTGGACGGTGAGCGGAATTAAAAATTGTAGTCTTGTATGATTCTTCCTTTTCTTCTGGCAAGGTGAGCTCATGCGAGAGACCAGACTTCCAGGATCGACAAACATAAGCGGTGCCAAACAACTCTCCCCCTTATGACTTGATTGCATAATAAGACTAATGATATGTAGACTCTAGATAGTCAGTGTCGTGTTTGTCGTGTTCGTGTCCAGCGCTTTGGTCGAGACTTGACAGCAGTAGATGTTGTGATGCCCAAGGCAAGCCCAGAGGGACCCTTTCCCGGAGTATACGAGGTAGCTTGCAAGGCTTTCTCTACCCATGGGAAGAAGGTTGAGCACCACGGGTAATGGTGTCACGGCTGACCGATACCACAGCTCGTATGGCTCAGCCGTTGTGCAGCACCCCCATTTGCGCCGAATCAGGCCGCGCTGACTCAGCCATCTCTTGACTGTTCCTTTCAAGTGATGATTTCATCGAACCACTCACACCATCTCCTCGTGAACCTCTGACTAGCCGGTATCTCCTTCGAGATTTCGTACCATCCTTACCTCGCAGAATGAGATCATGGACTTTCGAGATAAAGAAAATGCGGGGCAGGGGCTCGCGGTCGCTCCAGCCCTTTGCTCTACACTTTATAACGACCCAGACCTCCCCGATTATCCTAATCAGGTTCATGATCTGCAAGCGGATGTTGTGCCGTTAAAGCTTCATTATCATGGAGAACTTCTACAGCCATCCGATGGGCATCGCGGCCTGGTTCCCTCGCGTTATCGAGTATATCAGCGCGGTCATCGTCCTCGGAATCAGCGCCTGGGCAGTTCGAGAGACGAAGACCGTCACTGTCATCTACACCTTGGTCATTGTATGCTCCACGGTTTCATGATTCTCAGATTCCGCACTTCTGACACAGGTCTAGTCTGTCGTCAGCCTTGTCGTCACCTCCGTCGCGCTTTTATTCAGCTGCATGATAAGGCGCCAAAGATGGCACATCTGGCCTATTCTCGTAACCGACGGCGTGATGTCTTACTTGTGAGCGGTCCTCCCACGCAGATCCAGCCCCGTACGAAAGCATTCTAATGATTACTCACAGATGGCTCGTCTCCTTCGTGTTTCTGGCACAGAACTTCAACGCCGTCAGCTGCCGGGTGATCCTCTGGAACGGCCTGACGGTCTGCAGCCGGAAGTACGCTGCTGAGGCATTCAGCTTCATCGCATTGTAAGCCAAACTAGGCGGTGCGCGGAAAAGCACGTCGGAAATGCTGACTCGCTTAGCTTCTGTTCCCTGGTGGCTCTGGGCCTCGACATCGGATACATCTACTGGGGTAAGCCGAAGACCCCGCCTCCGATGGAGCAGCGAAGATACGAGGAGCAGTTGAGCCAGAATCTGGAGACTGCCGGGCTGAGATAGTGGCTGTCGTAGTGTAAGGGTGCTACCTGTCTCGGGAATGTTCGGTTCTGGGTAACACGGGCCCCGCGATCGAGTCTATGATGTCAGGTTGGTTCTGTGAAACGTGCTTCTATTTTTTCCCCTTCTAATCACTTAATAAGGTAGCTAGCTGCCGGATGTATGTAATTCATCAAGATATTCTTTTTGCTATCGTAGCATACTCCATTCAGTCACTAGACTGGCCCGTGCTATCGCGATAATGCCAGCCACCGCTTCGTAAGTTGCAAGCCGGAATGCCCCTAGCAGACTAACTGATACTGTCGCAGCGATGTTTGTCTTGTAATCCTGGCCATCTTCATCCCCCCACTTGCCGTGCTATTGAAGCGAGGATGTGGGGCCGACCTGTGCATCAACATCATCCTCACCTTACTTGGTGATATTCCCGGCATCATCCATGCATTGTGAGTTCTGTTCGATATCATTTCGATAATGTGGCTGATTGAGCTAGGTTCATTGTTTTGACTTCGCGGGAGAGACGCGACTGGCGCCAAAATCAATACTATTACTGAGTTCCTGCGCGCGTGTGCCTGCTGGCTGGGTTGTATATAGTGTAATCTGTGGGCTTGTTCTGTACATATTGGGTTTGTTTGTGCTGTGCTCTGCAAATGACTCGACACTGGCTGTATGTCAAGACTGTCTCGCCTTGTATCTAATGTTGAACCTAATCTCGGCTCGGGAGGAGCTTGTCCGTCCTGAAGGGGGTGTGGAGCGAGCGTAGGGCTGAACGATCGGAAATCTTTCCCAATCTCCTTCCCATGCAACCGTCTGCTGCTTTAACTTCTCTAGCGATATCAACTCACAGTCTACTACCACTACGCATGGTCAACGGCAACCCCGTATCAATCCACAAACGGCAAAACCTCAAGCCACTCTCTGCGCTTCTCATCGCTCCTCGCCTCCCGCCGCAGAAACCTCTCCACCCCGTCATCCAGCTGTTTCCTCGAGAGCTCGTAATCCTGCACGCTCACTCTCCCATCCCAATGCTTGAAACAGCCCGTATCACTAATAAACTCCTCCATGAGCGCGACACCGCGAGCCCACAGCTCCGCGTCCCGTTCGAGGGCCCGCACCTCATCGACGGAGAACTGCAACGGACAAGACACTAGCAAGGCACCATCCGGCCCGCGCCCAACAATATCCGGCCACTGCTTCTGCACATCCCTCAGAAAATCAGCGAGACACGGCTCGTAATCCATGATTGTCAACCCCGGGAGAACGCTGACCTGATGTCTGAGGGTGCGGTGGCCCTGGATCGCGTCGAAGACGGCAGGGTTGACCTGCAGCGATCGCGCGAGGTAGAGGTTATGCAGCGTCTGCGCCTGGTGCAGGGCCTTTGCGTCGCGCTGGTCCGCTGGGCTTAGCGAGTCGAAGTTGACGGGAAGAGGGACTTTATCTAAGCTCTCGGGGAGAGGGCCGTTGTATTCCAGGAAGGCGGGACGGGTGACCTGCGTGAAGAGCGGGCTAAGACTCGTGGATTGCCAGTCGATGATCCCTGTGATTCGAGTTGGCTCGGCTGGATCGACGAAGATGTTCTGCAGGTTCAGATCCCCGTGCCAGAGGACTGATGCGTGGCTGGTGGGGTTCTCTGGGAGGGTGGAAGCGGCCACCCTCAGGTAGTTGTTCAGCGTGGCGAGCTTCTTGGCGGTGTTAGGCTGGTATTGACGCGGGCCACGGAAAAGCCCTTCGGGCATTAGTGGGTATTTCAGGCCCTTCCTCGTGGTCGCGATCTCCCGGTTGGCCACTGCTGTCACCAATTCGGTGGCGGAGGTCCCTGGTGCGATTGTTTAGCAAACAGCAGGTTCAGGAATGGTGCAGACACTTACACGGCCCGCGATCAATGTCCAATGACCCCCGGCCAAAGTCGAAGAATGCACGGTGGTTCGTTGGCCCGATCACGAATTTATCGCTGGGCAGCGTCTTGCGATTGCTGTCTACATACAAAGGTGCTGTGGCTGCCCTTGAGGGAGGAGAGTCTTTCTTGTAGTACAAGGCTCCATAGCCGGTGAACTTAGTCGCAGCAAGGGTCTTTTCTAGGTCGACGACCTGCAGCACAAGCTGAGCTCTCGATTTCCCTTTCAACGAATCCCACACATCGCTGAGCATCACACCAGGCTGTTTCTCCATCAAGATAAACTCAGCGCCTACGGGATTCTCAGCTGCCCTGGAGCTCCATGCATAGACCTGCGGAACAGGCAATTCCAAAACATTTCGTAGCTGCGTCGGTCAGCGATAGAAAGAGCTGACTACAGGACAGGGCATGCTCTTACAAAGTCCATCGTTGCAACCTCGCTCGCCGTCGTGAAATGAGGTCGACCTGCGTTGGGGTTGGGTAATTTGGCGATACACTCGCGCCCATCGTTCATAGTTAGCAAGAACACCTTGTTATACTGCCCCTCGGCGAGCTTCAGGACACGAGTGCAGAATTGTGCTCCAAGAAAAGAGGCGGCAATGTCTAACAGCGCGCGAAGCTCGAACCGAACGTACCGACACGCCAGTTGCTCCTGCTCGCGCCATAGCCAGCGGCCTGAGGTGAATCGCCTCAATGCGTCACGGTCTTCCTTTGCATCTACGTCTCTTGGTCATCGGCAATTCTGATTAGGGCCTAAGCAGCTTACCTTTTATACCTGACTTCGTTCGTTGGTCAGCACGGAACCAGCGTTTCATCAAACTGCCACAGAGGGATTGACCAGAGGGTGACGCGACAACTATTGATTTGCGCAGTCTTGTCCCTCGGAAGGCCCTCATGGTACATTCTCGGATGATCTTACGGCCAAAGGAAAGGATGTGGATGTCCGTGTTTGATGGAGAGGAAGACGACGAGTGACGCGACCAGTGCCAGCGGGCTGGGCGCCGATGGGCTGGCTCCACCGCGATCGGCGCTACTGGCCGGATCCGCACGCGCACGGCCGCATGAGCTACGTGGGTAAGCATCTGCCTCAGGCTGTGAGGAGATGGGCATTATTCTGGCCTGGCTGCTGCCGCTGCTTGACATGCGGCCCGGGTGCCTAGAACTGTGATTGGAGAGTCTCCTGTACGTCAGATCGGCGTTTGCCAGGAAGCTGAAAAGAAAGGGGGGTCTGGGGTTTCTCCCCCAGAACGCCTGATACCCCGCTGCTCCTCGAATCCACTAATCCTGTTCGAAGCACATAGTACAACCGGGAGATAAACATTCTGAAAGAGAACCCCCAGACCCCCCTTTCTTTTCAGCTTCCTGGGAGCACGCCGGTGCGGGGTGCGGAAGACCGGCTTGGCGGTCACGGGCAGATAGTAGAGGTGAGGTGAAAGCGAGGTGACGGGGCCATTTGGAGGCGTGGATGGCGCGGAACTTTCTAGGCTTGTTCCACGGCGGCCACGGAAGGTACAGGTAATCGTAGTTGAACAGTGCAGCTAATCAAGCATTGCTCTTGTTGAGCGGCGCGGCGCAGCGATGGCGCGATAGATTTGTTCTATTGAGTCGAAGGGACGCTCACAGCGGGTGAGAGAGGCCTGCACCCACAATATTCTAGGACTGATAGGATATAATAATTACTGAGGCAGAGCCTAGCACATACGACCACAGGGTGTGGAAAACAGGGCTTCCCGTCCGCTCAGCCGTACTTAAGCCACACGCCGGGAGGTTAGTAGTTGGGTGGGTGACCACCAGCGAATCCCTTCTGTTGTATGTTTTTGTCCTGTCCTCTCTGTTGAATCTTCTGTTGACATCCGAGACCGAACGGGCGTTTCACTTTAATTCGGACTCGTTGAGATTGACTTGACCCCTTCTTGCTGCTTAGTGGTTGCCGTTGAGCGGAAGATGTGTGCTACTGCCCCAAAGAAATCCGGTACCTCAGTCATAATGAATGCGTCAACACCACGAGCTGCGATCGAAAAGGTCGCTTGCTGTGGTTGGGTCTTATAGCTGAGAACTTCAACAATACTTCGGCCACCGACAATGAGATTACTGCTTAAATTGGTCGGAGTCGTCCATGTCTTCGGCTCATGCTTCACAATATTGATGTCGCAGTCTTCCATTGTATATATTTGAATCCTTTGTGATGTGATTACTGAGTATTCAGGCTTTGACGCCCGCCTCCAAACACTCCTACCAAATCGGCGCATTAAATCGGCCCATGCGCATTAGACCTCGGCATGGGCAAAGCAGTCTGACGATAATTGATCGCACTCGATATTGTATGAGTACAAGAGACATCTGATTCCGATTTGGATCTTGGATTCTGCGTGTCTTGGCTGCAGCAAGATATATTACGCCAAGACCCACAAATGATTGCGAGGGAGCACGCGTCATGCTACGCCGTGTGTGAGCTAGACTAGTGGCTACCAAGTCCTACTGAACAGATTGTGGCGTCTCTCCCATTGCGCAGAACGGTCTAAGCCTCTGAGCAGATTGTACGAGGATGAGCATTCTCAGTCTGGCCAAGGCGGCGTAACGACATTCTCTGCTGATCCCAGCCATAACAATCTTAGACAAGCTCAATGTGCCGGAAGAAGTTCGGCTGCGGCTAGACCCATGGTTAGAGTCCTTCCGACTCGTCATCAGCGAATACTGCACCAACTTTTGCCAAGAACTAAGCCTATTGTCCGCGCCGAAGTCTGAAGGCCCCAAAGTTGGTTAAACTTCTTATCAATCTCAAGCTTCTCTCCAAGTGGAACCACTTTGCACGGCAGATGCGGAGACTAAACTTCTTGCAGCCAAGTGCCTCCATCCGCACCGTCTTGGCAATTTTCGGAGCGGGGCGGGATCCCTCGGAGTCAACGGGATCTGAATTATGTTGTACTCAGTAGTACCTGCCTGGTTGCGATCATGCTTCAGCTGTTTCCTGACCATCTGTCTTCACCAGCAGCTAGCTTATTAAGCCATGGCCCACAGCAATTGCTCTATATATTCAGTCACGACGCCCACCGAAAACCTGAGAAACAGACACGCAGAACATCGCCGATCATGCTTTCCTCTCTTGTACTCGCCCTCGTGGGCATCTTTGCGCCCTATGTTGCTGCGAAGACCAACACGCCGGGCCTGGAGCTAGTCTACTCCCTTGAGCGTGCTACCCAGGGCATCAGTATCTCCGCCGATGGCCGCAAATTCCTGACGCAGCGTTACTCCACGACCGCCGCGCCCCAGATCGTGGAGCTTCTCGCCGACAACAGCACCACCCTCTATCCGGACGCGGCGTGGAACGCATATAACTCCAGTGACCCCAGCTCTGACCCGACCACGAGCTTTGTCAGCGTCGATGGAGCGCGCATCGGCCCGGATGGCCGCTACTGGGTTGTTGACGGCGGCTCGTCGGGCGTCAATGGCTCAACCAAGCTGGTGAGTGTCAACCTGACCACCAACGCAGTTGACAAGCTGTACTACCTGGACAACGTCAAGGCGGAGGAGAGCGGTGTCGATGACGTCCGCTTCAACGCCGCTGGCGATGTGGCCTACCTCAGCGACACCGCGGGGGCGCTCATCATCCTGAACATGACGACCGGCGACGGCGTGCGTGTGCTCTCCGACCACTCTTCTGCTCAGGCCTGGTTCCCCATGATGTACAACCACACCCTGGTGCCTGGGTACGGCGCCGCCGGCAGCACCCTCGCCGTCGGCCTCGACCAGATCGAAGTATCCCCCGACGGCGTCTGGCTGTATTACCAGCCCTGCAACGGCGGTCTGTACAAGATCGAGACCGCCTATGTTGACGCTGCTCTCACCAACGCTACCCTCGCCGCCTCGCTTGGTGACTATGTCCAGGCTGTTGCTCTGACCCCCAGCACTGGCGGCACCACCATCGACGGCAACGGCAACATCTATTTCAGCGATACCAACCTGTTAGCCATCTGGAAGGTGACTCCCGAGGGTGTTGCCTCAATTCTCTTCCAGGATGACCGCCTGATTTGGACCGACCTTATGTGGGTCACTCCTGACAAAAAGCTGTGGCTGCATACTTCCCAGATGCGTCCGGGTGGTGATGGCCTAATGGCTACCGGCCCCAACTACATCTTCACCTATCCTATCGAGGCCGGTCCCTCCCCAATTGACCACGCCTAATGAGTGACCGTACTGGACCTGTAACATACTATTGGCATATCACCCGCGTGTATGATGGCATTGTGATCGTGTATATCTAAGAAACGTTATCTCGGCACGAGGCAGTAACAGAACATACAACTCCTCCTTGAAAATAACCTACTCAGAGCTTGTCTATGAGTAACCTTTGCGTGATGAATTATTAAGTGGTTGTAACTTAACTATTTGCCGCACAGCAAGATCGTCGGTGGTCCTTAAGTAGCGAGGTCACGTGATTGGGGCGGCTACCGGGGGGAGAATCACGGTCACGGGTCACGGGTCACGGGTCTTCTCGACAGATCCTGATTGGGTCTAGCCTATCAGTGCGGGAGGGCTTTCCCCAGTTTGGAATTAGGCTGATTGTCCGTGTCCCGAACCAAACGAGCATCCCACCTGGATTCACACTTGGATTCACACGCCCAGCCTGCTGACTGAGCACTTTCACGTACTACATCTAACTTAGTCCTTACACTTATTAAAATGAGCATGATGAGTGCTACTGACCTGTCGACACACATCATTGATCCTGACGGTGATGTGGTGATCGTCTTACACGATCCCAACCATGCGTTTGCGCCCTGGAACAAGGCCGGAACCCCAGAGATGGCTTCCCCTTCGTCATCAGGCACAGATGAGAATGATAAACATGAGGGAAATCCCAACGTGCAATCTGTCAAAATCTCCGGTGACTGCAATAAGGAGGCGACAAAAGAGGTCCACCGTATTCTAGTATCCGGAAAACATCTAGCTCTCGCGTCATCCTACTTCAAGAATATGCTCCGCGGGACGTGGAAAGAGACCACCTCCCACTCCGCAACAGGCCCCATGGAGATAGCCGCAGAAGGTTGGGACTTGGAAGCACTCTTAATCGTCCTCCAGGTATTGCACTGCCAAAACTCACAGATCCCGAGGAAGCTGAGCTTAGAGATGATTGCCAAGATCGCGGTCGTGGCGGACTACTACCAATGCAAGGAAGCGCTGGGATTTTTCTCGCAGACTTGGCTTGATTCACTGGACCAGGCGCCACCGAGCACATACTGCAGGGATCTTCTTTTGTGCACCTGGATTTCGTGGTTCTTCGGTCGCCAGAGTCAATTCCGGCAAACCACCTCGGCGGCGGCGTCGCGGAGCACCTCGCCCGTAGACAGCCTCGGCTTACCAATTCCTGGTGCAATCATTGGTAGGGGACAAACTTCTGAGTAACTTGGGAGATATTTAGCTGATCAAAACTCTAGGCCTCTCATAAATGAGAAGCGAACCAAAGCCATCGCCAACATTCTTCAGCAACTACACAGCAAACTAGATCGGCTGCTCGGCTCCACCTCTTGTATCTTCGAGTGCAGCTCAATAATGTATGGAGCTCTCAGTATAAGGATGCATTCGAGCGGTCTGCTATACCCCAGGCCTGTGGCTCCATTTTTGGGTATAAGTCATGAAGAGCTGGTGCAGCAGGTGTTGTCCTTCGAACCCCCAAAGTGGTGGTCCACGTCCACGAAGTACAACGACCGTCCACATGAGTGTTCTTGGTCTTCCTTCAAGCACCTGGGGGGCAGTTCAAACACTGTTATCTCCGGACTGGATCTTTCCAAGATGGCAACATTGTGCACCAATGACAAGACGGACACCCTTGTGGCCTCTTAGCGCTACAATGAATCCAAGACAAAAATTCAAGAACCATCTCAGTGTCCGTCAGATTTCCCAAGGTTTTAGATCACAAATTATGGATGTTTGTAGCTCCGGTAGCCTGATGCTTAAACAGCCAGTCAGTGCTTTGTGGCCAAGCGACGAGACAATACCTGCAATCTACACTCCACTGGGCTTTTTCCACTCTTTCGTCTAACACAATGCCTAAGGGAACTAACACCTGGATCGAGCATCGCATGCCATCAATGGTACGTGAGAAGACAAGGTTTTCTATTCTGTCAACATATTGTGCAACATCTTAGGTGGTTTGAACTGTATAACAAAATTGTCTTAATGATACATATAATTGTTACAACTCAAGATTCGACTACATAACAAGCGGGGAGGTTGAACCTGGAGAAACATTCTGGTCATTAGCACACACTCAGATCAGAGCAAGTCAATACCCTTACCTAACGACGGACATAGAATGAAGGAAACGTTAGGCCTCGTTTTGGAATGCTTCGACCTCGACCTCAATCAACATCTCCGGGAAAGCAAGGCGGGCAATTGAGATAGCAGTCCAGACTGGTCGGTGTTCAGGAATACGCTTCTTGAGCTTCTTGACGAGATAGTCGTAAGAGGTGTCCAGGTCGACGTGGTAAGTTCGGACAAGATAGACATCTTCCCACCCTTTAATTCCAGCAGTCTGAAGCACTCTATCGACGTTCCCAAACGCTAGGTCGATCTGCTTCCGGGTATCGCTGGCATCGAGACTCCCCGAGTTGGTCCAACCGCCCTGTCCGGCGTATTTCACAATTTTTCCGGGGAGTAGAACAGGTTGTGAATAGTGGCAGAGATCGCTGTACTTCTGGCCAGCACCATCTTCGTTGACATAGGTGAGGGATGCCATATTTGAATATTGTGGATGAGAGGACAGTGCGCGATGGAAGTTGTTTCAATACTCTTTCGCCAACTCTGATGGTCCGGCTTCGAGATTTTATGATCATTGCTGCTGGAGAGGTGCGATACTAGGGGTGACTTGCCTGCGTGGAGATGACGTGGGACCTTTTGGGGGGCGTCTCGGCAACGTCGAAGGGTTCCTATTGGAGATCTATGCAAAGTAAATTATGACAGCTTGGCATCGCCTAAACATTTCGAATCCAAACTCAATTTGTGTGTCTAGCGGCCACATATTCTGCAGGGCTCTTCTTACTTTCAATACTGTGGTCAAGTTGCGCATGTGTCGGTAGATGATATCGACCTTTTCCGCCCTCCCGGGCCAGGTAAGTTGCAGTCCATTGCGAATTCAAGGTACTCCACAGAGCTTATGAAGGCTCAATGAACAGGGACAAGCAATATTCAGAACTGCATTCTGACATATGAGCTCTCTGCATACCCGACTTCATGAGCACTGGACTTACCATTTTCTGTTTGTCATGCTGGGTGACGTTGGAGGTGTTCGAGGTGGTATGGAGGTGTTATGGAGGTGGTACCCACAAATGCTCCACAGCCCCATCCACCGTCGGTATCAGCCGTGGCAAAAGAAAATGATCTTCAAGGGCCTCCAAAACGGTTCCAATCATCAATCTCAGCTGAGAGAATCATTTAAGATCATGAAAATCAACCGTTCTTCGCATAACCTGACCCTAATTAAGAGAAATACCACGAACGTCCAACACAGCGACACCGAATTCGACTCGCCATGACGCCCTACAAGCTTTTCGAGCCTCTGCAGATTGAAAACCTTCATCTCGAGCATCGATTTGTCATGGCTCCGCTCACTCGATTCCGCGCCGACGCAGAACACGTCCCCTTAGCCATAGCCAAAAAGTACTATGAGCAACGAGCATCTGTGCCAGGGACGCTGCTCATCGCCGAAGCCACCCAGATCTCAGCACCCGAAGGCGGGATTTCGCATGGGCCTGGAATTTGGAGCGAGCCCCAGATCCAGCGCTGGATAGAAATCACCGACGCCGTGCAAAGGAGAACTTCATTTATTGTCAGTTGATTGCGCTGGGCAGAGCGGCTGATCCCGCTGTGCTTCGTGCAGAGGGCGGATATGAGCTCCACGCCCCCAGTGCGATTCCGATGGACCCTGGAATGCCCGTTCTCAAAGAATTGAGAGATGAAGAGACTCTGAACATTATCAATGACTTTGCGACAGCGGCGAAGAATGCAATCCGAGCTGGGTATGACGGCGTTGAGATCCACGGAGCAAACGGCTATTTAGTCGATCAGTTTCTTCAAGATGTGTCAAATCGGCGCGTCGATCGATGGGGCGGCAGTGTTTCCAATCGAGCACTGTTTGGGCTGGAAGTTGCCAGGGCTGCGGTGGATGCTATTGCGGCGTGACCGCGGTGGGTTTCGACTCAGTCCGTGGAATACTTGGCAAAGTATGAAGATGACCGATCCCGTTCCTCAATTTGCCTATTTTGTGGAGCAGCTGAGGCAGTTAAACCTGGCTTACCTGCACCTCATCGAGTCGCGGGTCATCAACAATGTGGACTGTGAACAGGGGGAAAGTAACAAGTTCCTTCTCGACATCTGGGGGAAAACTTCCCCTGTCCGTGTTGCGGGCGGATATACCCTGGAAAATGCCGAAGCTGCTCTTCAGGGTGACTACAAGGATTACGAGGTCGCAATCGTCTTTGGACGCCATTTCCTTTCGAACCCTGATTTGCCGTTTCGCATTCGCCAAGGACTTGATCTCAACCCGTATCATCGAGAAAGCTTCTATACTCCTATACAAGAAAGGGGTTACAGCGACTATACCTTCAGTGCGGAATTTGCCAAAGTGGACGCTTGATGTTTTCGGAGACCTTTGAACGCCCATAGAGCACGGCCACAAAAATAGAAGGTAATGGGTATAATTATCTTGCGGGCTTGTAATGAACCAGAGTCCGAAAGGTCCCATGCACAAATTATACTGGATGAATATACATTCTCTGCGCTGAGTACTCTCTTGACACGATTGAACTTAGTAGCATGGTACTCAAGAATAAAAAGCATTTAAGTAGGGCTCCACTGTCTCAGTAGTATACTACCTGATACTGTTTCTCCTTGTTTGCAAACACAGGTGCTAAAAAAGTGATAGAAATGCTATGATTGATCGGTCGATTCCATCTGCGTCTCAACTCCTTCTCCACGCAGCGGAATTACGCGGTGTTTATTAACTTTTTATATTTTATTATACTTATCAAGGTTACTAAGTCCCAGACAGACACTGATCTCGAAAAATATCTATATATCTACAAAATTATACAAGTTCAGCTACTTGGTTAAGCTCGTGCCAGTATACAAAGATAATCTTGTTATATTATTAATTAAGCTTACGCGGCGGATCAGTAATATCATTCTCTTAGTCCTGTACCAGTGTGTCAGTATATCTATTATCTTTCTTAATCCCAACACCCTCCAGACCGCTGATTTGCAGCCTAAGATCTACTGGCGGGTGCTGGTCATGTTACTCGCGGAGACACCTAACCTCGTCAAGTTTATTATTCTCGATATTAATCTCACTGGCTAAGAAGAGGGTAAGTAGCAGCTTACCGAGGTAACAGTTATATATACCTCAGACTTCAGCGGGAACCAGCAGTACTTTATATAATTATACCTTAGGAATATCCTGCACACCGGCGACTCGATATTGAACTATATAATGACAAAAGCCAACTTCAACAGCCCCGAGTTCGAGGCCCTTAAAAAGCCGAAGATCTACGCCTCCCGGATCCCTGACATAGTATTAGTAAAGAAGTACTACCTACAGCAGCATAAGAAGAATAAACACAATTAAAAACTAAAGCAGATAATAGTCGGGGAGAGTAAGCTACTGTCTACTGACTACAAGCAAAGCCGCATAAAGAATAATCTTGAGATGTTCCTACAGGATATAAAGGAGAATAAGGAGTTACAGATAACTTTTATACTGTATAAGAATAAGCCCAAGAATAACAAGATCAGCGTGGCGGGGACCGAGTAAACTGATGTTAAGGTGCCAAAAATCAATATAGAGGAGCTGTTGGATGATATAGATGCTTTGGAGATTCATGAGGCTTAAGCTACAGTGCATTCGGGAATATATGCAAGTGACCAAAATATTACAACCAGGATAGTTTTGTTAGGTTTCCTTTGGATGTGTTGATCCTCATCGAGAGAAGAAGAAGGGCATCTGTATAAATGCTGTCCTAGGAAGCACTAAGGCAAAACATAATCATGCCCTGGTTCTTCTTGTGTCAGGGGCCGGAGGCAGGCTGCGTACCTCCCGCCACGCCACGTTGATACATAGTTCCGTCTTCAGATAGTTTGACGTAACTGAACTGATCATATATCTACGTCCCTGACACTTTCATAAATCATTTAGGCTTAAACGTCAGCTGTACATTGCTTTTGACACCCCACATGTCCTGTGCCTTATTTGGTTCAATATCCCATGTTTAAGGTGTATGTGTATGAGGTGCAACTAGCGACAAATGCATCCAGGGACACTTAGGGTTCCATAGATTATTTCTCGAAACACGAGTTGATGGAAGTCCGGGACCGTGCCCTCATACCCGATGAGTAAGAACCTTTTTCACCATGTCCGGTGAGCCCGCTTGGCATACTAGCTTGATGGGGATGGAGGTAGCGAGGTAAGCTCGACAGGTTCCAATCTCATGCTAAATGACGTGATACAGGCCAAAGGCCCTAAAGGAACTGAATTTCAACTTGATAGAGGGGTGCAAAATCACATGCGCGAAACACATGTTCGGGAGATAAACAAACATGATCACTCCCATTGGCTCTGCATCAGGCAATAATCAGCCGGGCTTAGAAAACCTTTGAATTCTATGGCTAAGGGTGAGGCTGTAGCAAGTACCTGCCAAACAACATATATATACAAAGGTTTCAATTTGGGTACAACGGATATTGATAGCTATTAAAGTCATTGAGCCGAAGTAACGGGCACGAAGTCGGCGAAGTCAGCGGGGAATTCGAAGTCCAAGGGAATTGCGATCGACGGGTCTACAAATGCAGGGTAACTGTCCCTCTCGTGTGGCGTCCATGATTTAGACAAATCGGACGGAAAAGGGCTGGTCGTTGTATCGGCCCAAACGGTTGTCCCAGGGTTCTGAGCTGTGGAGATAGGGTCGCCCGTAGGAAAGGGTTGATTGTGGGGTTGCGAAGGCTGCACTTCGATAAGGGTAAAGGTGTCCCCAGATTCGTCTACCATGCCCCCGCGGCTCTCTGTGCCTGAAAAAAGCGACTGCGAGAGTGCAATGAACTCCTCAAAGAGATGTTGTATAACCGTGACAGAATGACTACTCGAGACACTAGGCAACAGAAAAGTCGCTACCGTCTTGAGAAGGTTCAAGTCCCCGAGATTGGACGTCGTCACGGCGTTGCAGAACAAGACGAAACACGCGGTCAAGGGGTAGAAGGTTAAGGTCCTATTTGAATGTGGCGGGCTTGTCAGCGATGCAGTCGATATAGCGCAAGACCATAACAGGGGAGGGTCCAAGTTACTGACCAATGCAGGAAGCCGACGGCACGGTCTTTCTCGTTGATTAGACATATAGATAATAATGACGATAGCTCCTGGCGCGCAGATTGAAGAAGCAAGTCTCCAGACCCAAATACCCGCCCTTGAAACTGATCAGAGAGATAAAGAATTGTGGTTCGAATGGAGTGGTGAGCGAAGCGAAGGGCAGCAATCTCGTTCTCAGCATCAAGGCCCTTCCAGCATTGCGTCGAAGACGCAGATACCTTACATTCCAGTCAGCGTCAGATCGCATACTATAGAGTGAATACGCAGTATGCGTCGGGAATATAGAGCCTGGCGAGGCAACATCGTACCTGCTCAATGTGTTGCTCAATCTCATCCACTCTCTGCAATAGTGATTCGACGGAACAGCGCTGAGGAAGTTGGACTGAATGTGAGCTGCTCGACAGGATATTCTTAAGTAATGATAA